CCGACATCGCCTTACATAGAGCCTAAGTACATAGAACTGATGAGCTTTACAAGATCTATGTAACTCTCTTCACCCCCAAACTACCATGCAGAAACACTGTGTTCCCTTCAGCCAAGTGGGATGAGCACATTTGAGCACTCACTCAACAGCTGTGCTCCCTTCAAGAGCCAGTGAAAGGATGCACAAGTCCATTGTTTGCTGTGGCGCGCGAGGTGAATGATCATTAATCCTTCTTTCTCGCATAAACGATGCCTCAGAGTCCGAGTCCATGATTGCTCTTCCACGTGCTTTGCCGATCCACTTTGTCTTCCCATCTCACCGCCTTATTCTGTCAATTGACCTGCCCAGATGATAGCGTACTTGAAAAAAATCAAAAGAACATTCATGCCTCTCATACACGTACACGTCGTAAAAGAAAGATGTACTTGTATCTGTCTACCCCCCAAAGCAAAACTCGGCCAAACCCACCCCTCGTCATCCACCAATCCCCTACTCTCTCCCTCTCCCTCTTTCTAAAATTCCAAATCCCAAGACCCAGATCCCAAGACCCAAAGCACTCCAAACATCCCTCCCATCCCACCCCCCCCCCTATGCACTCTTCCTAGCCTTCTTCCTCCCCTTCTTCGTATTCTGATCGGCGGCGAGGTCTGTCCATTTGTCGAGCTTGTCCGGGGCGAGGCCGAGGGATACGAGTGTTTCCCTATTGGATACAGTCAGTTGGGTAACTTGGTATGGGGAATAGGGAAAGAGGGAGATATGCGCGAGAAGGGAAGGCGGCGAAAGGGAAGAAGAAGGGAGAGATATGGGAGACGAAAGAGGACACGGAAATAGAGTCGAAGAGGACAAGCGAATCCAATTGGACACTTTTGGGGGGGGATGGGAAGACGTCGAAAGATCCATCAAGCAAAGACGAAAAGAAACACAAACACACTCACCCATCAAACTCCCTTATAACCCTCACCCCAAACGCATCCCACTTCTCCCCCACCTTCCCCCCCTCGCCCCTCATCCACGCCGTCATCTTCCCCCTCCTCCCCACGTCCAACGTCAACCAAACCGCCAGCCTCTGCTCTTCATACCGATCGTGCAGGGCAAAGAGCGAGCGCAGAGGACATTTGTGGGAAGAGTTGTCGGAGGGGTCTTCGTCGGGGTCGTCGTCGTCGTCGTCGAATTCCGAATCGGAGGAAGAGTCGGAGGGAGGGTCGATTTCGGCTTTGGTACCTGGGTCTTGAGAGTGGGATGAGGTAGTGGGAGACGGGGGGAGAGGGACGTTCTCGGGGGTAGGTTCGATATCTTGGCCAAACCAGTCGATAGCCTGCACGTCGTTGGCGAGTACATTCACCCGCCCCTCCTCCGCAAGCGCCAACGCAAGATCAAGGCTGTCGATAAGCCCCTTCTCCGCAATCCCCTCCCACGCCACGGCCGCCTCTTCCTCCACCCCCTCCAATACCGGCTTCACATCATCCTCTTCATCCTCCTCATCCCTCCCAATCTTGCTCGCCGCCCTCGCCTTCACCTCTCCGATACGCTTGTTGGCCAAACTCAAAACAAGGTCGCACCCGGCTAGCATGACTTCCAGCTTGACCCTCAACGGCTTGTTCTCCTTCTCTCGCTGCAGCTCCTTCTCCTTCTTCTTTGTCATCTTTGCCGGTACCCCCACCTCCTCCGAGACGATCTCGTCGATTTCAGGGATGGCGGCGACGGCGGCGATGATAGTCTCGAGCAGCGCAACGACATAGGTAATGTCGGCGGTAGACACTTTGGCGATATCGATCTGCGGAGAAGGGGATTTGGCTTTGCCAGCGATAGGCCGAGTAGGATGAGTTTGGAGGGTCGCAGTGAGCCGTCGGGCGTGTTGCAAGATGGGCGTCAAGAAGGAGTGTCGATAAGGCGCTGGGAAGGAAAAGATGGCGCCGAGGATATGAGGGTCGTATGCCGATGATAGCGCCGGGCGAAGGAGGGAGCGAGCGATGAAGAAGCCTTCGACACACTGCTTGAGAGCGGCCTCATAGTCGGCTACATCAGGATCCTCGCCCGTGGCCTCCTCGCCCCAGAGAAGCCTCGCGAGCACATTCCCAGCAGCAGCATACCCCCTGACAAGCTGATAGAGCCGCTGCTGGACATAGTCTTCCTCCTTCTTGAGCTTGCGGGCAAAGACAGCTTCCCGGAACTGGGTGGCGAATGACTGGAGGGCGATAACAGCTTTGATAGCAGGCCGCTTGGGCGGGTGGGCAGTGGCGGCAGCGAGGGCGGAGAGGGGCTCGAGGGGTGCTGGGTTGGGGAGGGAGGGGGTGGAGCGGAAGAGGGAGATGGAGAAGCGGGCGAAGGGACGGAGGAGGGAGCTCGCTGGGGGAGGTCAGGGATGGACATGTTCAGGGAGGGAGAACGTACAGTGGTGGGTGAAGAGGGCTGGGAGGGACGGGATGGGGTGGGCCCACTGCGAGGTGTCAGACATGGTCGGGGGAGATGGCAGATGGAGGAAGAAAGAAGGGCATAGAAAGGGGGCCCGAGCGTGCTCAGGCTGCAAGGGGTCTGTGCACACGTCAACCTGACTGGATTGCCGATATGTCCCATGGGGTATGTGTGCATTAGGGTACTCGTGCGGGCTACTTGGGGGGCTCTCGGGGAGATCAGGGGATAGAAATCATTCACCTCGACCACCTTGTCAACAGCAGGTCAACAGGCGGCCATCTCCACCTTTCCTCATTCTCTTCGCCAAGTGACAATTGACAAGTACTCAAAGTACACCCCTTCAGCCCATTGGTGTCACTCTTTCCCATCCAAACCACGACACACTCCACCCTCCAGCATGCCCGCCCCACCCATCACCCTCCACGCAACTCCTCCCCTCGCCCCCCTCCCAGCTTCAGACGCCGAATCCCTCTACTACATCGCCCTCTTCCAACTCGCCGCTCCAGGCCGATACGGCGTAGAAACCGGCGACTGGGGACAAAACGGCGGTCAGTCTCAATCCTCTCCCATGCGCACTACTAACCCCCACTATGCTGACTATAAATATCAGGCAAGCTCCCGTATGTCACCCATCTCGGCCACAAAGTCCCCTCGGCATACCTCCCCAACCTCCCCGGCTTCCAAGATCCCGACGCGCACCTGTCCGCCGAGGAAAAGACCGATGCTTTGAGCTGGAAATCGTATCTCGACGCCAATATCGTCGACCTCGTCGTAAGGCTGCCATACCATTTCTCTCTCAAACGATAGCTGACCTGAGAGTGTTCTAGAACCACACATACTACTCTCTCCCCCCCAACTACCCCCAAACCATCGCCAAAGCCCAGCTCGCAACCCTCTCTTTCCCTCAAACTCTGTACATCCCCCAAAGAATCAGGAGCGTCATCAAGAGCAGATTGACTTTCGTCGGGCTTTGGGGTTTGGGTGGGCTCAATGATGGTACGTCTCCCCCTCCCCCTCCCCCTTCTTCTCGTCATACCTGCTCGGTTCCTCGCTGACGGGTAACCATAGGCGACGCTGTGGAAGAAGACCAACGAATCCTGTCCGAAAAGTTCATCACCGGTCCTGGCGGTACCGTCGCCCCCCGAGCTTGGACAGGCTGGAGGTCGGGTCAGGAGGCAGAGAAGCGGAGGAGACAGTGGGGCGAGCAGCAGGTGCAGTCGTCTTTCCTTCTTCTCTTGTCCCTGGGGGTGGGGTAGGCCAGGCAGGCGGGCAGGTGTTGACAAAGATATAGCTGGATACGCGGATCAAGGCTGCTTTCGACCCTCTGGCTAGACGGTTGGAGGGCAAGAACTACTTTTTCGGCGACATGCAAGTCCTTCTCTCCTTATTCATCCATCCACACCCCTTCCTCTACCTCTCGCACTCGTTTCCTTCGTATTCAAGAGAACGACCAGCTGATCCAGCGTCCAGCCCAACTACCCCCGACCTCCACCTCTTCTCCCTCCTAACCTTCCTCCTCACCCCCTCCCTCCCAAACCCTCTCCTCCCCACACTGCTCCTTACTACCTACCCCTCCCTCTCTGCATACCACGACCGCCTCCTCACGCACCTCTCCCTCGACTGGGCGTCTTTCCCTCTCTTGCGTCCTCGTCCTCGGGGTGTGAAGGCCGCTAGTTGGGGTGAGACGCTGAGCAGTTTTATCCCCGGCCCTTCTACCTCTGCTTCCACCCCTAATAAGAAGGAGAAGGAGGAGAAGAAGGAAAAGACGAGTAAAGAGAAGAGTTTCGAAAGAGGAAGGTGGTTGTGGTTTGCAGGTGCGGCGGTGTCGATGGTTTCGTATCTGTTCTGGAGCGGGATCGTGGCGTATGGAGAGTTTGATGATGAAGAAGGAGAGTGGATAGAGGTCGAAGAGGAGGTTCGGTCGTAGAAGCGGGACTATGCAAACATGATTCTCATCCAGAAGACGTCAAGCGCAGCGACCCGCGACGTAAATGACAAGATGACAATCCATTCGTTATAAACAAGACAAGCAATGTGAGTGCTATTAGGTACCAAGCAATATGATGAAATCGTGACAAGCGTCCGTATAACCGCAAACAAGAAACATGCAGCCCCCCCCTCCCTCCCCTGAAAACACTTTCCTATCGCAAACTCTCCAAACTCTCCCCCTCTCTCTGACCCCCATAATCTCTCCACCTAAACGCCCTCTCCACATCCGTCGCCGTCGTACTCGTACTCTTCATCGACCCCTCCCTCTCCAACCCCTCCCTCTCTCGATCTTCCTCCACACTCCCCAACCCGATTCCCGCCGAGCTGTATCCAATCCCAAAGGGGTCGAGTTTCGCCGGGGCAGAGGCGTAGGAGGGGTAGGTCGACACGTCGGCACCGGCACCGGCACCGTAGACGGCGCTGCGATAAGAAGCGGGGGAAGAGGTAGGCGACGCTGGCAGTCTAGCACCGGCAAGCGAAACCTTTGACGGGCTCTCGGGGAGTCGACTGCCCCTCTTGGGTGTCGTCGGCGTACTGTACGCGGGAGACTCGGGCGCGTAGAGAGGATCATACTCGTAGCTATACTGCGACGACGTCGAATTCGTAGTCCTGACTGTAGACCCAGACACTTGACGCGGAAGAGGGTTTCGATACGCCTCACTCGCCGACCTCTCTCCCCTCGGTGCCAACGCCGCCGTATAACTCTTCCTCTGCCTCGCTCCGTCCACCCCCTTCCTCGGCGATCCCATAGGCGCCAGCATCGCACTCCCAGCCACAGAAAACTTTCTCAACGCCTCGTCTCTACTCTCCAACTGCGCTATCTTGTTCTTGACGCTCGGGAGGACGCTGTGGCAGCTCGATGGCGTTGAAGGGGTCATGGGGCGAGAACGAATAGAGGAGTCGTCGTCGTGTGGAATGTTGATAGGTTCAAGATTGCGAGGCGATCGAGGACGGGACAGCGAAAGGCGGGACATGACAGAGTCTTGATGAACTCGAGCATATTTGGAGTCGAACGGAGAACCGAGCTCGTGCATGCCTCCCCACTCGTGATGGGTCGATCCAGCAGTGGAAATCAGGGGCGAGAAAGTTTGATACCCCATCGCAGCTGCCGAGTCTGAAGGGGGGGATTCGAGATATCGACCATCCGAAGACGCCGAGTCCGACATCATGGACGACTGGAGGGGCGGTGGCTGGCTCGAGATGGTAGACTGTGACCTAATCGGCGTGCCCGACATTCCCCTTTCCATACCCTTCGCCATATACGAGACCTTGGTCGGGCTAGTGCCAGAAGGCAGTCTGGCCGATGTCTTGGTAGGACTGCTGACGGAGGGGAGTCTGACGGGGGCTTTGGCAGGGCTGGTGGTAAGAGGAAGTTTGGCCAAAGTCTTGGTGGGGGATACAACGGGGGAAGGAGCCACCTTGACTCGAGCTCGTAAAGGCGAGCCAGGCGTCGCAAAAGAGAAAGAGTTCTTCTTCTGCAACACTTTTGCCGCCGGTCCCTCCATCGCAGGAGACGTCGGTCCCGGCTTCCCCGTCAAACTCGTCAACGACTCTTTCCTGCTCATCACCGACGCTCGTCGAGGCGAAGACGCAATATCCGCCTTGTTGACCACATTCTCCAGCCTCTCGCCCAACGTCCCCCTGCCGGCCTTTGCCCTCAACGAGTGCGTGCTGGGACTCTTTGCAAGACTCGGCCTCCGACTATCGCTTACAGCAGACGTAGCAAGACTCGGTCGACGGCTATCGCCCCCTACAGAGATGAGCTGGGAGGGAACCCGGACGATCGGGCGTCGGACAGCCTCTTGAACCTGCGTAGTCTCGAGCTCCTCTTTGACGGGCATCTCACCGGCAGGCTTGGCGGGGAAGATGGCGGAGGGATGAGAGTCGTCCGAGTCGCTGGGAATGTCGATCTCGAAAGGCGTAGAAGGCTTGTACGCAGACAGCCTGAAACGATTCGGCGAGCGCGAATGCTCCTTCGGACGAGGCGTCTCCCCCCTTCCATCCTCCTCGCCCTCAGAGCCCATTTCATCTTCATAGTCCCACGCGTGGCTCTCCCTATCGCCATGGCCAGACATCGACATGACCTCCTCAAGCTCTTGCCTATCCTCATCCACCATCGCCTCCAGCAACGTCTCGTGCCCCGACTCGGGTTCGTACTGGGGTCGAGGAGTCTCGGCGGCTTCTTCGTCTTCGCCAAAGTCCCACTCGTCTTCGTGTTGAGGAGCGGCGGGCTGGTGGTCGTGGGTGTAGGCGCCAAGGTCGACCGTGCTTTCTCCTTCCTCGACGATAGGCAAAGGCGCTCTATCGTCATCATAGTCGAGCTCACGCGTACACTCGCTCCCGGAGTACTCCGTGAAATCTTCCTCCACCACCTCATCCTGCGAGATCTCCTCCTGCCCAGCCCTTAACCTCTCCTCATGCTCCGCCTCGGCCTGAATGACAGCCAAGCTCATCTGCCTGCCCTGGGCCCGTCGCGTAGCACGAGTAACTGTATTCCCAATCCCATCATCGTCTTCATCTTCAAAGTCCATTCCCTCAAACGAATTGACGTCCGAACGGGAGGAAGAAGGGATATTGAGAAGACCCGGCAAGACAGGCGGCTCGGAAGCGAGAGCAGATTGGCTGCGAGAGTGGTCGCGAGACTCGGTGTAGCTGCTAGCTGGGCTCTGTGTGCGATTGGGAGGGGGTTGATGAGGCTCGAGGGGAGAAGCGAGGGTGCGGGCTTGGGCGTTGGGGGGTTGGAGAAAGTTTTCGACGTGGAGGGTGGTACTGCTGGGACGAGCGGCGGGGCCATGGTCGTACTCGCTCGTAAGAGCGCCGGGCGAGGCTGCCTGCTGAGCCTCGGTTTGCGGGAATTGAGGAGACTATAACAAGGTCAGTAGCGCCCGAAAAGACTATAAAAACACACGTACCCTGGTATCGGAGGCAGCGAGAGCTACAGTCGGGACCATAGGCGCCCAAGGCCTCGCCTCATCGTTCGGCATAGGCGGAGGGTCAATAGACAGGAAGCTGATGAGCTGGATGGGGACGTCGACGTAGATGGTATTGTTGAGAGTCACTCGGAGGGTGTACGAGACGTCGACAAGGCGAGATCGCCTGATAGATAGCATGCCAGCCTACAAGAGCGTCAGTCGAGTCGGGCGAGAAGGTGAAGAGTACTCACGGGAACCTGCAAACTCATATCCCAATGATCACTCTCCCCCGGCTCAACTCCCGTCCACCACCCCTTGCCCGTCACTCTCCCTGCTCCGTGGCTCGTAAAGTCCGCCTCCGTAAGCTCCTCGCACACCTTCCTTCTCTCCGTAATGATGCCGGCGCTGTCGGCAGAAGCGTCACTGTTGAGACTTGAGAGGGATTTGCGTTTCGTCATGAGGTTGGGACTTTTGAGGCCGAATACCTTGACGTCTTGGAGGATGGCGAGACTCATGGATTTGATCTAGAAAGAGTCAGTACGAGGCGTATAACGGAAGGGAGTACGCACCTTCTTATTGCTATCATTCCTGATCCCAACCTCACACCAAAGCCTCTGCCCGCTCACCCAAATCTTCCTCCCCAATCCCACCCTCAGCTCCACCCTTCCCCTCTCGCCCTTCAAACTCCATCCCAATCCCCTCTCCACATACATCTCAATAGGACTCGAGCTCGGCGCCAACACCACTGCAGGATTGAGATACGGCATGACGACGATAGGGCGGTAAAAGTGGGCGATAGAGCGCTTGCCGTTCTGGGGGATATGAATCTTGATAGACCCAACTACGACGTATCGCACGCACGCACCCTTGCCGGTAGGATGGGTATACGTCCCCTTGGCGCCCGCCCCGAGGGGCAGGCGCATGCGGAAGGGGACAGAGTGGGTGCCCTGGGCGGCGAGGTGGTAGCCATCGGTGTCGGGGCCGGAGGCGAAGAGGGATGAAGAGAGTTCGGACTGGAGGGCGGGGTCGAAGATGGGGAGGTCGTGAGGGTGGTGGTAGAAGATGTGCCGGTTGGAGGGGGATATCTCTGCGAAAGAGAATGAGCAAAGTGAAAAACAAGAGGACAAGGACGCACCTTCGAACCCAACAACGCGGACCTTGCCGCTCCCGACTCGCAGCCCCTCCCTCCCCTTCCCCCCGCTGATCCTCACCTCCATCCTCCCTCGAACCTCGCCCCCCTCCACAACACACTCCCTCTCCAGCACCACATCCACCTCCACCCTTGCCTTCCCCTTCTTGCTCGCCTCCAGCTTGACCTTCTTCGTCGGCGTACTCGCCTCGTTCGGCGGAGGAGGCAGCAGCTTGTCGCGCGATAGTCGTCTAGATTTCGGCCCTCCAAGTAATAGACCCAGCTCCGCAGAAGACCGTTGATTAGAAGAAGCAGGATGCAAAAGCGTACCCTGCCTAGCGAGCAACTCTGCCCCATCTGACAGGGACCTCCCCCGACGTCCAAGCATCTGAGGCCCGTGCGGCGCCGTACTCTCACTCCAAGGCCTCAAACGCAGATCCTCGTCCTCACACTCCCTCCCCACCTCTACACTCTTACTCCGCGAGTGACCCTCGTACGCTTGACCATTGTTGGGCGCTCGGCGGGGAGGAAAGTCGGCGTCGTCAAAGGCACGCGGGCGGGAAGTGTAGGTGGGGTCGAAGAACTCTGGGACAGAGTAGATTTGCATCGGCTGGGACTGGGACCGGGGCATATGCTCTTGAGGAGGAGGCGGGTGCTCGAACTGAGGGTAAGGCCCTGGCGAGTAATGATTCTGGGGCATGAACCCATTCGGAGCAGAGGTCGACGTACGCGGCTGATGATTCGGCGGAGTCGGGAAAGACGTTGGCGTAGGAAAGCTGTAGTGCGTTTCCCCCGAATCTTGGCTCGAATGATGGGAGGGAAGGAAGTGGTGGGCGGTACTGGCAGGGGATCTCGGGTTGGGCGGAGGGGAGGTGGGCTCGACAAGATCTTGCGTGGGGGGTAATCGGCGAGGAGTAATAGTCTCAGCCTCCGCCTGATTCTCCTCCCCCAACGGCTCTTCCTGCTCCTCCCCCGCCAGCTTCGCATACTTTCCCCCCTCAGTCCCATGCCTCGAAACCTTCTTCCCCATCTCAAAGCTCCTCATCTTCCGACTCTGTTTGCTCTGCCGGCTGGACGACGTAAAGTTTGAAGCGACCGACGGCTGGCGGGAGGGCGAGAGATAGTGGGTCTGTTGAGCTTGCGCAGGGGGTTCGGGGTTCTGGGAATGTTCTTGAAGAGGTGTAGGCTGGTGGTTATCGACCCGGGGAGAAGGAGCTTCCTTCAGCTGCGCCGCCGACGCCCTCCTCGGCCCCATCGGCTTCGTCCCCATCCCCGTCGTCCTCAAACTCGCCCCACCCCCACCCCCACCTCCCGACCCACTCTTCGTATGCGTAGGCCTCAACAGAAACGCAGGCGGCGCCGCACGCCCAAGATCTTCCGTCCTCACCCTCAACTTTGGCTGCAGTTTCCCCGGGGACGGGGACGGATAGTCGGCGTGTTTACTCGGTGAACCCAGGGTGGAGTGGCGTAGTGGTGATGGGGGATGACGTGAAGGCGAGTTGGGCAGCGAGATGCCGAGCCCTTGGGAGTAGGGCGGTTCTGCCATCCTGACTTTCTGGGCGGGTGTACAAGTGACAAGAATAGGGATAAGGGAGATGGTGCAAGAGATGCGTGCGTTGTTTACTTCCCTGCCCACTATCGTCAGAATTCGAGAAAGAACGCGATCCCGAAAACTACCACGCGACTTTTCCTGAAAATCAGTCGTGTGTTTTCAGGGACGAATGCCAATTTTCGGGTCCATTGTTTGGCGCGCCTGTGTCGAGAAGGCATGCTGGTCATTCAACAATCGATGTCAAGACAACGCAGAACTCGTGTGCATGCATGCAGTATCTTCATGATTGACCTAGGCAGCGATGTATGCTATTACAAGACCTTGCCTCAAGGATACAAGCTGAACTCGACTTTTGACGCGGGTTATCAACGCTGCACTGCGACAACCGTTGACCAGCAATATCATGCGATTAGAAAGACGATGAGCGGTATAATTAGAGTAGCGTTAGATCTGACTGCTTCACTAAACATCATCTCCCCTGTCGTCCATCTGACGGCGATGTGAAGAGACCGACTGCCACGTTGATGGATGAGCAAACGCCAAGACTCGCTTTGCGCTCTTATCAAGTTCTTTGCCCTACATGCATCGCATATAGTTGAATCTGGGGAAGTGGACGGAAGAGCAAGTAGTCGAGTGGGCAAAGCACGTTTAATCATTCGGTACAAGTCGGCATTGAGTCGGCAGCTGCCAAGTCTGCTCCGATGCGACTCCTTTTATATGTACGCTGTATAAGACCGTATGCTAGTACATCTGCAAGGGGATACCTCCATATCCAGGCGACTCAAATGCTCCCAGACTGAGAAGATCAGGAAAAGTAGCTGTTTCCAAGTACAAGCCAGGTGCGCAGGCGGCACTGACCTCCACCTCCCGGCTTTCCAAAAACAAAGAACATATTTCCACCTCTGAATCTCCCATAATCACATTTCGCCATGGACGACCCTCCACCCGACGAGCCCCAGCCCACCACCCCCACCCCTCCCTCCTGGCGGCGAAGAATGTCCGGCCCCCACATCCCCATCCCCTCTTTTCGCCCCAATATCCCCCATCTCCGTGCGGCCCTCCTGGGCTATATCGGCGAGCTCGAAGTCGCCCTCCGCAGCAAGCTCGGCGACCACCAACAAGAACAACTCCGCGCCGCCTCCCTCACTCCCTCCATGTCCACAGAAGAATGGGCCGCCTCCGAGAACGACGAGCCGAACGCCTTTACCTCTGCCCTCGCTGGTCCATCTTCTGGTATCCGCCAGAGAAACGCCATATCCGGCGACGCACCTCCCCTCTCTCCCACCACCTCTGACGGCTATATCAACCTACTCAACAACCTCTACACCCTCCGCGAAGAAGCCTCCAATTTCCTCCCCACTCTTCCCTCTGTCCCCCACGTGCCAATGCCCCTGTCTATTCCGAACCGCGAATGGCTCCGCTCTCTCCCTCTCCGACTATCCCTCGTCGACCCTGGTCTTACCAGTCCCAAGGGCAAACTCAGAGACGACCTTGGCGATTCGCATTCTGTAGAAGGGGCGAGGCAGAGGATGATGGAAGTCGCCAGGGCATTGCTGCCTTCCGAAGACTGGGCAGGGTGGGAGAGGTTGGGCTGGGAAGAGCAAGACGACAGCGAACGCCCTGCCCACCGACGTACTCGCTCAGCCTCTGCAGAGAGATCAAGGCCGAGGAGGCAGCTGGAAGACGACGACGACGACGAACCGGAATACCTTTTCCCCAACCGTACCCCTGCCTCCACCCGAGCTCTCGCCCGTCGGCGAGCAGTCCGCTCCAAATCCGTCGGCGCCACTTCCCTCCCCCCGCTCAACCTTCGAGAGAAACTGCAGAGATCAAAGAGTGAAGTGTACGCCGGCAAGGTGGGGGCGGTCTCGGAGCCTGGGTCGGGGGATGAAGACGAAGATGATATTGGGGATCATGAGGCAGCCGAGGATATTTTGGATGAGACGGAGCTGGAAGATACCGATGGCTTGCCCTTGGCCGAAGGGCTCATGTTGGGTCCTACGGTCGCTGAAGCTTTAAAGAGAGCCGAGGGAGGGCAAAAGTTGATCACATTTGAGGATCTGCCGCCCGTCTGGCGAAACAATGAGCATATTTGGACGGGATAGTGAGTATTGTCCTTCTGCTTTGGCGACTACGCTGATATGTGTACAGTCGCTTCATACCTCTTCATCTCAAAACCGGCCCAGTACCTCTTCTCAAGTCGGCTTTTTGGTGGCACAACGAAACCAGTGAGTCTTTCGTCGACACCAATATCTTTTCCGACTGACACTTGAACCAGTCAACATCCATTCCCACTCCATCCCTACCCTCTTCATCTTCTGTTTCATCCCTGTACGTCATTGCCTCCCCCTTCCCGATCTGCTAGCTGACCTCGGCGCAGCTCATCATCTATCGCTCCCCTCTTCCTGATCCCCACTTTCTCGACACGGCCGTCATCGTCCTCTATCTTCTCGCTGCTTCCTCATGTATGAGTTCCTCCGCAGGCTGGCATATCCTGAGCGGGTGCGCTTCCAAAAAGTGGTTCGAATGGGGCGCCTGTGTCGACTGTAAGTCCCCCCTCCCACTTCACCTGCCTAGCTTACGAATCCTTCAGATATCGGTATCTCATGGCTTATCGCCGCCAGTTTCGGGACTGTCGTATATAACGGCTTCTACTGTTCGCCCAAAGCTACTATCGTTTATTGCTCTACCAACCTATTCTGCGGTGCTCTCGGGTCTTACTTGCCGTTCCAGAGATGGTTCAACGAGCGTCGTAACAAGGTTCGTACTCTTCTCTCTCTCTGTTTGAGCGTGTTCAGAGACTAATGGTGGTAGTAGCATCTGAGAATTTCCTTCTTCCTCTTCCTCTGCTTTTCCATGTTTGCGCCGATCGTACACATGTTTTTCAAACACGGCTGGCACAAAGCAAGCTCCTTCATCGGTACTTTCCCTCTTTCCCTCTCGTGAAAATATCGCGGCTGATATCCTCTAGCTCCATTCACCTACTCCATCGCCGCATATGTCACTGGCCTTATATTCTACGCTTTCCATTTCCCAGAGTGCAAATGGCCTGGGAAGTTCGATACGTTTGGCGCTAGTCATCAAGTACGTCTTCCTCCATCTTCCTCCCCCTCCCCGTGCCCCTCCCCTTCTCCCTTCCTCTTCTTCCCCACTTACTCTTTCCCCCCACTAACCCCCATCCCAATTTGCTCGCTGACTATTATCCAGATGTGGCACGCCGGCATCGTCATCGCCATCATCCTCCACTACCGCGCCATCTTTATCGTCCACGATATCAAACACGAATATTCTTGCGCTTTGCCTGGGAATGAAGTACCGTTGGGGCTGGCTTTGGAGCGGATGATTGGCTGGGCTTGAGTGCTGAGACTAGGAAGGGAGTGGCGGGGACAGTGTGTTAAGAGATATTTGTTGGGGTGATGTCGTCCGCTGGACAGATCAGCGATGGGTGGTGAGGGCGTTGTGGAAGGCGTTGACGGATGAGAACGGGCGTTGCCGGCGTCGTAGGATAATGTCAGAGTAGCTGTACAGCATCGCAGACACACGATAATATAACGTATCAAGAAGTATACCATGCATATTGGCCAATTGTCACACGTAGTAATTCCCTGAAGTGGCATTGGCGCTGAGTTGTGTGGATGGTTGAAGGACGCGCGGTGTACATACTCAATTCATATCTCATTGTTCTACTCTTTCCTTATGCGATAATACCGAAAAGGTCTTTTCCCCTCCAAAAACACCTTTTCCAGTCCCCTCCCCTGCTGCGTCCCAGCTCGGCCGTGACACCAATACCCCTCTGTTATACCCTGAAACGGCTGCCAGTCATTATGAAGCACCTCGCATCCCTCAACTGACATTGACTGTTCTCGCCTTTGTATATACGAACTACTAGACTATGCTCAGTGAGCTATGGCAGCTCGAGCGGACCAGCGGATATGTAGCCAAAGAAAAGTCAGAGGGAGGACCATCCCATTATATTGTCACAAGTTACGATACTCGTACGTTTCGACCGTTCGACGTACCTCCCCGGCCCTACCTCCCGGGCCCTCGTGTGTTCTTAAAATCTTATAGACTATACACATAGGACGTACAAGTGAGAGAAGAAGTTTGAGGGTGCGGTGGTCAACGTCGTAGCGACTCGAGAACTTTGACAGAACCAAACAAACATCTTCTTGTTGGGGGCGCCGGGTGTGTTGGCGGATAGAGCCCCGGTGGAGCCTCTGGTGCGTTATTTTCCGGCATCTTCCCAGGCGATGGAGACGTGGCTACAACACTGTATGACAGATCCACAATGCATGGGCCGAAGTGGGTGATAGGAACCGAAGGTCAGTATAACATCCCTTAACACTCGCTGCGGATCGATACGTCGCCAACACCATCGTACAGTCTCTTGATCGTAACATATGTGTGCGACCGTAAACCTCGGTTTGATGTTGGCTACTGCCGGCCCAGAGTACCAAGAAGCCGTGAACTGAAAGTCAGCTACGCAAAACATCGAGAAGCTATTTAGCTGAACACGATCACAACAATACTTGCGCCAGATGACGTTCTTGCCGTGGTATGAGATGATCCCAAAGTCCGCCTCCACGATCAGACTGCTTTCCACCCCACAGAAAAAGCGCTATTAGCGCCAACCCCGTCGCCGGAGCGTGTTTCATCAGATCCAGCATCAAACTGGGCGGGGCGAGGCTACCGGGCGAAGGTCACCAGTTTCCCTAGTGAGGGTAAAGTAGAAATTCCTCTTTGATCGATCCCATCCATAGCTCGATCAACATCTTCGACAGTCAACCCCAAAGTATTCTCCGCATACACTACGAGAAGAGCTTCCACGATATCGTAAAAGAGCTCTTCATTTTCTTCCCTGTTGAGATCGATGGTCTCGGAGTTGCAGAACGCATACTATATATGGGTGGCTTCCCATAGTCTCCTCCAGGCTGATTATATAGATTATATACAGTCAGGGCCTACATTATACCACTACGACATCGAGCAAATAAGGGTACAAGTTGACCAGCAAAGTGTACAAAAGACTAAAGACAACAAAAAGGCGAAACGCGTGGGGTGAAATTGTTAGGAGAGCGCATTGGGGCGTGTCGAGCTACGTCGTACAGCCTTACTAGAAGAGAAGAAGAGGACGAGAATGAGTAACACTCAAAGAAGACCAAGACAAAGAGGCAGTTGACAGCTAACAATGAAAGAGTCAGCGGGGGTTAGCGGGGGTTATGATTCTTGATCCTACTGCATAAGAGATACACAATGCATCGATCCTAGTGGGCTATAAGAATCTAAGGCTAGTATAACAGCTCTCAGCTATCGTACGTCCAACATCAACGGTGAGCACATCACTGGCTCCATGGGCGCCACCTTTCGATCGCAAAACACTTTCCGTTGCCTTATAGCATAATCGATCCCTATGTGGTGCCATGCTGCTCTCGTCACCATAGTCATTTTTCCCAGGAATCTGACACATTCTAAGGACTCCTATGGCAATCAACGCCCTTCCTCCTTGATCTTGTTGGTCTGATATCTAAGAGCGACGTTGACAGATGAAGACGACGACCTTGTCTATCGCTATGCCGGCACTTCTATTCGCGCACTTCCAACATCTCAGCCTTTGTGTCAGCTTGTAGACGTAACCCGCGCTGAAGGGCAGTGAGGAGAGTCGGCCAATTATCTCAACGATGGACAATGCGTCAGATACGAACGGATATCACGACAGCTGGATTTTGTCGTGACCAGTATCGCAAATCCGACTGTACCACTCAAGCCATGACCCCAGAAGTACAGTGATATGTAAAGCCCACGTATCTCTTCAAGAAGACCCGGTCCTTGTATTTCGATCAATCATGCGCATCAGCGGGCCGCCGGGACGTGGTAGAGTGGTTTCAGCAGGCCGAAAGCTGTGACCGTGACCTTGGAATTTCCCCTGGAAACAACAATATCACAGCGGTCGGGGAATAAAAAGCACCGTGCGGTACATTGCATCTTCCACCATTCTCCCAGTCATCTGTAGAGTGCCACACTCGCCTGATTACTCGCCTGATTAGCGGGACCAAATGCAGCCTACGGCATCCTTTGTAATGAAATTACCGCTTGTGGGAACCGCGGCATCAAATGTTTGTAATGGCGGTTTGTAATCTGGGCGGGCCCAACCGTCGTGCTGGACAACAACACTCTCTTTCTCTGCCTCCCTCCCTATCCACCACCCCAGCGCCATCCATCAAGCCATGCAGACCATCAAGTGTGTCGTCGTCGGCGACGGTGCTGTCGGAAAGTGAGTCTCTTCCGTCTTGCCTCACTGGGGTCCGACACGCCCCGCCGACTCCCGCTCATGCCTGCTGTGTTCAGAACCTGCCTGCTCATTTCATACACTACCAACAAATTCCCCTCCGAGTACGTGCCCACCGTGTTCGACAACTGTAAGTCCCCCTCCTCCCATCTATCGGCGCAACGGCCGAGTGCGTGCTGTAAACAAGTCCCATCAAAATCTCGCCCCCCCTCCATCTCTGCGGACCACCAAGCTAACTATCCCACAGACGCCGTGAGCGTAACCATCGGGGACGACCCCTACACCCTCGGCCTCTTCGACACCGCCGGCCAAGAAGACTACGACCGCCTCCGCCCCCTCTCCTACCCCCAAACCGACGTCTTCCTCGTCTGCTTCTCCGTCACCTCCCCCGCCTCCTTTGAAAACGTCCGCGAAAAGTGGTTCCCCGAGATCCAACACCACTGCCCCGGCGTGCCCTGCCTCATCGTCGGCACCCAAGTCGACTTGAGGGACGACCCGGTGAATATCGAGAAATTGCAGAGGCAGAGGATGAAGCCGATCAGTGTGGATATGGGGGAGAGGTTGGCGAGAGAGCTGGGGGCTGTCAAGTATGTCGAGTGTTCGGCTCTGACGCAAAAGGGGTTGAAGAATGTCTTTGATGAGGTGCGTCTTCTCGTGCTTGAGGGTGGTTGCCGCGCAATGGACTGGGGCCCGTGCTGATGGATATGTACAGGCCATCGTGGCAGCTTTAGAACCTCCCATGGCGACAAAGAAGAAGAGCAAAAAGTGTCTCATCCTCTAATCTCCCCCGTCACCATCATCCCTCTCCGGCAATCATCATTCTACCACATCCCAGACCATCCCCCGTATACCCACGCCTACACCTCGTCCCTTTCGACATTCCTTTTTCGCCACCCACATCCCACCCCCTCTCTCTCTCTCTCTCTACATGCGTAGTTTTGGAGTGTAATCCTCTTTCGTTGTCGATATTGAGAGGTCTCTTCGTCTCTTTTCTCCTACCCTTCATCCCCTCCCGCCTCTTTTTGCGCGGGGGCTGGTTTTCGTCTAAAGGGACCTATAGACCTTTACGAACCTATCAAAGGCTGAAGTGTAGGGATCAGGGGATTGTTTGTAGGAGTCGAAGTTTGGATCGTATACCCCCCTGTGTCTTTTTTCTGTTTTCCTCGCCTATCTTCTTTCTGCCCCCGTTCCCGTTCCCCGTCCTCATAGCTCATACAGATTATCTTTTCTATTTTCCTTCTTCTTTTGCGGGATGTAAACGGCGCTTTCTCTTCCTTCTTTCTCTCTCTTCATTGGCCTCGTTCGGACGCGATGTGTTGATGCATAGATATACAATGATTATACAACAGTTCCCCTCTCTAACCGCAAGAAGGCAAGACGGCAAGAAGGCAAGGGGAAATTACAAGAACCCCCTCCCAGTGCCCTTGGCAAACACCTTGACACTCCCCGTCTCCAACCTATACTGCACCGGCTTTCCCCTCCCAACCTCCATCCACTCTCCACCCTGTAAATCACCAAAAGGATGCACCGAAATCTCACCCATCACATCCCCGCTCCGCCCACTCGCCAAATGACTCGTCCGCCACCAACACCCCTTGCCCACCCTCGTTAACCCTTCTAGCAGACTGGCGTCTGGGCCGGGGTGGTAAGGGGTGGGGGAGGGCAGGGGGAGGGAGTCGGTGTGGAGGGTTGTTGTTAGGATTGATTTTGACTTTGTGGCGGGTTAGCTTTGAGTTTACGATATAACAATGAGAGAGGGAGGATGGCGTACTTGACGGACACGAGAATAGACAGCTCTGACGAAACGCAGAACCTCATCCACCCCCATTCCCATATCTACCAACCCCCCAAGCCCATCCAATATGACCACCACCCCTTCCCCTTCCCCTTCCCCTTCTCCCGAATGCAGTACCACCGCATCATACACTTCTCTTAAAGAGGGTTTGCCTTCCTTATCAAAGATCCTGGGGGTACTGGGTGATACGGGGATGATGTGGGGCAGGGAGGACGGGGCGAGGTGGATGAATTGGGGTGAGGTGGCGGGCGGTAGGGGCGTACCCTACACTTCTGTTCAGCTCTTTCCCTCTTTTCACAAGTGACAAGCAAGAGACGGACAATTTTCTTCATGACAGTCTCCAAACTCCCCCTCCCCTCCCCTCTCAGATCGACCCAGACGACCTTCCGTTTCTCTTCCTTAGTCCCCAGAGCTGCAGCGAGAAGGTGGTAGAGGGCGAAATAGGCAGGGGAGTTGAGGGTGTCGGAGATGATGAGGTGGGAGCCGGGGGGGGGGAGGGGGGCGGAATGGGGGAAGGGGAGGTGGGGTGTGAGGAATGTCATCGCGTACTGCTTACTGCCTAGTTGTTGTCAAAAACCAAGTCGCAAAAGTCGGAAGTGAAGCCCCCCGCGACTGCCTCCACTTTCCCACGGGCGGTGATGCCCGCCGCACGACATCCCTATGACGCTCCCCCGTGTCCCCCACTTTCCCCCACTTCCCCACTTCCCCACTTCCGAGCAGCATGTCCCTCCGTCTCACATCCCGCGCCGCCAGAGCAATCAAGCCTACTCCATTCACCCCTGCTATGTGAGCCATACGCCTTGGAGAACGAGCAGGCTTACACCGACGGGAACAGCCGCTCAGCCCTTCCTCGCCTCCCAACCACCAAGCCCGCTCAATACAGAATGACCTCCGTCCTCTCCTCCGCGGCCAACACCGCCCACTCGGCCTTTGCCTCCCTCTCCTCCGTCGCCCAGACCAAAGCCGGCGACACCGTCCCCAACGTCGAGATCAAGATCGACAGTCCCGACGGGAAACTCGACTTGTCCGAGCTTACTGGCAAAAATGTTGTCGTCACTGTGCCCGGCGCGTACGTCCTCTTCTCCCTCTTCTCCCCTTCGCCCTTCCTCTGCCCTCATTCACACTCGACTCGGCCGAATGGCTGACTCGTACAACGCAGCTTCTCCGGAGTCTGCTCCAACCAGATCCCCTCCTACATCGCCCAATACGACGCTTTCAAAGCCAAGGGCGTCAAGGACATTTACGTCGTGGCCGTGAACGACATTTTCGTCGTCAATGCTTGGAAGGACAAGCTCGAGGAAGGTAAAGCTAGTGGGATCAAGTATGGTACGTTCCCCCCCTCCATCCCCCTCTCTGCTTCTTACGCAAACGCTGACGTGACAAAAAAACCCCAGCCGCAGACGACTCTGCCAAACTCGCAGCATCCCTCGGCCTAGTCCTCGACGCCGCCCCAATCTTTGGCGGACCCCGTCTGAAGCGCGGGGCGCTCATCATCGAGGACGGCAAAGTCCAGCACGTCGCTGTAGAAGACAGTCCTGGTGATAGTACGTCCCCTCTTTCTCTCTCTTTCTTTCATCTCTCTTGGTCAAGTGAAGTATGGCGCTGATGGAGTGGCTATAGTCACTGTTTCTCACGCCGACTCTGTGCTCAAGGCGCTTTGAACCGACGTATATCCGGAAATATATGTGAAGAAGGGTGACAGAAGTAGCAAATCATGAAAGTAGCGAAGAAATGTATCTATATCGTCATTGCTTCCAAGTCGAACCACCTTTGACACTCATCGCCCATCTACGAATCGCATTTGTCAAAGTTGTGCATGTTTCATCTACTTATTTATTCATCGACCAGCCTTTCGACTACACATTTTACATAACGGGTTGCCAAAAGAGTCCTGAACTTGAGAGTCGTAAAAAGCTAATCTATTCGACCCTCTTGTGTTGTTTTTTTTTTCCTTTCCCTTCTTTTCCTTCTCCTTCTAGAGGTTCACTCAAAAAAAAAGTACAAGAGTCGTGCGTTTTGATGGATTCGGTTTGTGAATGGGGGGAGCGAGTAGAATGGTGATAAAATTATAGAATAAAAAGCAGATTTCTCCCCCCTCCTCCCTCCCTCACTCACTCTGGGCTCTGCGCTCACCAACAGCAGACACCCCAAGACATATGATTCTCCCCGTCGTACACAAAAAAGGTTCAAAAACCCAAAAAACTAGATATACCTCTTCCCCCCCTCCTCCTTCTTCCCTTCTTTACACACACACACAGAGAAATAACGACCTCACTTGGCAACAGCAGTCTTATTCACTGCCCCACCAATACTCGCGCGCGTAGCCCTTTTCGGCATCGAAGCTGCTACGCCGACTTGGGCGGTCTTTGTCCCTTGGCCTTGACCTTTCCCCTGTCCCTGCCCATGCTTGGCCGCCGATGCTGGCGCCGTCGCCGGGGTCGGGGCTGGAGTTGATGTAAGCCCCTGAGGCTTCTTTGACAAAGGGCTCGAAATCGTAGCCCTCCTCCTCTTTGGGTTCGGACACTCTGGCGCCGCTCCATCTGCCTGCCTAACCAACGCACCCTTGGGGCCAAGAGCACCCGAGCCAGCCGAAGCAGCCGAAGAGGGGGAGGTTGGGTTCGTAGCGGGGGCGCTGTTGTTGTTGGTGGAGGGACGCAGGTGGGAGTTGGAGTTTGGGGCAGAGGTAGATAGAGCGGCGAGGTTGGGGGTTGATTTGGAGGTTGGTGGAGCTGGGGGGGTGTGGCGGCGGGGGACAAACTGTAACCTCATTAGTATATGTCGAGTCTTCCAAACGATGGATACGTACGGGCAAGCCGAAAGACTCGGAAGGCGGATGATCAGGCTTCAGTCCAGCAAGCGTAGCAAACTATACCCCAGTCAGCATCATCTCACCAACGAATCATGTGATACTCACGAGCTGGAAAAGATCCTCTCTCAACACACTCGCCAACAGACTTTCTTCCGGCAACTTTACCCTCCTCGCAAACTCTCTCGCTTCACTCAGATGGACCCATACGCCGCTGACACCGTGGCTATACTCTACGCCCGCCGCAGAGGGGTGGACGAGGTGCCGAGCGCTGGCGCGGGCTTGAGAGATTGGGTTGTCGAGGTATTCGGCGTGTTTACCGGCAGGGACGCTCAAAGCATGTAGAAGAGCGTTCGCGTTCACTATCACATCGTCAACTTCATCCTCGATCAAAAGCGCAAATACTCACCAAAGTCGGTATCCAACCGTCGCAACAAGACTTGCTTTCCACTCCCATTCCTCCCATCAAACAGATGCGCATACACGGGGATATTATCCACCACACAAGCGTCAACGCCAGGGCAAAGCGGTTTTGTGATGGTAGCGATCTTGCCGCCAGAACGGGCACCGGTGCTCGTACTGCTCGTACTCGAGGTCGTACCGGGGGTCGAACTTCGCGAAGGCGGGACACTGGCAGCAGGCTGGTTGATAGGGCGGGGCGCGGCGGCCTGAGTGGTAGGAGAGGTCGCTTTCGCAGCACTCGCAGTCGCCGCTGAAGCAGGTTTGGCGGTAGGCGCGAGAGGGATAGGCGATTTAGCAGGCGCTGAAGGGGCGGAGCTCGGTATGGCAGTTGGCAGAGCCACCACCGCAGTAGTCTTTTCGCTCGGGGCAGATGTAGAGACCACAGTAATAGGCGTGGGCTGTACCGTTACCGAAGAAGTCGCAACCGAGGCGGTAGCCGGGCGAGGCGGGTTCGCAGGGGTGGCTACAGGCGCGACAGGTGTTTCGGGTACAGGTGCAGCCATGATAGCGTCCACCTCTTGTTGACTCAACGCCGCATCCAGCATTCCCACCTCCAACCCCGCATCCAAACTCGCCGCTCCAAGACCTTGACCAAAGATACCTCCCATCGGCGGGCTGACAAGAGCCTTGGGATCGACTCCCGTCGAAGACTCGCCGGGGTTGGAAAGAGAGAGGTTGGAGACGCTGTGGAGGACCATGGGACTGAGGACGCCAGGAGTTTGAAGTGAGTCGGTCGAGCTGCTTCCCCACTGGACAGTAGACTGAGGGTCCTCCCAAGGACTTGGCGTAACGTCGCCCTCTGGCAACTCCCTCTTGACAGTCTCCCGATAAGCCTCCAACATCGCCTTATGTCTCTCCGCCTTTTCCTTGCTCGCCTTTCTATGCTTCTCCTCTTTGGCATCCGCCTCCGCCCTCGCCTTGTCAAAGTCTTCCGTTCCGATCGCATCATCCACCTCCACCTCGCAGTCGGCGCCGATATCGCTCTCGGGGGTGATCAAACGTTCAAAGCAAGTCTTGCTCTTGCGTCTGCGCGTGGCGGTGCTGGCACTGGAGCGAGAAGATCGCTTGCCCGAAGAACAAACGCCAATCCCACCCCAAGACCCCCACTTTGCACAATCCTCCTTCCCCTTTGCCTGCACCTTCTTCCCCTTCCCCGCCCTGGTGCGATGCGGCGTCCGGTGTTGAGAAGCCGGCAACCACCCATCAATCTCATCCACACTGACGCTCTCCGGGCCCAAGATCATCTCATCAACATTGTAGCCCACGCCATATTCGTCATAGTCGGGCGAGTCGCTCGAGTCGTACGAAGGGGTAAGGCTGGCGCGAGAGCAGGGCATGGGTTCGTCTTCGATCGAGGAGGGGGTAGGGAAATCTTCGGGCTCGGATTTGACGCGGATAGTCGAAGAGGCTTCTTGTGCCCAAAGAGCAGTATGAAGATGTCGATCATGCTCGGGCGAAGCCACATCGTCGATCGTAGACCCGATATCCACATCCGAAAAGCTGTCTTCCGCCTTGACTGGCAGCTCTCCCGACTCGTCCAGCCACGCAGAATCATCGTCCACCTCCATACTCTCATCTTGGTCAAACTGACCCCGTAGTTTGGAAAAGTGTTGGGTGGGGCTGAAATCGTGGGGTTGGGAGTGGGCAAGAGTGCGAGACGGGCGGACTCGAGGAGAAGCGACAGGGCTAAAGTTGACTATCCAGCTATTGAGCGCAAGACCGCCAGCGTCGACAGCCTTGAGTTTGCCGCGCAGCCCAGTACGAGCTGTACCAGAAGTCGCGATAGAGGCAGGCTCACTAAGACTCGGCGAAGTCGTCCCGTTAGGCCGGTCGACAGTCTTGGCGAGGTCAAACTCCCTATCATCTGACAGCATTTCGTCATCCTGCGTTTCCAGGGGGAACAACGCCCTCAGCGCATCCGTAGCTTCCTTGACTTTCGCCTCATCCTCTACCGACCAAGCCGCCTTATTCTCCTCCTCCATCTCCTCCTTGAAGATGATATCTGACCACATGCCCCACTCTGGGTCGACCACCTCTTCATCCGAGGCCGCGCTAGTCTCAATCTTGGGAGACTTGCGGTCCATCCAGACGGTGTTGTCGAGAGGGTGGGAGGGGAAGGACGACGCGGCAAGGGTACCGGGGGACATGGGGTGGGCGGGAGCGGGGAAGAAGAGGTCGTTGAATGGGGAACCGGTAGGGAGCCGATTGTTGCCGTAGGTTCGGGGAGAGCCATTGAGAGCAAGAGGCGCGGGTAGCCCTCGACGTGTCGGGCGAGAAGGTCGAAGACGGTTTTTGGGATAACCCTCCATATCGGAATCGCTCGAGTCGCTATCCGAAGACGAATCGACAACATCCCTAGCCTTCCATGACGCCGACCTGTCCACCCTCTTTGTCTGAACTCTGGGGGGCGGGGGAAGCATCAAGCCAGCGCGATCCAACGCATTCTCCTTCCCCACCCCGACGCTCACACTCCTCGACCTCGACTTGCTCGTCCTCTCGCTCCCCGTCTCATCATCGCCCACCGCAGCCCCTCCCAGTACCAGTCTGATCTTGACCGGCGCCAGCGACTTGTCCTTGCCCTGCTTTGCCTTCTTTCCATCCGACTTTCTAGGCGCAGGCTTCTTGGGGGGCGGTTTGGGTATCTCCATCCCCTCGAAAGGACTCTTCCACTTTGTCTTGGCCGCCCCTGGTCCGCTCTGAAGAAACCACACAGGCCCCTTTGGCCGTTCGCCATTCTCAAAAGCAGCGGGATGAAGGGCAGACTCGAGGACTTGCTCAGCGACGGAGCCATTGAGATGTTGTTTCTGGAGGAGGCAGTGTCGTTTGGCTTTTTCGCAGCGTTTGATGTAGGAGCGGATGGCGTTGTTGATCACGTTTGTGGGTTCGATGGCGGCGGAAGGTGGACGGAGCCAGCCTTGCTGAAAGCAGGTCGACGCTATCTCTTCGGGTGACAAAGCACGGTTATCCTACGCCAAAAGTCAGCTCGGGCCCATATCGCCAACAAACAACATACCAGAGATGCTATCGACGAGAAGACTCCCATCAAAACCTCATCCGCCTCATCCTCCTGTGAGATACAACACTTGTTTCTCCCGCCCCATTGCGAGGGAAATGGACAAGGCCTCCGCTCTACCGCATTTCCCGCCCTCCTGGTCCCATGCGTCTTTGCCTCCACCGCCAACGTTTTTCTCAAGCTCCCTCCTCCCTTTCCTGGATCACTTTCCGGCGTCGGTGGGCCCGGGGTAGCAGGGCTGGCGACAGAGACGGCTGAAGCGGAAGCAGAAACTCGGTGGGTACGGGCGGACGTCCGTAGTGAAGTGGACGGGCCTGCACCGGGTGTATCTGGTTGGGCTTGGGGAGCCGGTCGGATGGGTCTTGCCATACCGCGTGGGGGTCCGAAAACGGGATGAGCGCTAAGCTTGGGAGAGGATGATGTGTTCCTTCCCTAGCTTGGCGGAGGTGATTATTGGTTGGGGGGATGCTCAGATGTGGTGACAAGATAATTGGCAGGAAAAAGCTGTGGGGTTGATTTTTGTGTTGCGGGTAGAGGTAGGGATGCGGAATGGGGGTGAAGAAGTGGCAAAGACAGACAATGGTCAGCGGAAGATTCGTACGCCCTTGGGTGGCAATTAAAGGGACAGTGCCCGGGAGCTAAGGGAGGGCGACTCACTGCGAGCTGGGCGGTGGCGGTGTATGATTCTATATTTCTTTGCGAACAGGTAGACCAGCTATGGAGCGCTCGAGGTTGGTGGAGAGAGCGTATGCGGGAAAGAGCCGTGGTTTTTGCTGGGTTTGCGGTGCCGAGGGAGATGATCGATCTACGTTGTCTCCTCCTTTATGCCGATAGTCGATATACCGTCGTGCTGTCGCTGTGCTGGTGGGGCAAAGGCGGTGGGTATCTGGGTATAGGTGAGCGAGGCTCGGGTTGTTTTTATAGATTGAGATGTAGAGAAGAGAAAGAGAAGATGAAAAAGAAAGTTGACGTGGTTAAGGGAATTGCCGGCGCGCGGTTTTGCTCCAACAAAGCACCACCGCACAGACATTCACCCAACCCAGACACATTCAAGCACCTCCGGCCCTCCCAGCCATGCCAGAGTCCCCCCTTGCATTGCTTCCCATGCATACGCAGCCACGAGTCCACGACCGCCCACTCAGCCACCGCCAGCCAGCCAAAGACTCACCTGCGCGCTGATCCCTCTCGTTTTCCCTGTGCTCGCTTCCTTCTTTGCGCACAACAACACGTCTCCTTTTACACGTTGTTGGTGTTTTCAGTAGCTCGTCGCGTCGTGGCTGATGGTTGTGTCGGATGCTACACAAGTGGATAGACAAGGAGAGGGGTGCGAGCGTAGATACCGTTGGGTGTATCCTCCGATCGCCGAGTTGCCAAATGAAGTCACCCCAGCTGGATGCCGTATCGGCTTTGTAGGGCAAGGGGGGTTGTCGGCCGGCTGGGCGAGGAGGGGGGTGCGAGGGGGATGTGTACGGGGAAGAGATAAGAGGAGTTGTCAATGACTGCATACATGAATCCTTTTTTTCGATAAGCCGGCCCCACTAGACTGATACTGAGCGATGACACGCCTGACGCTTGGCTCTTCGCACTCTCAACTTGCCGCCCAATCACAGATTCCAGCTCTTCCACCACCCAACCTTCTCGACAAGTTCCAGAACTTTTGCCCCAAAAAGCACGCCAAAACCACGATGAAAACTTTAAAAGGGAAGCCGCCGGAATGTTCCGAGATCAATTCGTCATTTAAAGTCACGTCGCGCTGGCAGCGGCGATGCCCGACGCGTTTATGTCATTCAACCTAGAGAGAGATAACGGTCAAGGCATACGTATGAGAATAGACTACTTGGGGCTAGCTCTCGCAATATGTCACGATTGATGATGGCCCGACATGGAACGATTGGAGTTGCAGCGTATACAGCTGAGACTCTCTCGAGCGAAACGGCTGGAGGAAGCAAGGAGGAAGACGCCAGAACGGCGAGACCCGAACGAATGGATATTCACTAATACGCTAGGAGTTACGGTAATAATCGCATAATGAAACCGACAAGAGAAACTACTCAAAAAAGATGGAAGGAACCAATCTGCGGCGCTCTAGGGGAGCTCCTCGCTGACCTTCGATTTTCCAACTGAAATCAGCCAATCCGCCCCACGCATGTGATTCTTTCTCTTCCCAATACTCGCATGGTGTCCACTAGGCGTATAATAGGAGAAGAGGGAATCCTTCATCGCACTTTCCGGCCCAGCCTCCAACAACTGAGCCGCTGCTGCTATTGCTTCAATGTAGCCGTCCTCGGGAAGCTTTCCAGGACTCTTCGTACTCGAGGGATCTACTCCCAATGGGGCAACAGATGGCTTGTGGCTCTTTGTCATGCCACATGTATACTCACTGGACACAGCCAGGCAGTTTTGGCTGTAATTCACATCGATATCCCACGCTTTGGATCCCAAAGGAGAGCGTGTGATGTCCTGCCCAGAACCTTTCTCAAAGAGAGATCGTATATCGCGGCTCGCCTCGCCCATCTCCCTCGGAGGCCTGATATTATCCACGGCTCCAAAGTCGTGGACCGCAACACCCGGTTGGACCGCAAAACCAGGTTGGACCGCAACACCCGGTATCTCTTCCGCACCTTCGGGAAAAACACCTACCCGCCGAATCGCTTCCAACGTATCGTGTAACGAGGACATGTCCGAGGCATCGTCAGAACTATCACTGGCGTATATAGACCCGTCAGAGTCAGAGTCTCTATAGGCCTTGATGTCACACGTAGTAATTCCCTGTTCCCCTCCAAAAACACCTTTTCCAGTCCTCTCCCCTGCTGCGTCCCAGCAGGCCGTGACACTTGATCGTCCATCTGGTTTGACAATAGTCTTGCTGCCATTCTTCAAACCCGCTCCTGACGCCGTATACCCTATACGCTCCATCCGAGTAAGTGAAAAAGTTCTTCCTTGACGGCTTGTCTCCCTGAGAGAGAGCGTCGAGGACGCTTCGGATATCCCCGGCTTGAGAAGCAAAATGAGGGTTTGACAGTAAGTCTTGTTGCCCCCTGTTAAATCTTTCGATCGACTAATTATTCGGTATAGACATCCCTCCTCCATCGCCCGTTGCATCTTCAAGCAGCAAACTCCAATGGGCATTAGTAGCCACAGCATCTTTCATACCTTCGACTCTGTCGGCTCGACTATCGTAACGACTTGGAGTATAGTTTTTGGAAACGCGTTCGTTCCAGCCGTAAGCCTCGAGTACCCTCCAATCTTTCGAAATGGGCCGCAAGGTCTCTACGTGCGAGGGATTGACATCGTCAAAGAAGGTTTGGAGGAGAGATGATGTTGCGGACATATTTCGATAGCTTTTCTTTCTTGAGAAGGAGCTGCTGAAAAGGTAAGAATGCTGTGAATAGTGCGTATTTATGCTCACGAGCATCCATCTCCCACGACAGCAGGGATAGATTCTCGCCTGGCTGATCCTTTCGTCGCCTCAAGCTCTCCAGGCTCGTGATGAAGGGATGATGAAAGATTTCACATAATACCCACGGAAGTTGACGCGCCTCTGTTTTTGGAAACCGGTCATTTTAGATAAAGACACTTTCGAACCGGCCATTCTAAATAAAACATCATTCTGTGAATCTTGTAATGTAGAAGTTTATAACCGGTGGCGGCCTGTGATCAGGTTTCGTGAAAGGAGGATGATGAAGCTCGTATATAACCACAGGAGAGCCTGGAGAGCTTAAGGCGACGAACGAGCCAGGCGAGAATCTATCCCGGTCACGCTACAGCTGCAGCACTAAGGATGTTGGACGGACGCCCCGGTTTCTGGTGCGTGACGCTACACTTGGTCTTGTTGTTTCATGTATGAATACGCATTGCTGAACGGGTGCGGGGGGTGTCTCGTGATCGTACAGGTTAGGTTACAGTGACCTCTCTTGGTAAAAGTACGTGTATATGGCAGACCGTTGGATGACATACTCGTGCGCAGCAAATACCATGACTTGGTTACTCCATCACATCTCGCCCCTGCTAAACACAACAAGTATACACGCAATCAAGAAGTCTCACTGTCCTGCGAATCTTCCTCAACTTTTCCAAGCGAGACAAGCCACTCCACCCCACTCATGAAACGCTGTCTCCTTCCGATAGTCGCCTGATACCCGCTAGGCGTGTGATATGAAAAACTGCAATCCCCCTTTGCACTATCCGGCGCAGCATCCAGCAGCTGAGCCGCTCCTGTCAACGCTTCGACGTTGCCGTCTTCCGGGTGTCTTCCAAGCATCCGCCTACTCAAAGCTTTCCCTTTGGTTGCCTTTTCGGGTTTCCTGAGGGCGAATGCGTGTTCGCCTTCAAACCCCAAGTAGCTATGGTCGAAGCCTTTCTGGATATGCCACCCCGTGGCGCCCGAATTCGACTGTCCTTCAACGACCCGTCCAGAATCCTGCTGGTCGAAGAACGACCGTATATCTAGGTTTGTCGTAGCGCTCTCCACAAACGACCTAGTGCTGTTGTCAACACCATAATCCCGTATATCAACTCCCTCTATCGGCTCCGTGTTTCCATTGACAAGAACACCTTTTTTGCGAATCTTTTCCAGCCTTTCCGTTATAAGCGTCGGGCCATTGAAAAAGATCGCTCCCCTTGTATTCCTCTTGGCTCTGATCGTCCATTGCGTCCTGTCGCCTTGCTGCTGCCCGTCTTGGAAGCCGCTCCTCAAACCGTCCACCCTATACTCCCCGTCCCAATAAGTAAAGCCGTTCTTGGCAGAAGGATTGTCACCCTGAGACAGGACGTCGATGACGTTTCGCAAGTCTGTCACTCGCGATGCAAACGTGGGGTCGGAAAGCACATGCTGCTTCGTCTCATTGAATTCATCAATCGACGCGCTATTCGGTGCCGTCGTCGCTCCTGCGTTCCCTGTTGCGTCTTCAAGCAATATTCTCCACTCGTCATTCTTGACCAAAGTCGCTTTCCTACTCCCTAATCTGCTGGCTGGATCGAACGCATCGAAGCGCGCTGTCGAATCTACCCTGTCCCAACCATAAACCTGGAGCACATTCCAGTCTTTGGACTCGGGCGGCGAGGTCTCCAAGGAAGAGCCACTGAAGAAGGTTTTGAGGCGATGAGGGATGGCAAGAGACGACATTGAATTCGACCAGTCAAGTCTTCTTGTCTTGTCGTGCGGAACTGTAAAATGAACGACGTACTACGAAAAACTCTCTGTCCATGTCCACTTTTAGGTCAATGGGTCTTTGAATATATACATCGGTCTCGTACATGAAAGGACGATAGAAGTCATATATACCCGTGAGAACAATAAGGCTTTATCGGTTAGCGAAAGGATCATCTGGAAGGAAACTCATTCCCAACAAAAAAAAAGAGTGCAGACCGGTCTCCTCGTTCACATAGATGTAAACTTGGCCCCAGTCCATGTAAAGGTGTGTCTTCATATCCTACTCTACATTGCAACAGCCTCATCTCTTCTTTCGTAGATCCCGTTCGTTATAACATGACGGTCCATATCTTGCCTCCTCAAAGTCGGCTGGATGCAATGGTGGCTACCATTAACAATCAGCATGCTCGCTTGCTCGACCGCAAACCACAAACACCAAGCTTACCTTCACACAAAACACCGTGTCCTGGGCCTCATAGTATCACTCTCAACATAACACTCCACCCCTGCATCCCTCAACCCTTACTCCCCTTTCGCTCCACCCCCCTGACGTCCTTCTCCTCCCCATCACCTTCTCACCCTAATCGCCCTCTTACCCTACTTCCTTCCCAGCCTCAACCCCATACAACCTATCCATCATCTCCTCCGAAACCGCCTTCATCGTAAAACGACGCGCCCGCCATCGTACTCTTTGACCCAGTACTCTCCCAGCTTACACTGAAAGACGATCTCGTCGTAGGGTCATATCACCAGGGATGTTTCATGTCTGAGGAGGATGGGCGATGTCGAACGGGACAAGAGTGAGAGGGTATGGCTTGTCGCGATGGGCAGGATGACCAAGCTCAAAGGTGGGAAGCACATCCCAAGCCTTGGTGGCGGCGCCACTGTCGGCGATGTCGGCGGCGTCGGCGGCCAAGCTGGCACCGTCGCCCATGTCGGAGGCGTCTAGGAGGTTTTGGGACTTTGGTAGAGGTTGTTGTTGAGGGATGGTATGAGGAGGAACAAGGGGGGCCTGGGAGAGTGAGCTGCTGGGAGGTCGATGTCTATGATAGCATCAGCTAGTCGTTCTTTTCCAATGACACACGACCACTCACCGTTATCTGGAAGACTAGCATCCACCCCCGCACGCTTTCTTCTTCTTCTTCTTCTTCTTCTTCTGCCACTGGCTAAAGTCGTCGCAGTCTCTTGTCCCTCTAGATCCCCCGGCTCATGGTGATACGTTGCCTCTCTCGGCGTATCGAGCACTTCTCTGACTCGAGATCAGATATCAGATATCAGAGATCAGAGATATGATATGATATGATTTTGTTTTGATCGTTGATCGTTGAACGACAACACAGGCCCATCCGGCGTCTTCGGCAATTGCACCGGCACCGAGGCACCGAGGCACGAGGTAGAAGTGGCACCAATACCCTCTCGTCAGACAACTTCTATCTACGAGTACTTTACGAGTACTTTTACATGTTGAAGCTTGCTAGAGAACAGTGATCGTATATGCTCGATGCATGAGAAAATGACCTAGCTTCTCTCACCCAGCGCCCCTCCATCCTCCCTCCCTTCCCTCCTCTCCCTCCCCTCCCATCTCCCACTCTAAGACTCTAAGAACCCCCCAAAGCCCTCTCAAACTCCCCCCCATCCAGCACATACCCCCACTGCCACAAACACTGCCTCAACACCCGCCCCACATCTTCATCCTCCACCACCTCCACCATCTCCCTCCCGCTCCCGTTCCCGCCTGCGCCTGCGCCGGCTTGGAGCAGTTTCTTGAGGAGGGCGCGTTTGAAACGGCCTGTGGGGCCGGCGACTTTGAGCCCTTCGCTTTTCGTGTTAGCTACTCCCACCACTCAAAGTCTCAAAAGCAGTAGGCGAATAAGAAAGGGAAAAGGAAAAGGAAGGGGAATGAAGAGGAAGAAAGAGGAAGGAAGAGGAAGAGGAAGAGGAAGAGGAAGGAAGAGGACACACATCGATTAACCTGCCTCCCATCATCCCCCCCCCTCCTCCCCTCCCAAAACCTCACATACCACTCCGCCCACCCCCTCGGATCCCCCGCCCAAATCCACCCAGCCTCTTCCCACTCTTGCAAACTCTGCCCTGCCTTGACTTTGAATCTGTTGACCGACGCTTGCGGGGTGGGGTTCGTGAGCAGCCGGGGGTAGAGGTGGGGCGGGAGGGCGGAGGAGGAAGGGGAGAAGGGGAGGGAGGCTGTGGATTCTGTAGAGGATAATTGCCTGTGGGCAACGCGCGAATACACGTCCCTGCCATATTCTTATCAGCTCTCACACCCCCCCCCCCCCCCGCTCAAGAAGAATGGGAATATGAACGCACCGGAAGAACCCACCCCCAAAAGCGCCTCCAGCAAACATCTCCTCCGGCGTCAGATTCGGTGCAAAAACCCCCTTGAACCGACCTTCAAACTCGAGCCGCCCATCTTGCCCTCTCGTCGGTCTTGGGGCGCGTTCATAATACGTTTCACCTTCAGCTTCTGCGTAGTCGGGGCCGGGAGCGAGGGTGGGGGCGATAGCTTTGGGTAGGGGGTCGTACCGGGGGCCAGGGGAGGGTGTTCTTCGCCTGCAAAAAGTCAGCTCTTGACCCTCCAAACAGCCTCTCAAGCCAGATATCGCTCACCTATCCCGCCCCTCCCTCCCCTTCCCATCCTCCCTCTCCTCAACCCGCCTACTCTTCCTCGTCGGCTGTTCCCGCCGCACAGCGAGCTCCTTCATTTTCGACGCTTTCCTCCTCTGCTTTTCTTCTTTCGAAAGCGTCGGTCTCTTGACGGGCGTGCTGGTGCGTGGAGCGGGCTGGGGTTTGGTTTCGAGGCCGAGGGATAGGAGCAGAGCGTCTCTTTCCCTAGGAAACGTTATTGGAGACTTGGAGTGGAGAGGGCGAAGGACGTACCGGATATTGTCCAACCGCTCGCGCTCATAATCCTCTCCACGTGCGAGCTGGTCGATATCACCGTCACTCATCTTATAATCAGTGGTTTGATGAGACAGAGCAGATCCCATCATGACGAGTGCCTAGCGGGCAGTGCCGCAGATGGATCTGATGTGATTGCGTCATGATCTGCATCCCCTTTGCATCCCATCCCATTCCTTTCCTTCCCTCGCCATCGACGATGACGCGCGCAGACCACACACAGGACCCCGCTCTGTGCGCCCCTCCCTCTTCCGGGGAATCAGCTGACCCCGTGCAGGAACTCACTCCGCCGCCGCCTCGCCCACCGCCCCGACCTGCTCCTCGGTACGCCATCCCCCTGCCTTCCGCCCCCCGCCCCCCGTTCCTGACCCCGCGTAGCCATAGCGAAACGCCACTCCACGAACCCCCTCCTCCACCCCCCTCCCGCCCCGCTCGACCCCTCCGACGCCCTCCCCGCCACCTCCCCCAGCGTCCGCATCACCATCCCCCAGGGCAGTCCCACCTACGACGCCCTCGGCCTCACCCTCAAAACCAAACAGCGCGAAGTCCAGGTCGATATCCCTCTATGGCACACTGCCAAGACGCCGAGGGAAGTCGGGCAGAGTGTTGAGAAGATGGGGGAGGATGCGCTGGGGTATTACGGTATCGTATGCCCATGCCATGCTTGTTTTTGACGCTCGCTGAAACGAGGGAAAAGCCCGAGAACCCAAAAGTAACATCCTACACCACCCCCCTCCACGCCTACATCCTCCCCCTCATCCCCATCCTCCTCAACATCTTCCTCTTCTACGCCCCCTCCTCCAACCACTACGCCAACATCGGCCGGTCCCTCGTCCATCAATCCATCGGCCCCAACGCCATACGGTACGGTATCCTCTTTTTCGGTTCTTTCGTAAGCCCCCTCCTACCCCCCACGTCTACCTGGAAGAAGCTGACGGGGTTTGAAAAGCACTTTATAATCGAACCCTTACTCCTGTTCCGAGGACTCTGGCGATACAGAGTCCCCCTCATCCCGAGCTTGCTCTACCTCTCGACGGTCGTCATCATCGGCTTCGGGGGTATCGACGCCCTCAGGCGAGCTGGTACGTTTCCTTCCTCCCTTCCCTCTTTTACAATACTGTTTCAAGTGTGTGAAACTGAATAAGGTTCTGGTTTTGTAAAGTGATCCAAGAACGTATCCGCCTCCTCCGATCCGCCTCTCCCATCGACGCTAAAGACCGACCCCTCCCCACTTCCGCCCACGCGCATGTTGACGGAAACGAATTTGCCCTTTACAATATCGTACGTCCCCCCCTCCTCTGTACCATCCTCAACCCAATCTGACAATTTTGACAATCACCCCCCCAGCCCTCGCACCCCAAAATCACACACTACAACCCCCCCGCCCCCCTCCCAACCCTCATCCTCCTCCCCCTCTCCCTCCTCCTCTTCCTCCACTTTGCCCCCTCCTCCCCCACCTACGCCACCTACGCGGACACCGGCCGAGCGTTGGTTGAGCGGTATCTCGGGCCTAGGGTGGTGGAGTATAATGTCTTGTTTGCCGGCGCTTGTGTATGTCCCTCCCTCCCCTCTCCCTGCTCTGCTCTCAAAAGTTCGAGTTATACAAAAAAACCAAAAGCTGACACCCCCCCCCCCCTCCTAAAAAAAGCACCTAATCATCGAACCCCTCCTCATCCTCCCAAAACTCATCAAACACACCGTCCCCCTCTCCACCAGTTTTCTCTATATCATGACGGTGGTCGTCATCGGGTATGGCGGGATACAGGCTTTTGATCGGGCCGGTACGTCTTTTTTCCCCGTCTTTCCCTTCTTTCCCTTCTTTCCCTTCTTCCCTTCTTCCACACCCTTGTCCCTTATTGTGGGGAGAGAGAGAGAGAGAGCTAGGAGCTGATGATTGGGGTTTTTTCGGTAGTGTATGAAGAGAGGGTACGACTGCTTCGCGCTGTGCCTGTGCCTGTGCCCAAGAAGGACCAGTAAAAACCACCCCATCCCACATTCCCACATCCCACATTCCCACCACCAAGTCCAACACTATCGCGTCGCGGTCCCAACTTTCCACAAATCGTACTATAGAGATTTCAAGTGAAACCCACACGTCCGCGCGACCATATACACGACACCAGAATACATTATATCCAGCGCTATAACAAACAACCCATCAGTCCCCTGTCTAAAACCACATGTTTCATGTTTCCTATACACGCCTCGTAGATGCAAATGTAAAGGATGATAAACCTGGTTCCTGTTTCAACCCCTTTCTATATACATCACCATGAAAATATGCGAAACCATGCTTGGGTTTTGGTTTGTTTCTTCTGTATACAAATATTTGCCTGCCTCCCTTCTCTCTCGCGCTCGCGCGCGGTATGTGTCTCGAAAGAAAAAATGAATACGGAAATGGAAAAAAAAAACGTCCGATATTTCCCAAAGTCTATCCCCCTCGCCCCCTCGCTCTCCCTTCGACCGCAGCACCCGTCGTCTACAAGTACAAAGTATCCAAAAACGACTCTGCCAACTTGCCAACAACATGCGGCCCCGCACTCGTCTGCCCCAGACCATACAGCGCCACCATATCCCCGTCCTTCCCCTTGGGCGCAGTCTTGACCTGTTCGATGGTCTCGTGGAGTTGCTTGATGAGGGTGTCGACGCTCTTGGCAGTCAGACGCTGAAAAAAAAAAAAAAGCCAGTCAGTCAAATCTTGTCTTTCACAACGCGAAAGAAAGGATAGGGTAAAAGGACTCACAGTGAAAGCCATATGCAACCCACCCTCCCCTCCCAACGCACTCAAATGCCACCCCTTCTTACTCATCGCATCCCCAATAGCATAGATATTCAGCTCCTTACTGTTGAACGCGACGACAGAGCCCAGCGGGTCGCCGAGCACGTAGAGGTCGTCCCCGAGCGTGGTTTGGATGGCAGTCTTGAATTGACGCGCGGCGGTGATGATTTGGTGGCATGATTGGGTGTAGCCGCTACCCCATTGGGTCAGTTAGAGATCAAGAAGGGTGGGGAGGGGAGGGGGGACGTACTCGGATCCGACATAGTTCAAGACAGCCCAAGCACCGGCCAGGACCGAGCCGGGACGAGAACCAGCCATGGAAGGGCTGGCATAGACACCACCAAGCCAGTCGGTAAAGACATAGTACTGGTACCTCCTCAGATCAGCAGATCGGTACATGATGACCGAGGTACCCTTGGGACAGAACGCATACTTGTGCTTACCACCCTCCGTCAGCTCTCATCCCCGACCGTCAAAGAGAAACTCACCACATCACAACTGATAGCAGTCACACCCGGCACCCTGAAATCAAACAATGGCAGGTCCCCGCCAAAGCCCGCCTTCTCCATGAACGGCATGATGAATGAACCCAAGCAGCAATCGACGTGAAGACCGACATTCTTGCGGAGCGCGAGCTTGCCCAGTTCCTCGATGGGGTCGATAGCGCCGTCGGGAAAGTTGGGGGCAGAGCCGACAATCATGATAGTGTTGGGGTTGCTACACCTAGCATCAGCAACCTATTCGAGCGAGAAACAAAAGACTCACATGGCACGCCTGATAGCCTTGACGTTCGCTCGCCTGGTCTGGGGGTCGACAGGGATGACATGGAGCTTGATCTTGAAATACTCGCTAGCTTTCCAGAACGCCGCATGCGCCGACGCAGGGACGACCCTATATCGAAATTAGCTCGGCATGGAAGGAGAGATGAGGCGTACATTTCGGGACGAGTGATACCCTTGACGTCTCGGGCCCAGTCGCGGTGCGTCTTGACCGACATGAGGATGGACTCGGTACCGCCAGAAGTAGCTACGACACGTTAGCGTGAGCTCTCATGTGAGCGATAGGGACTTACTAGTACCAGCGCCGTCGGGACCGTTGAACCTGTCGCGGATCAGCCTCCGCCACAACTTTAACCTCGGCAACTTACAGATTCAAGACCATGCTGACAATCTCACTCTCCATCTTTCGCAGACCGGGGAATACATCAGGGTGGAGAGGGTTGGTGACCACAAACTTGGCCATTGCTTGGTTGATAATCTCATTGAGATCGTCGCCACCCTACACGCGCGCGTCAGCCACCACTTTCCGATACACAAAGAGCGACTCACATGATACACAGCACCGCTCACACGACCCTCGTCCACATCACCCCGCTCCAGCTTCTTCATGTTGCTAAACTCGCTGTCCAGCCACTCCTTGCCCCTTCCTTGGTCAGGCAGAGTCCTCACAGGCGTAAGGCTGATGCCCTCGGGGTACTCGGTAGGCGCGAGCTTCTCCTTGAGCTCCAGTCGGGTACGTCCCAGCTCAGAGTTGAGCTTGGCCTTGTTCTTGGGGAGGGCGAGCATGATCTTGACGACGATCTGTCTGGGTGTCAGCACGGCAGGCTATGAAAGAGTGGGGGGACGTACAGATTTCACGCTGTCGGCGACTTCGTTGGCGGAGCCAATCAGACCTCGCGCACGGACGTGTCGGAAACCATCGAGAAAGACGTAGCGGAGGACGTAGTAGGTGACGGCGGTACGCGCGAATTGGTCGAAGCGACGCTGGATGCTGTCGGTGGACCCGAGGATGGACGAGAAGGCGGGCATCGCGAAGGGTGAGTGTGGGGTGGAAGGGGGTGGCGGGTGTGTGCCCGTTATATATCCTAGATTGTGGAGATGCAGATGAGAAAACAAGATGCAAATTGGCAGCAATACGGGTGTGAGACGGGCGGGCATGGGGGCCTCGGAAGCTGGTGATAACACCGTCACGTGACCGTGCCTGGACGATAAACGGGCGTTAATTGCCCGCTGGCCGAACGCGGGAAATCTAGTGCTGCAATATATCCCAGGAGCAGCCCAAATTTGGCCAGGTGCGTACCCACCCAGCGCGTTGTTTATATGTATCCCTGCGGCCAGCGCGCACATGGGGGCGACGCAGTACGTAGGATGGAGGGTAAGCGAGGCGGAGGCCGCACGCGTGTCCATCGCCATCGCCGATCTCTTTGCGCGGCTGGTTTGTTCATTGATTGATGTGCTTACATAGAGTACAGGGCTGTGGCTTCCTCAGGTGAAGGAAAAACCCCGGTTGTGCATTGTAGTACGACTTGAAGGGCCGGGGTGGGAAGGGGCTGTCGCATGTTGCTGTCGTGCACTGGATACCTCGTTCTGGACCGGACTGTGTGATAGATATGTCTGATCAAAATGCGACCATCTTCGTAGCCGTAGCTTACAGATTGAATACAATAGTATATCTTTCATGCCAATACCTCACCCCGCTCTACTCGTCAGGAATCAGCACAGAGTGCCATACGATGCACTATTCTTCTCAAAAAATCCCTCACTCAACACACGTACCGCGCCCTCACCCTCCAACCCCTCTCACCGACCTACTCCATCCCTTCTTTCCTTCCAACATATTTGCGATCAACATATCCATAGTAGACACCGATACACCCTTCACACTGAACGTAATACCCCCGACTCTTCATACCACCCATCTCCCGTTGCCGACGACGACAACGAATCGTCGTCAGAACCCACGATAGTAATTGAGGCAGCATGCAATGGTGTCTGATTTTCGGAAAGTGGGGAAGGGGATGGATCGCGTGCACAGAGAATGGGAGCAAAGCCATTGTTCCACGCCTTGACCCATTTCAAACGAGCGCATCGTCCTTGTCAAGCAGCAATCATTCAACTCACTTTCTCGACGCGCCCCGCCCGCAATCTTTTGAGTCTCTTCACTTTCCAGCCCCCCTCTCAGCCCTGTCTCCGGAATCTCTCCTTCGTGCTGACCAGCACCACCGCCCGAAACATGCGCGTTGAAAGCTTCGAGTAAGTCCTTGACATCCTGCTCTTCGACCATCGGCGATACGTCCCACCGAGCGCTGAGATACCATTGAATAGGAGACCGATCGCCGGGCTGAGGTTGAGCAGTAGAAGGATGAGAGGAATCAGCCCGCTTGCCCAGAGCCTCTTCAATCGACATCTCAGGAACGGACGCGTACGTTCGCATAATGACATGTTCGAACATCTGCAAGCCTTCCAGATTTAGCAGCGGTAATGGCGCTCGAACTCCTAGCTGTTTGGCGAGCTCGTGATTGGTCGAGTATGGAAGGAGAAAGGTATGAGGAAGAGTGTGGCGATCAAACTTTTCAAAGAACGCAGCCGGCGAATGATGATTGTTGACATCCCAGTCGAAACACTCTGGTCCCACGCCTGCTGGAGGCTTGCACTCCACTGCAATATTGCCCAAAAAGAAGGGCCCAAGCGCAAACAGTCCAACTGTCCCAAACCTTTCCCACGCACGGTGCAGCTGCTTGATGATATGCGATAGCCCCTTCTCATATCTCACCTTCGCTTCATACTCTGAATCTGTCACTTCCAGCTCAGGATCTACCTGCAGCCGCTTGAAGTCTGCCACCAGGAGCGCCCTCTCATACACTGTGTGCCTCTCGATCGAGTCTTTGTAGTGCAGGTGGGTCCTCAAGGCGAAAGTGTAAAAGACACAGTGTTCCTCGGGCGCCTTGAACATGGACGAAACTTCTGAGGACGATCTGGATCGGGGAGGGAGTGGTGTTGAGATCCCGCCAGTGGCATTTGTCGACTGCTCGAAGGATACGGTTGCTGGCTCGTCTGATTTCTTGCCTACAAGATAAATCAGCAAGAGGTCTACAACGAAAAACAGCCAAGCAAGACCAACCGTTGATAAGGTCCACTGTTTTCCCAATATCCTTGCGATACTTCAACTCTTGCGCCGCCAAATGGAGCAGATTCGCTGCGAATGATCTGGTATACTGGCTCGGACGCGTATACGGCAACCATCCTTCAGACCAGCCTCCCCCAGAACTGCATTCAACACTGACCCACGGGGGGAAAGTCTGCTCCTCCAAGTCTGCCAAATGCTTCGGCAGATCCTTGCGCACCGAGACTTCCGGAGCCGGACGACCGTCGAAGAGTATGGCTTTGACGTTCGGATCATAGCTCCCCTCGTGCACTCTGTTCATCAGCGAGTAGTATGGAGTACGGTTCCCGTTCAGAGAAAGAGGCTCTGGGTGTTCGACCTTGAGAAGTTGCCCGACTTTGATGTTGGCCCATTTCTCAAGTCGTTCGTCTAATGGGGAGTTCTGTCGCTTGTCGTGATTCACGGAAATGTTCGCAAAAACTCTGGAACAGGCCCTCTTCGAGAACGGTCGTTGCATGGGGAGGAGCTTGGGGGAGAGAAGTATCGCGATCCATCGTATTGGGACCCTGGCTGGCGGGAGGATTCTGATTTGTCGCTGTGGGGAGGAGCTGGATGGGATGGACGATGCTTTGTTTAGGTTGGTTCGGAGTAGAATGATCCTCGTTCATGGTGATGTGATGCGGATCTTCGAGTATTCGAGGGAGACGATAAGGATGCGAGATGGCAACGAATGTGGACAGTGGAACCAAACAGAAACCTTATGGCGTTTCGGCGTTTGACGGTTCGAGCCTAGTTTGGCACTATCCTCCTTCACAGATGTTAAGACGCTGCTTGCTGTCCGTAGTCATCTACACATACCATGCATGTGCATATCGAAGACCAGTATCCATGCCTTGCATTCCTCATCGAATCCGCCAGAGAAAACATTCGGGGCAAAGGGCCGGGGGCCGGGAGCAGACTGCTAATTGCCCCTCTACCGAACGCGGGAAATCTAGTACTGCAATTATAACTTTCTCAAGTATGCCAGAATTACCAGGTGCGTAGCCAGCCAGCCGCTCCATCACCGCCCGCGGCCTGCGCTGACACGGGGGCGGCAGAGGTCGAGCGAGCCCGCAAGCTCATACAGGAAACTTGCGTGGGATATACCATCGCGGAGGTGGATTCGGTGGAGGACAAGATAGTCTATACAGCGGGCACCGATCATGAAGAGTTTGTGAGTCACCCTCTGGATATGCATCGGTATCTCGCTGATACATGGGCAGGCGAACGAAATCAAAGGCCGCACGATCACTGGCTGTGAGCGCAAGGGCAAGACGTGAGTCCTCCGCCCATCGCCGATCTCTTTATGTCGCCGAGATGGGCCGATGCTGACCTTGCGCGTATAGCTTCTGGATGACCTTGTCAGGCGATGGGCGATACCCTGTGATGCATTTCGGTATGACTGGAATGATACAGCTGAAAGGCCAAGAGCCGACATGGTACAGACGGAGACCCAAGGAGAGTGCCGATGTCTGGCCGCCAAAGGTAAGTTTCCTCTCTTACTTCCTGATCCATGCTCACATATAGTGCAGTTCTACAAGTTGTCAGTATCCCATCCTGTCTCATCATTACTCAGTCAGCTCACGGTCTCAACTTGATCAGCGTCTTGAAGCTGCAGCCCCAGGAAGGATCAGTCGCCTCGGAAGCCCTTGAGCTGGCCTTCATCGACGGTAAGCTCCCCTTTCCCTCATATCAATCACTCTTACTGACCTAATTCAGCCCGGCGCCTGGGCCGTCTTCGCCTCGTCCCATCTCCAGTCACCGATCACCCCCCAGTCTCTCTTCTCGGTTTCGACCCCATCCTCTCACACCCATCTTTCGAAGATTTCCAAGAACTTTTGAAGAAGAAGAAGGGAACGATCAAAGGTGTCATCATGGACCAAGCTTTCAGTGCTGGTGTTGGGAATGTACGTCTCCATCTTATCGGCGTTTTTGGAGCATGCGAAGCTGACCTGTGCATCGTAGTGGGTCGCGGACGAGTTAGTCACCTCATCATATAGTACAACACCGAGCTGACCATCCACCAGAGTCTTATTCCAATCCCGGATTCACCCCTCCACCCCCGTTCCCCTCCTCACCCCTGACCAGATTCTCGCTCTCCACGACCAACTACACGAAGTCTGCCAAACCGCCGTCGACGTCAATGCCGATTCCAAATCCTTCCCAGAAGGCTGGCTGTTCCGATGGAGATGGGGCAAGGGCGCTGCTAAGAAGAAGAAGGGCAAGAAGGCGAAGGAGCAGGATGAGGAAGGTGAAGAAGACGTGGAGCCCGCTGGCAAAAGCTTCTTGGCACTTGTACGTATTTCTCAAAGTATGTGTGAGTGATGAAGCTGACCGTGCTGTTTAGCCTGACGGTACCCCAGCAACAATAAATTTTATCGAAGTCGGTGGCCGTACCACAGCCCTGGTTGAAGAAGTGCAGAAGATGCCGGAAGGGGTTGAGATCAGACCGAAAATCATAAAAGGGTCGAAAAAGAAGGTCAAGGAAGTAGAGGAGGAGGAGGTGAGAGTCTCACGATTGTTGTATATGAGGCTAATGGTCTAACCGTAGGATGCCGACTCTGAAGATGACGACGAGGAAAAGCCCGAAAAACGAGCGAGAAGTACGACAAAGATACAAAGAACGGTAGCAGCAAAGAAGCGGAAAGCCCCAGACGTGGATGTGACGGAAGAAGAAGAGGAGGAGGAGAAGCCGGCACAGAAAGTGAGTGTTCTGTTTACAAATCATCACTTCAGCCAATGTGTCCTACAGTCTAGGAAGACTTCGAAGAAGGATGTCAAGCCCCCGAAAGCAACGACCAAGGAACCATCAACGAGACCCTCAAGAGCCTCGGCGCGCAAACGACCTTTGCCAAAGTCTCCAGAATCATCTGAGCTATCCGAGTTGGCTGACTGAAAAGCTCAAAGTATGTAGCGGTCTCATGTATGAGCTTTTATCCCCCGGTTTTCCAACATCTTCAGAGCGCTACATTCTTTCTATACTGACTATGTGGAAGGAGTCGATCCGGTCAAAGTCTCGCTTCGGCCCGAGTCTGTACCTAAAGCTGGGTCTCGTGAGGCGGAGGAAATCTTGGGGAGGGACGTCGATGGTCAGAAAGGTGATAAAAAGGGGGCGAGGCGCAGGTTTGGAGGGGATGAGGAGAAGGGTTGAGCATCTTGAATCTGTGTAAGGCCAGAATTCTGATTTGTGGATCTTATCGACGATCTACCCCTGTGTTTGCGGTGTTATACGTCTTGTAGCTATACTCATACCCGCCGCCAGTGGGCGTCGTTTTTGTTCTGTATTGGTTTGACCTCCATGGCAATCTAGATTTCATGTATTGATTCATAGTCTGCTAGAGGAGCCGAGAGATACGCTCCGGGACATTGCCGGAGTCACGTGAACTGACGATATAGACCTGTTGTTTGGTTCGCCTCTTCGGGGCTTTTAAAGCCCGTCTTGTGATCCAAGCTTGGCGTATCTATGACGTCGTCAGGGCGAGGATATATCGTCACCGTATATCTATACACGATACATGACATCTAGAATGTAGATAGAGATTGGACTAATAAGAGACAAACAGTATACCGATTAGGGTATGGCAAGACTATAGCTACAAGATAGGCTACACAACAAGAAACCGCATCACGACCCGAAGATCTGGTCTTACACAAACTCGTGATGCTCGATCCTCCCCTTCTCTCCCTTCTCCTTCCCATCAAACCTCTGCCTCGCCCCATTTCCACCGTCCTTCTGACTGTCCACATTCCTCCCCAAGATCTCCTCGGCCTCACGAGACCCAGCCTTGGGCACAGATTCGGGGTGGAGCGAGACTTTGACAGGGTCGAGTCCTTCGACATAGGCTTTAGCGAAGATGATATCGAGGTCTTCGAGAGAGTAGCGCTTGGTCTCTGTGAATGGGATCAGCTTGGCCACAAGCGGAATAAGAGAATAAAAAGGGGAGGGACGTACCAGGGAAGAAGAAGTACAATCCAGGGAACATGATGATCCCGTTCATAGCCGCAAAGAACGCATACGTCCCCCATCCAATGTTCGCAAACATCGGTCCCGTCGCCATCACAACCATAAAGTTGAAGATCCAGTTCGACGCCGTACTCAACGCATTCGCAGGCGCCCTGATCCTTAAAGGCGTCACTTCAGCGGGGTAGAGCCAGGTAATACCGAGGAAACCGATGGAGAACCATGTGTTGAAGAGGAAGAGCATGAGGACGGAGACGACTTGGGCGGCCTTGTTCTGGTCTTGGGCTTTGTTGTAGAGACCGGCGAGGACGGCCATGGTGGCGCATTGGGCGAGGGCCATCCAAAGCATGAGGGATCGACGACCGGCGCGCTCGATAATGGCGATGGCGATGAGACTACAGTCATGTCAGCGTGGAGGAGAGATGGGAGAGGAGAAGAGGACGTACGACGTGAGGAAGTAGCATGTACCGTTGACACCAGAAATGACTCGAGACATCTCATCAGACAGCCCAAGACCGGAAAGGACAGAAGTGAGATAATAGGTAATCAAGCTATCCCGCAATCAGTACCGATCAGAAGAGAAAGACAATCAACTCACTTGATACCACAGATCTGCTGATAACACTGAGCCACAACACCCAACATCGTCCTCCTGAAGTTCTGCGTCTTTCCTCCCTTGAAGATCTCCTTGAAGCTGAACTCTCCCACGTGCTCGGCCGCGATAGCGTCGGTGATACCGTGGAAGACGGTGACCACAGCGGGGTCGGTGACCGAGGTGTTGTCGAGGGCAGCGAGGACGGCGAGGGCTTGGGGGAACTTGCCTTTAGCTGCCAGCCATCGGGGCGATTCGGGGAGACGGAATGCATACTGAAAGGTTGTCAGGATAGGAAAGGGTAAACCAAAAGGGAAGACGTACCAAACAAACGATCATGATGATGATAAACACTAGCTGGAAAGCGATAGGGAACCTCCACGAGATACTCCCAGTCGTGTAGAAGAAACCCAGATCGACCCTATACACCTGTCAGACATCTACAGACGCAGCAAAGACGAATCAGGGCTCACCAGTACGACACCATAACACCAAAGGTGATTAGACTGCCTTCAGCGAGCACCAATTGTCCTCGACGATAAGCCTTGGAGCATTCGGATTGATAGGCAGGGACGGTAGAAGTGAGGAGACCGTTTCCGATACCGGTAATGACACGGGCGACGAGCATCATCGCATAGTCGATGGCAGCGGTCTGGAGGATGGAGCCGATGAGCATAATGAAACCACCCCTGAGAACCTATCAGCATTATGCCCCAGAGACAAGCAGGAAGGCAACTCACAAAGCAATAGTATGCCGTCTACCAAGCCTGTCGCCTACCCAGATATTCGAAAGTGCTCCGGCCATACATCCAATCTCATCTACGCCCCGAGTGAGCGCTTGTTCGCGATGTAGTATAAGAGAAGTGACTGACAGATAGCAACGAGGAGGGATTGGAGAGTGGCAGTAGTGGAGCCTTCGAAACCACCAGCTGTCTCTGGAAACTGCTGTTCGAACGAGTCAAGCGTAAGAAGACCCGACATGACACCTTGGTCATACCCTGTGCTCTCATCAGTACCACAATCAGTCCGTGATGAATAGAGCACAATCAGTCCGTGATGAATAGAGACTCACCAAACAGTGTAAATCCTGTTCCCGCGACAAACGTGACCATCCAAGTCAGCCAATTGCCCTTGATCCTCGACGGAGCCACATCTCTCGCTGTCTGATAGTCATCTTCCGTCAGACGATAACCATTGCCTTCATGGATCTTGCTGTCACCGAGACTTTCGCCGATAAAGTTGGCGCCTGGGTTGGGGGCCGCTGTTGTGAGTGGCATGTCAGAATGTGGTAATGTGTTTCGAGAAGTAACGAAGGCTGGAAGAGTACTTGTTAGGACAAGCGGAATACCAGGCTGCTGTTTATATACCTCTCACCCCACCTCGTACCGGCTAACACGCCCCATTCTCTCCCGAGCCCTCACCGAGCCCGACCAGATGTCAACAGGGTATGCGTCAACATCTTAATCTGGCCACTGCAATTGCGTGGATTGTCGCAGGCCGAGTTCGGAATGAGCCGAAAAGAATCGTCGAAATCAGGGTCAAAATGCCACTTAGCGCAGGTTACAGCCGCAAAAATACGTCATTACCGAAAAAGTCACGTGTATGTACGTATGTTCTCGGCTTGTTTGGTCCTGTCTGCTTTGGTTCTGGCGTCAGTTTTTCCGCATGCGAGAGACGTACATAAGCCATCTCCCTGGCTTTTTGGGCATACCTCAGAAGTGATGATCCCACGAGTCTACGACCTTCGACGTATAATGCATCTTGACCTACAGCATGAAGAGAATGTCGCTAGAATATCTGGAACAGCATCAAGCGTCCTCGCAAGAAGAGTGAATAGGGCCAACGCAGGGTTCAAGTAGTCAACAACAGAATAGATTGTATCACGCTTGCAATCGTCAAGCTGGTCATTTCATACTTGATATTCATTTGTTTTGCATACATAGCGTGGCTTATCATCTAGAAGCTACAGAAAATGATAAACCAGTAACCCAAAACAAAACAGCATAAGGCAGCTACGTGGAAAAGACCAGACTATTCCAGCTTTATTTTACAATTCCACCCTAAACACCACTCGAGTAAACATCACAAGTCATAATGCGCGGAAGAAACAAAGAGAAGTCTTTAAACATTCTCGTGATGCGAAGGCCTGTCCTTCTCCCCATTCCCAACCTCAAAGTGCTCCTGCTCCTGCCCGCCCTTGTGGCCCTTCCGGCTCTTCACCCTCCCATCCACATTCCTGCCCAAAATCTCCTCAGCTTCGCGAGAACCGGCCTTGGGCACAGTCTCGGGGTGGAGGGAGACTTTGACGGGGTCGAGGCCTTCGACGTAGGCTTTGGCAAAGATGATATCGAGGTCTTCGAGGGAGTATCTCTTGGTCTCTGTATAGTGCGTTAGCTTGTTAGAAGGAGATGGGAGGAGGGGGAGACGTACCAGGGAAGAAGAAGTACAATCCAGGGAACACGACAACCCCGTTCATAGCCGCAAAGAACGCATACGTCCCCAGTCCAATATTCGCAAACATCGGTCCCGTCGCCATCACCACCATAAAGTTGAAGATCCAGTTACTCGCCGTCGACAGCGCGTTGGCGGGCGCACGGATGCGGAGAGGGGTGACTTCGGCGGGGTAGAGCCAGGTGATACCGAGGAAACCGATGGAGAACCATGTATTGAAGAGGAAGAGCATGAGAACGGAGACGACTTGGGCGGCCTTGTTCTGGTCTTGGGCTTTGTTGTAGATACCGGCGAGGACGGCCATGGTGGCGCATTGGGCGAGTGCCATCCAAAGCATGAGGGATCGACGACCGGCGCGCTCGATAATGGCAATAGCGATGAGACTACAGTCATGTCAGCGTGGAGGAGAGATGGGAGAGGAGAAGAGGACGTACGACGTGAGGAAGTAGCATGTACCGTTGACACCAGAAATGACTCGAGACATCTCATCAGACAGCCCAAGACCGGAAAGGACAGAAGTGAGATAATAGGTAATCAAGCTATCCCGCAATCAGTACCGATCAGAAGAGAAAGACAATCAACTCACTTGATACCACAGATCTGCTGATAACACTGAGCCACAACACCCAACATCGTCCTCCTGAAGTTCTGCGTCTTGCCCCCAGAAAAGATCTCCTTGAAGCTGAATTCTCCGACTTGTTCAGCGGCGATAGCATCGGTGATACCGTGGAAGATGGTAATGACAGCGGGGTCGTCGACGGAGGTGTTGTCGAGGGCGGCGAGGACGGCGAGGGCTTCGGGGTATTTTCCTTTGGCAGCGAGCCATCTGGGGGATTCGGGGAGACGGAAACAGTACTGATGGAGTTGTTAGAGAGGGTCGGGTAGCAGTAGAGGATGGGGAGGACGTACCATGCAGACGATCATGACGATGATGAATACCAATTGCAAAGCGATAGGGAAACGCCAAGAGATACTTCCAGTGGTGTAGAAGAATCCGAGATCGACCCTGCTATGTATCAGCCCTGCTCGCTATGCACGAGAAGCCAAACTCACCAGTAGGAAATCATGATACCGAACGTAACCAATGACCCTTCTGCGAGCACAAGCTGCCCTCGGCGATGCGCCTTTGAACATTCCGACTGATAAGCAGGGACGGTAGAGGTGAGGAGACCATTGCCAAGACCGGTGATGACACGAGCGACGAGCATCATGGCGTAGTTGACAGCGGCGGTTTGAAGGATGGAGCCGATGAGCATGATGAAACCGCCCCTAGTGGATGTCAGCTAAGCGCCGAGAGAAGGGACATCGTACGTACAAGGCGATAGTGTGCCGACGACCTAGACGATCACCAACCCAGATGTTTGACAGAGCACCGACCATACAACCGATTTCGTAGATAGCAACAAGAAGAGACTGGAGGGTGGCGGTTGTGGAACCTTCGAAACCACCGGCGGTTTCTGGAAATTGGTTCTCGAATGACTCGAGCGTCAAAAGACCGGACATGACACCTTGGTCGTAACCTGCCTTTCATCAGCGCCCATTCCTCCCCATATGCCAAGAGATTTACCAAAAAGGGTGAAACCAGTACCGGCGACAAAAGTGACCATCCAAGTCAGCCACTTGCCCCGGATTGCGGAAGGCCTGACATTGCGAGCAGCATCGATGTCGTCTTGAGAGAGTCGGAAACCGTTTACCTCATCCGCTGTGACAGTCTTCTCGCCGATAAAGTTGACTCCAGGGTTGGGCGCTGCTGTAGTAAGAGGCATAGTGTTGGATGGCGAGGGATGGGGAAAATGTCAGCCGCTGATAGATTGTGTTTTTATGTATCTCTCGTACCTAGAGGTCATACGGAAGTTGCTCCGGTGGGCCGGAGAGATGAGCAGGGTAATTAAGCGCTGCATACGCTGAGAGGGAGATGGATCCAAGCCACATTCGGTCGACGCCCGGAACATGCCCCGCACGACGCCGGCGGCACAAACACACAGACCAGGCACGGGCCACAGGGACCCCACCTGGGCCACGCGGGGAACGAAGCAGTGATGTCATGCTTCTGCCCGCCCCGCCGATTGCCCCTGACTCACCGAGTGCTCACCGAGCGCATTCGGCACTCATTCGGCCAGTGTCTGGTGTGACCGAGTACACGTCCCGCTTGAGTTACCCGGCTGCTCACGCGATCAATTCATGTCCTGTTTCAGAAGAGTGCAGATCAAATGGCAGGGTGGGCAAATGTCAGCCGTCGAAGTCACAACATGGTCATGCAGCGGTGATTTGCGCCCCTTTCTCGCTCAACTTCAGGTACAGAGCTCTCTCATCAGCGCAGATTCTGAAGGGCCTCCAAGACGACGTCGCCAGCATCAAGACACGTCGAGAGTCCATCCTGAAGGACATTGAGCAGATGGCTTTGGAGGATAGAGAGGATGCCGAAAAGGCCGCGAGGGAGGCGCAAGCGATAGCGGATGCGGATGCGGAAAAGGAGGACCCAGAGGAAACTGAGTTGTCTGAGGGTGAAGATGAGGACGAATAGTCGCATCCAACGCTCAGATCAGATAGTCGCCGACCAACGACAGAAGGACGAGTGCACGGTTAATGAGACAACTCAATGACAAGAACAAAGGAAGAGCCCAACCACACCAATCATGTTGTGCTACATAATTAATCTTACCGCCTGGCTACCATCAAATGGTCTCGTTGGTGTAGGGTTATCATGCCCTGTTTGGGTGACCTTGATACTGAATACTACAGTAGATCACTATCGTGTCAAATAGCTGAAATCTTCCTCAGTAAGGGGCCACTCCCCCTTCTCCGACTTCTCTTGGTCTGCCGTCATCTCTTCGTACTCTTGGAGATGACCGGCGCTGGTCACATCCTCAATACGCTTCGGCCAGAGCTCTTGAATCTCCGTAGGGGCATCAATATCATCCTCTTCAACCAACCTAAATTCAACTTTATTCCAATCAATGAAAGTGTCATCAGGTCACCCTAAGAGGGCATGCTACCACTGCACCAACGAAACGGCTATGCCACCGAAGACCACATGACGTAAGACAAATTGTGCATCTCAGGTTGAATGACTCGTAGCATCAACTCTCAGCTGAGAACAATCCCATCCTCGCATATGCCATCCCCTGTTCAATCGCAGCGCGCACCCCATCTACCACCGGTACATATCTCCCACACTTCTTCTGTATCGCACCCTCAAAATCTGCCCGCATCGTACACATGCCCTATCAAGCGATCAGACATCTACACCGAGTGAAAGGTAGAGAAGACTTACACCACAGCCCAGTATAAGCACCGCAGCCCCCCTCTCCACCAACTGTTCACCTGCCGAAATCATGGCGTCAAGATTGCCTTGCAGGTTGACAGCATTATGCCCACAACCGACCGTTCCCGTATACCGACTTGCCGCGACACCCATAGCACGGATAGCTTCATCGAACAACGGTTCCCACTCTATCTCTACATCAGCATTTCTCAGTCTGTTTGGAAGACAAGACTCACGTTTTCCGGTGGTGACGATCCCAAACGTCGGGCCTAATTGGAGGGCAGAGTAGACAGCGACGTCGAAGAGGCTGATGATCGCCGGACAAGGGTGGGGAAGGGCTTCTTTCAGAGCAGGGACGAGAGGATGGGCTGAAAAACACCCTATGATAATCGCTCCATACGTCCCCAGCTCTTTCTTCTCTTCGCCCTCTCCATCTCCATCTGCATCCTGCCGATCCAACCCCAGATCACGCAAGACGATGGCCGCAGAAACGACCCCATCTAGACTCCCATCTATACTTTTTGGCGCAGACTCCGGGGCATTGTAAAAATCAATCCTCACATCGGAAGGAATGAGCTGCAGGAGATGGGAGGCTTTGGCCAAGTTGGCAGAGTTGTTTGAGGTGGGGCTCACGTAGAGGAGACGTGTAGCGGACGTAGGGCTGCCGATCGAAGCTGCGAAGGGGAGTTTGGAAGACATATTGGAGGTGGTTGATATGGAACAGACATGAGATGTATGGCATCTACCAATGCGAGCGTGAGCGAGGGAGGGTCTGATGAAAGTTGTCTAGTGGAGATAGCACGAGATTCGCGCGAGATACGTAATCGTCATGGCCGATAGCGGCATTTGCCGCCCTCTCGATACCCACAACGATCACCAGACGATCACAGAGCAACAAGTCAAGATAGCTCTCTCGCTCGAACCAATCAACAATGCGCAATGTCCTCTTCAAACCAGGGCCCATCGACAGTACGAAGGACACAGCGCGCTCCAAAAAGGTCAGTCTTCCCCTTCTCCTCTGAGCTGTCTGCTCCCTCGCTGACCTCGTCCCACGCAGGTGTAAACTCTGCGCCAAAGTCAGTCACCCTTCCCCTCCCTCTTTCACCCCTTGCTGACAGCTCGCTAGCGCCGGATCAAATGCGACACCCAGATCCCCTGCAAAGAATGTACAGCCCGCGGCCTCGCCCATCTCTGCCGGAAAGAGACAGTCATCGTCAAAGGCCGAATTGTTAGTGATGGCGACGATAAGGGTGATTTGGATGAGAGGCTGAAAGTGATGAGTAAGGAGGAGCTTTGGGGACAGGTGCAGGGGTTGATGAAGGAGAATGAGGGGTTGAAGATGATGGGTACTGGAGCGAGTGGCGCTGTGAGTGGTTTGTCGAGATATTGACTGTACTCATCCCTCTTTCAGAAGATCCATCCATCCTCAGAAAATAGATCACAATCAAAGCATGCTCCTCAAAATGATGATCTAAGCAACATGGCTAGACGGCTCGGTTTCCTCCACGAAAGCAGCTGCCTCAGTATCGACCCACCGAACATCGACAACAGTCCGTCTTTCCCCCTGTCCACATCTTTTCGAGACATCTACTAATTCCAGACCAGAGATAGACGACTGTGTGACCTTCCCTTCAGGCCTCCAACTACCCTCGCAAGAAACCAGCTACCACCTCCTCTCCTACGTCTTCACCCACCTCGGCTGGCTCCTCTGCCCCATCCCATCCTCTTTCCAAGACCAAGCTTCATTCATCTTTTCCCCAGATTCACCCTCCCCTTTCAGCCATCTTCACACCGCCAAAAGCCTCGCAGAAGCTCGACCATCATGGTCCGTGCTCTCCTTTGCATTGATCTCGGTCGCGCTGGTTTATGCGCCTGCGGAGCTGTTGGAAGGGTTGGGTATAGGGGTGGAGCAGAGAACGTTCTTTGCGAGGTTGTGGTTCCGGGCTGCGGTCAGCACCATGCTGGACGGAGGGTCATGCCTCGTGAATCCTAGTATGATCCAACTTCAAACGTTCTGCGTGCTTACGCTTCTCTTCCAACCTTTCGAGTACGTCTCTCTCTCCCTTTCGTCCCCCGGTGGCAGACGGAATGCGTTGCTGATACTTTGATAAGCTATATGGCTCTACATGATACGTTGCTGGCGAGTATGATACAAGTAGCCAGGATGTTGGGACTTCATCTCCTCAAAGATTCGACTATGGAACGGACAGCGTCGAGTGAGATCGGGCGCCGGGTGTGGGCGTTCTTGCTAGCTCGTGAAGTGTACGTCTTCTGTGTTTCTCCCTCAACGATCCCTCAGTCTGACTGGTGTACAGGCATTATACGGGAGAAAGCTATTGTCCTTCCGGTAAGGTCTTCCCAAGCCCAGCAAACGACAATGATGTGTGCTGACGTTTGCACAGTCTCAAGAGAAGAACAAGAACCCTTCGCCTCTTTCCTAAACATCTCCGAGCCCGATACTATCCCCCTCATCCCCCTACCCCTTTCACATCCCACACGCGTCTCGTATCTCCTAGCAGGCAGTCGCATGACGGCCTTGACCCGCGATATCAAACGGTTACCGCCCGACGCGGATTATGCAGAGGTTCTCAAGATGGACGAGAGGATAAGGGATATGAATAAGGATATGGAATGGTTGGAGAAAGACGATGCGAGCCATCCTGCATGGGTCGCCACGGGTAAGTCTCCTCACTCAGAGACGTGCGCTAATCGTCAACGCAGCCCGACACGTCCTCTTTCTCAAAACCTGCCAACGCCGGCTCTACCTCCACCGCCACTACTTCTCCCTCACCGCCACCCACCCCCAATACGCCCCTTCCCGCCTCATGTCTCTCCAAGCAGCATCCGACATCTGCCTCGAACGCTTTTTACACGACCTCCCTTTCGACGACAAACTCGACACGATCAATGGTGTCTTGCCCGCGGCTATAGTGTTGTTGTTGGACGCTATCTACCCACTCAAGGGGGAGAGGCTTACGTTTGGATTTGTGATTCAGAGGTGTGAGGAGGTGGAGAGGCTTTTGGCTCCGATACGGTTTAGCACTTATCGGTCGTCGACGCAAACGATCAACATTACTCTCAAATCTGTTGACAGGCTTTTGGCGGATACGCTTCAGGCAGCTCAAGCGGCAGAGATCGTTCGGGCTTCGTGGACACAGCTTGTATTGCAGCCGGGAGGGGATACGTTTGGTGACTTGCTTGATGGGCTTAGTTTTGGTACGTCTCTAATCCCTGTCTTCTTTTGCCACTCAAAGAGATGGGATGTGGCGGAGCTGATGTCGTGTGACCTAGGGAGTTTGCTGGATAGCTTCGAGGATATGGGGCCGGTGGGATCTGCTTGAAGCGAAAAACCTCTCGGATCATACCATCGCCATTTTGTTGTACTTTTTAACATGCACCTGTACATTTCCTCGAGCACTCGATTCATCTAATCGCAATCCCTAACTGCTGATGACATTTATCACCTCGTTGCCCTCTGCGCCCGCTTGACCCTCATAGCCTTATACTCTCCTCCTAACACGCGCTTCGTATCCCTCGGCACGCCTTTGCTTTCGATGATGTTGCCAAACTCTTCCTCAGAAAAATTGCTGTGGCCGAGGGGTTCCAAGACTGTTTCGTCGTCGGGTTGGATAAAGTACGCGATAGCTACGACTTTCGTCAGCCTAGATGCACAAGAAGGCAGAGGATCATGGGATCGAGGGATAGAGGTGCTTACAGAAACGCGAAGCCTGTTCTGCCTGTGTACGCGGCATCACAACCCTATGGATAGTAGACTGGTCCTCCTCATCAGCTCAACACTCTCTCCACCATCCAGCACAAACTCACTCTCAACCTCGCTCCCGACCAGAACTCCAAAGCATCCCCAATATTGACCACCACGCATCCTTCCCTCGGGGCTACGTCGAGCCATTGACCGTGTCGGGAGACTTGAAGGCCGGAGATGTGATGTTGGAAGAGGAGGGTGAGGGAACCGAGGTCGGTGTGGGCGCCGGCGCGGATATCGGGACTGTATGGGTTGCATGTCAGTAAAATGGCTCAGGAGTGGAGGGAGGGGAGTAGGCGTACACATTGGGGTCCGCTGGCTGGTGGTCGGATGAGACGGGTGGGTAGTGAAGGAGACGCAGACGATTGTGTCTATTGATGTGTTAGTAAATAGTAGGGGGACTTGTACAACGGTGTGTTGGTGGCTTACTGTCCGTTATGATACTTGACGAGAGCTTCGCGATCCCACTAGTGAAGTTTTCGTCAACGTTTCCCTGGCACACGGCCGAGTCGCCAACTTACTCCTAAAGCCACCGCCAAACCCCTCAGAATCCTCTTTGCCGTCTCCCCACAAGCCTTTACAAATTGATCCAACAATTCTCTCTTCTCCTCGAGTGTCGGGGGAAGCTGTTGGTGGAGATTGTGTGCCGACATGTAAGAAGAGTCGGTCACGAAGAAGGATTCTTTATAGTCGCCGGAGGAAGGCATGAACCAAGACAGGCTATGCAAGGTATCAGTGACGCGTCTAAGACCGGAGACTGCTGCTTACGCTTCTTGACGACTAAAAGAGTGTCTCGTCAGTACCTGGCAGTGATAAATAGCAGCAGCAGCTTACGGAGCGGTATATCCCATGTCCCCATTGCCAGCTACCTTCTCGCCCTCTGGCGCTCCTAGAAAGAACGAACTCGAGGCTCCAAAAGCCCCATCAATCAACGCTTGAGGGATACCGTGATCTTGCAGGTAAAAGAATCCGTCCGAGTTGGCGGCTGCGAGAAGCTGTTTAGCCAGAGCCTCGTCGTTGGCACACTCGGATAGAGAGATGAGGCGGAGGACAGAGTCGTCTTCGGATTGGGGAGGTGGGATGGCGATCGGCATTGTGCTTGTAGTATGGGGTATTGGCAGTAGGGAAGAGGAGCCTGTTATACCTTGCCAACTGGGCTTCGGAAGTCTTCGGGCTTCAAGCATCATTTTCCGCGCGAGATCCGCACGAGATCCGCGCGAGATAGATAACGCTGCGCTCGAGATACTCCTACCCATCATCTGACAGCGGCCACATAGCCGCTGGGGCGCCATACTGTACCATTTGTAGGCGCCAGCTTGACCAAAATCTGCCTGAAGTAGTCACTAAAGGTGATATTCATTCACTGACTACATACAGCACAAATCGCCCGACAAAGAATGTTGAGAGCAAAGCAAAGCCCGAGCGGTGATCCCCGAAAGCCGAAAGGCCATCCAAAACAACACCGCGCATCTCTTATCTTCGTTCTAGTGCCATCCAAACAGATAGCGCCAGTCCCGCCCCAGATAAATCATGGCAAGGAGCAACCAGAAGCGATACATTGAAATATGGCCGACTTTCATTTGACCCACAGCCAAACACCCGGACTTTGTCGCGCACACCATGAACCTCAAAGCCTTATTGAAAAAGCTCGAAGTGGATAATCATGTAAGTGTTTCTCGAGATAGGCCCCTCTGTGAAGTCTCAAAGCTGATGACATGTAGGGGGAGCAGGTCAACGTGGAGGGGCAATTCATCAATCAAGATACCATCCCTCAGCCCAAGTCTAAGCGTAACTATGGCCCTTGGAGGTGAGTCCATATCATCGATCAGCTCCATATTTCTTGTCTGACGCCCTTCTAGCTTCGTAGGGAGTGAGTAGGCTTCTGCGCTTCTGGATATTACTTATACAGATATCAGTCTGGATGGTCACTGGCTCCTTCAATATCGGCGGTTATACAACGGGTAGGCTTATCAGCTTTCGTTTCTCATCTACATCACTCACCTTGCTCTTCAGGATCATCTCTGATATCTCTCGGACTCAACGTCTGGCAAGCTATGCTCGTCGTCATCATCGGACATATCATCAACGGCTTCATCTGCGTCGGAACAGGCTGGCCGTGAGTGATGGCACTATATCATGTTCTCGCTCGTCGCTCAATATCTGTATAGAGGTGGAAAATACCACATTGGGTATCCGATTCTTCAAAGGGCAGCATGGGGAACCAGAGGCGCCGTGAGTTTGATTTGTCACATCTTTCTATGAATAGCGCTTACCTGTCCATAGGACTTCGTGATCGCTCTCCGTATCGTCCTCACCTTTACCTGGATTGCCATTCAACTCTGGTGGGGTTCTCAAGTGGTCAAGACTTTCATCGGTGCTATTTGGCCTTCCTTCTACAACCTTGCTACTCCTCTCGCCTCCGGTACCATGGTCGTCTCGGACTTTGTAGCCTTCATCCTCTACGCCCTGATCTGCGCGCCCCTAGTCTTCTTTAGACCCCAAAAGTACCACCTCTTCTTTGCCGTAAGCTCGGTGGCTATGGTCGTTTGTGTGTTTTCGATGCTTGGGTGGGCTGTGGGGACCGCAGGAGGGCCAGGAGCCTTGGTGCATGATACGTCGGCTTTGGCTGGTGTCCAACCTGCCAAGGGGTCTGACCTTGGATACGCGTTCGTCTTTGGTATCAGCAGCATGCTCGGAGGTCGTACGTCCTCTTCCCATTCCGTCACCTACTTCCACTAACACAAACTCTAGTCTCTGTCCACCTCCTTCATCAATCTGACTACACACGGCTCGCCCGCAAACCAGGCGACCAAGTCTTGTCACAACTCGTCATCGTTCCCCTCGGCACAATCCTCAACTCTCTTATCGGCATCATCGTCACCTCCTGCGCTGCCCAGCTCTATCCATCCGAGGGTCTCCTCTGGGAACCGTTCGACCTATTCCAGGTTGTACAGTCTGATAGCGGGAACAGCGGGAGAACAAGGTGTGCGGTGGCATTTGCGAGTTTGGCTTTCATCTGCGGACAGCTGGGTTTGACGGTGTGCGGTAATACCTTTGCGGGTGGTATTGATCTGGCTGGGCTGTTCCCTCGGTACTTTACTATTCGCCGCGGAGCGTACCTCACCCTCTGCATGGGCTTTGTAAGTTTGAACACTGGCCGGTGAATGTTATAGCTGACATATCAAACAGGTGATGCAACCATGGTCTCTCCTCAACGGCGCTAGCCAGTTCCTAACAGTCATCTCTGCCTTCTCTACCTTCCTCGCTCGTAAGCTCCCGTCCCCCTTTCACCCCTCGTCCAGCCTCACTGATGCCTCTTCCTCCCCAGCAATGATCGGCATTCTCATAGCCGACTTCTTTATCCTCCGCCACCGCCGCCTCTCCCTCCTCAACCTCTTCACAAACTCTCCCAAATCCATCTACTGGTCATTCCACGGCGTCAACATCCGGACATTCGGGTGCTGGCTGACTGGTGTCATCCCTTTCTTGCCGGGGTTTGCGAGTAATGTGGAGAGGAGCGGGCTTACGGGGGCTATAAGGCTCTACCGACTTGGCTTCGTACGTCTTTCCTTTGCTTTACTCTGCTGGCATCACTCTATAGGATACAGTCGACTGACGTCGGTGCCCATAGATTGTCGGTTTCGCCATCGGCTTTGTCACATACCTCCTCGTCAACCTCGTCTGGCCTCCTGCTTCACCCGACCTCGAAGACGACGAAGACCACTTCGGCACCTTTGATGACGCTCCGACGGAAGACGTTGAGCGACAGCAGGTGGGAACGGACGAGGAGAAAGAGGACGCAGGTGAGAAGGGGTCGAGCGCGTCTGTCCAAGTGCTTGGGGCTTGAGTTCGGTTTATTATCGTACGAATATAGAGGTGGATTGTGCTTCATAATGTCAGGTCTTGTTGGAATGGTTTGGGAATTGGGGGTCAAAATGATAGTATGATGATTGTATGAATGTTCGAAATGAGCTGTTTCATATGTGCCATGCTCCACCATGTTATGAACAAGGCTATATACTACAGACACAAGAATCACTTGATACTGGATACTCCAGTAAATCACTTGTCAAAACTGGAGAACTCCTTGTCAGTGCTTGTACAGCAGCTTGAGACGATATTCATGAACATACCTGGAGAACTCCTTGTCAGTGCTTGTACAGCAGCTTGAGACGATGAGGAGACTCCAGACAGGATAGCTAATCTCTATACGGCATGGCAGGGAGCATAGAGCGTCACCAGTAATTTACGTAATCCCTTTTTCTCTAAATCTCCCTGAGTCCTTTAACGCCGATGCCTACGTCTGTTCCTACTCTTCGGCTGGACTCCGACATCACTATCGTGTCAAATAGCTGAAATCTTCCTCAGTAAGGGACCACTCCCCCTTCTCCGACTCCCCCTTCTCCGACTTCTCTTGGCCTGCGAGATGACCGGCGCTGGTTACATCCTCAATACGCTTCGGCCACAGCTCTTGAATATTCGTAGGCGCATCGATATTATCCTCTTCCACCAGACTAAAGTCGACTCTATTCCAATCAATGAAAGTGTCATCAGGAACCATACCCGCTCGCTTGAAAGGCTTGCATGAAGGGTCGTTGGACACCGCCGAGGCGAAACGATCCACCCCGCGAAAGAATGAAATTCGACTGTCTAGCAGCTTGTAGGACCCTGGTCGAGCGTTCTGAACTTGTGGAGTCGGGATGGAGAGGGCGTAGAGAATATCTTGCTCCTCGGGAGGCTGTGTACCGTTGTTGGACTCGTAAATCTTGAAGAGATTGTTTCTGATGGTATCCGAAGGTTGGAATTTGGAGAACCGTTGTCTCTCAAAGGGTGGAAGACGCTCCGCGTCGGCTCGAGCGCTTTCAGGGAGATTTTCGGGATCCAAGTTTTCTGGGGGTGCCGATCCGAACTGTGATTTAAATTCGGCTTCTCTCTTGGTCAATTTCTTTCGCAGGCTCTCATTAGTATCGTCCAAAGATTTCAAGTTGAAGGGAGACTCTTCTACAGCATAACTGCCCTTGGTCTGGCCGGAAATGTGACCAACCGACTTGGTACTCCAACGAGCCAAGCTCTGCCATAAGGATAGAGGTTGGCCATGGAAGAGACCAGACATGTCCTTGAGCTTGTCTTCCAGCTGTTCTACTGACATATCCTTGCAAGACTCTTCGTATCCATCCATAGCATCCTTCACACCTTGTTCAATGATCTCGGCATACAGGTCCTCCACAGCGGAAACGTTCACCACATGGGATGCAATGGAGGGATCCATCATGCCCATTGCAGCGTTGATGACCATGTTCTCCAGTCCCTCCTGGAGAACAGATGCTGCGAAGTCATCGAGCCATTCTTGGGGGTTTTCTTGCCCTTGCGCAAAGACGGACGAAACGTCGACATGCAACGGAGATCGACTGGTCCCAGCAATGTCTGTGCGAGGGAACGCACCATCCGTAGTGTACTTGATCCTGTCCGTAATACGTTTGTTGGTCTCATTGTAGAAGGATTGCCTGATGAGGTCAAGTCGATACTGCTCGTTCTCATCGGAGTCATCGTCAGATCCTTTAACCAGAGTCGTGTTGTACATCATGCGTGAAAGCTGACTAGTACGAGCCGCGATTTTCCAGGACTCCTCGAGCTTGGATAGAGCCTTGTCCACATGAGACTGGATTTCGTCTTGTGACATTGTAGTTGATGCAGGCTTGGCAGACATGTTTGTTGATTGTAGATGTAATCATCATCTCGAAGGGAACACTGCCTTCTTATAGACGATACAGCTGACCGAAGCTAACACTACCCTGTCGTAAGGAGGTGTCCGAAGGCTGGACCTTCTCACGACGAAATATGACTTCCGATGAGCGAAAAGTGAATTTCCCACCACATATACATCTCTTTGACATGAAGAATCAGATTTCACATTGTGCCAACAAAAGATATCTAAAGGAAGTAGATCATGACGTGACTCATTCACATGCCTTTGTTTATTTCTCGCCTCGGTCAGAACCAATATTGTGTTGACTTGAGTTTCGCACGAAAAGTTACTTGTCATAGATAGATGCCTCAACTTATCTCATTTGCGCTTTGAAGTTCGACTTCCGAGACCTTGCAAGGAATGGTAGGCGATGTGGGAAAAGAAGCAGAGATCCCAAGCACGCGCATACGGGTATGGTCGTCGTCCTGTAGCGCGTATACCCAGCCACCACCCGCCGCCGTCGTTGCCGGGTGATCCATCAATGATAATACTCCTCCTTGTTTTGCTAGTCGGCTTACCATCGGCAGCGTCTACTATCCGTTCCTGCATCTAAATGACCTCGCATAACCGCCCAGGAGTACGCTGATCTTGAGCAACAAGTGAGAAACGGCGAGGTAATCAAGAATAGAAGTGGGAAGAGGTGGAGTATAGTAAGGCCAGGGTGTCTTTCTCTTCTTCTAGTCTATTGTGCAGTTCGTTCGTGATGTGTCGAGATCTATGTATCAGTTTGTGACTCATCATATGCATAACATTGAAACCTCCTATGCGCCGATCATTTACTACTTACTTCAGTACTCGTATGCTACTATGCTACTATCGCGTCAAGTAGCTAAAATCTTCATCTGTCGGGGACCACTCCCCCTTTTCCGACTTCTCTTGGTCTGCCGTCATCTCGTCAATCACTTGTTGACCACCGCCACTGGTCACGTCCTCAATGCGCTTGGGCCAGAGCTCTTCTATCTTCGTAGGCGCATCGATAGAGTCCTCTTCCACAAGCCTAAACTTGATCTTGTTCCAATCAGTGAACGTGTCATCATCGGGAACCATCCCCGCTCGTTTGAAAGGCTTGAAGCTTGGGTCGTTAGATACCGCCGAGGTGAAACGATCCATTCCCTTGAGGAAGGAGACTCGACTTTTCCTCAGATTGAAGGACCCTGTCTTAAATAATCGAGCCTCCTCAAAGGGGATGGACAGAGCGGGGAGTATATCGCGATCTTCGGGTGGCTGCGAGCCATCGACAGACCCGTAAATGTTGGCGAGATTGTCCGTGATGTTGGACACGGGTTCGAATTTGCTGAAACGCTGTTTAAGGAAAGGCTTGAGACGCTCTTCGTCCTGGCGAGCGCTCTCAGGAAGATTCTCTGGATCCAGATTCTCGGGGGGTGCTTCGCCATACTCGATTTCGAAATCGACTTCTCGTTTGGTCAACTCAGCGCGTAAGCTCGCATTCACGTCATCCAAGGAATGTAAATTGAAGGGCTTTTCCTCTACAGCCGATACACCTTTGGTCTCACCGGAAAGGTAGCCAGTCATCTTGGTGCTATGGGACCACGGAGCTAACTCATCCCAAATGGATCGAGACTGGCCTCTGTAAAGACCCGACATGTCTCGGAGCTTGTTCTCCAGCTGTTCCACTGTCATGTCCTTGCAGGACTCTTGATAACCTTCCAGCGCTCTCTCCCGTCCTTGAACCATGACTGGTTCGTACAGCTGGTCAACAACGTGTGCGCTCACTACGTGATACGCTACAGACGGATCCATCATGCCCATAGAAGCGTTGGAAACAACATTGTCAAATCCTGTTTGGAGAACCTCCGCTGTAAGATCGTCGAGCCACACTTGCGGATCTTGTTGCCCTTCCGCAAAGACGGATGAGATGTCCACTTGTAATGGATACCTGTTGGTTCCGGCGCTATCTACACTCGGAAATTCACCATCAGTGGAAAATTTAATCCTCTCCCCAATACGTTTGCGAATCTCGTTGAAGAAGGATTGTTTGACCAAGTTAAGCCTGTACTGCTCCTCCTCCTCCTCATCCTCCGGATCATTGTCATTTGGTTTCTCATACAGGGTCATCTTGTATACCATTTGTGAAAGCTGGCTAGTACGAGATGCGATTCGCCAAGACTCTTCGAGCTTGGATAAAGCCTTGTCCACATGGGACTGGACTTCCTCTTGTGACATTACGGCGGAGGCAGGCGGCGAAGACATGCTGTTCGTTTGGTTATAGTTGAGAGTGTATCTTCAAAGTACCCAGGCAGGGCCTTTTTATACGTACTACAAGTGACCATGACTGAGGGTTCTATTTAGCATAATAGAAGTGGAACAGGGTGAGAATCTCTCACAATCACCGATGCAACGAGATGCTTGGTGATGAGGATTTCTCACGTTCACGTCACTTCCGAATGAAGGATCTCAGATTTGCGCCGTGTCGGCGAGCGAAGTTCATGACAAGTAATTCACATGCACTTGCTCGCTCCTCAGTGGTCAGAATCAGGAGGGGACTACGTGAGTATTGATGTTATATGGTCATCGTATCCCCGATCCCTACTCTCCTTTGTCCGAAGTTCTATCCTCCTAAGCGTAAAGGAGAGATAGACTTAGCAGGAGAAGAGGTTCTGCCAATCAGAACACCCGTAGTCGTACGTGATGGCTGGCGATTCCGTCACTACTGGCGCTTCATTCCGACAGGTCGGTGATGTCCGCCTAAAGAAGTTCCCGCGTCACGATATTTGACTCTGTTCTTTCTTTCGAGTCGGAGTACAGACCGATCATCTACGCACGCACAAAGCATATCGCCAAGATCACGTTACGCAGCTCCTCCCATCTCCTCGAGGTATCCGTAAATACCCGTAATTACCCGCCTCGCGCTCGAGCCTATCGCAACCTGAAACCTCGGCAATCTGCGCTAATCCCCTGCATTGGCTGTCAATTATATAAGGGCAACCCAATATGAGCGTAAGCATCTTCATCCCTTCGCCATGGTTCATCCGCCACCGTCCAAGTCTCCCAAGCTGACTCCCCGTCTCAACTCCAAGACAAAAACAGCCCCGCTCACGATCGTGATCAAGCTCGGTACGTCCTCATGTGCTACTCGAGCCCGAGAGCTTACACCCTACAGGAACTTCTTCTATCGTCTCTCCCACCTATCCTTTCGTTCCCCATATCCAACTCCTCTCCAACATCGTCGAAACTGTCGTCAAGCTCAGAGATCAAGGTCACCGTGTCGTGCTCGTCTCTTCTGGGGCTATCGGCGTGGGATTAAGGCGCATGAACTTGAAGGAGAGGGGAAAGGAGCTGCATAAAAAACAAGTGAGTGTTCATGCTTGGGAATAAATCGTTCTGACGAGTGGCAGGCCCTCGCAGCTATCGGACAGGGCCGACTTATTGCGCTCTGGGATAATCTCTTCTCGCAGCTCGAGCAGCCCATCGCTCAGATCCTCCTTACGCGCATAGACATCTCCGACGTAGGTCTAATCGCACTGTTTGGTGGCAAAGGGTGTCTCTGACGGATCTGCAGAGAACACGCTACATCAATGCCCAAAACACGTTTTCAGAGCTGCTCAATATGGGCGTCGTCCCCATCGTCAACGAAAACGATACCGTATCTGTGTCTGTACGCTTCAATCTCTTATCTCTCGCTGGTATATCAATGAGGAAGGAATAGGCTGATATCGTGGAAGGAAATCAAATTCGGCGATAACGATACCCTCTCAGCCATCTCCTCTGCGATCTGCCATGCCGACTATCTCTTCCTGCTGACTGACGTCGAGTGCTTGTGAGTGATCAATTTGCCTACGTACTGAAAATAACTGACATTCTGCAGATACACTGATAACCCAAGGAACAATCCCGATGCCAAACCGGTCCGTGTCGTGCGCGACATCCAGGTCGTGAAACAGCAAGGTACGCCCTCTGCTCCACCTCCACTGACCCAGCTGACGTTCCCCTAGTATCAACGAAGACTCTTGGTTCCTCCCTCGGCACAGGCGGCATGGAAACCAAAATCATCGCCGCCGAACTCGCCACTGCTGCCGGCACAACCACCGTCGTCATGGACTCTTCCAACGTCAGGGACATCTTCCAGGTCATTGCGAATGGGCCTTCGCCTTGTAGAGAGTCGGAAGAAGGAAGTACGCCAGAGCTGTATGAGGGACCATTGTGTACAAGGTTTTTGAGAAAAGAAGCTGCTCTGAAAGAGTAAGTTATATAGCTCTCAGAATTACAAAGCTGATGAAGTACACAGCCGCAAATGGTGGATAGCTCACGGTCTTCACGCTGCCGGCAGCGTCATCATCGATCCCGGAGCTTTCCGTGCCATCCAGCGCAAAGAATCTGGCGGTCGACTTCTTCCTGCCGGAGTCGTGAGGGTTGATGGTGTCTTCGCGGGGCATCAAGCTGTGAGGCTCATCGTGCGCCGCCGGAAAGGAGAAGACGATGGAAAGGGCGAAGGGGTGGGGAGACATGATTCAAGCGTTTCTTTGGATATGTCTAGCCCCGCCAGCCCTTCCAGCCCTTCAACGCCACTCTCAGCGACAGCCGTTTCCCCAGCCCTTCGACATCTCAACATTCAGCCCATCTTCATCTCGAACACCGACCAGCCCGACACCCCTCATATCGAACCCTCCCTCTCACTTTCCTCCTCCATCGCCTCACTTGACCCCTTGAGTCGGTCTGTCCCACCGAGCCCAGCTATCACGCCCTTCGGTACGACTGGTCTGACGGCTATCAATGGCGGAAGCAAGAACGGTATAGAAGGAGGAGATGTGGATGTGGCGGAGTGGGAAGAAGTGGTAGTAGGAAAAGGATTGGCGCAGTACAACAGTGTGGAGATTGATAGGATCAAGGGCAAGAAGAGGTACGTTTCCGTTCCGTGTATCCTATATCATAAGAGGGCCCAGTACTGATATAATTCTGTAGCGCGCATATCGAACAGATATTGGGATACAACGACTGCGAGCATGTGGTAGATTCTATCACCTTCATATAGCTGGGCCGGGGGAAGGGGACGAAGACAACGTCATAGAGAGCAGCACAGCTCAAAACGGTAGGGAGACGCAATGATATATGTCGAATCATACAATAGCTAGCGGCAGACATGTACGTTAATGGAATACATTCAAACATAGACGACACTCGTGCAGTAATCGTTTCGTATATACTGATAGATCCGAAGTAAGACATCTATGTGCCCCACCGAAACTTCTACTTTCTCCCATTCTTCAAGCCGCTCATAAAGTCCTTCAACTCTGAAGCGCTAATCCCTCTATGCTTATCCTGCCTTGCTTCCAGAGTAGCTTCTGCAACCTCTGCCATCTCCGCATCCGCAAACCTCCTGCGCGTTTCATCGCGTTCGCGGCGCATCCGACGGGAACGCGCAACCCCCCAGTCGTCTTCAAACAGCATAGAGGTTTCGTCAATCGACAGTTGTTCTTATACCTCGTAAGCCGCCCTGCAGAAGTATGAAAGAGAGGAATGCGCTTACTCGTTTCCGGGTAGAAGAAGATGATAAAGATGAAGAACACCGTGCTGAACCCGAGATACAGCCCATACGTCCCCGCCGGCGTCAACGTCTCTAACTCGCTCAAGAACGAAACTGAGACCATCAGATTTGCCACCCACGCCGTGGCAGCGTAGGCTGAGCTGGTTGAAGAAGATGAGCAAGAGGCGTGAGTAGATGTGTGAGTAGCGCGTTCATATACGTTTTCTCTATTTACGTTCTGCATCATCCCATGACTTTCGTCGGAGCCCTTCCCGAGAGAGACGTTGATGAGTCATGGGACAGACCAATAAACATCGGTGTCTTGGAGCGTTCAATGAGCATACTTGAAGATGGCGGTTGACCGAAAAGCAAGTCGCCTCGCACCAGAGAATCTCCGCGGCATCCTGGCTCGACACAAGCCCTTCCCACCTCCCACCCCAGGGAAGCCGCCCCATCGGGCCAAGTGTCGCTTAGGTAGGCGATGTTTGCCCCGCGGAGACGGCTGAAATCACTCAACCTTGTTGCTCTCGAGGATGCACAGGGAAGCCGCCCCATCGGGCCAAGTGTCGCTTAGGTAGGCGATGTTTGCCCCGCGGAGACGGCTGAAATCACTCAACCTTGTTGCTCTCGAGGATGCATATTTGCCACCTCCATATGTTTGTTTGTCGGCTGATGTTCAAGAGGTTCATAGAGCCATATGGAGGTCGAGCCGCTGTTGGATATGTCAGTGTACGCAAGTGGTGATATCACGAGCGGAAACAATTGTCTCAGCCTTGATAACAACTCAGCTGCCCTGCACTGACTCAAAACTGACTGCAGACTCGCTATTACGCCCTCGCTCTCACGCACCGTGTCCTTCGTCTCGTTGTCCGCCTTACCAGCTGACGACGCTGAGGGGATCTCGACCAGGTACGCAAAGCATCTTCCTGACCCAAAGGAGAAAGACTGAGTCTCTAGCCCGCGCATGCAGTCAAAGTGTGCATACCCTTCCCACCGCGTCACCTCACATACCTGCATCCATCCCCTCCACATCTTGACTCTCAATGGGACGCAAAAAGCGTGACTATAAAGGTATCAAAAACAGCGCCCGCAAGGGTGCCAACAAGGGCGGCGACAAGGGTGCTAGCAAGCCCAAATTCCTCTATGGCTTCGACAGATACGCGTTCGACGATCCGGAGACTGCTCCTTTGCGGAAAAATGTTCAGGGCAAGCTCATGGCCTCCAAACTTGTCAAGCCCACATACACCAAAATGGAGAAACACTTGGCCATATTCTGCGGAAGGTTGACTAAAGCCGAGAGCGTTGGTACCGGCTACACCGAGCTCGACCGCTGCGCCTTGTTCATCGACTCTCTTCCCCTTGAGGTTCCCGAGTTCTCTGCAGCCTACGCTGCTTTTCGAGAAAGCGATGCGCCTACGTGGAACGAGTGTCTGGGAATCTACAAGTCGTTACTCGCCTTGCGAACCCCTCCGAATCCTCCGAAGAAACTTGTCACTGGGGGTAAAGAGCGGAAGGGAAAGAAGAATAAGGGGGCCCCGGGACTTTGCCCTCGTTGCAAAACAAACTGGCATCAGGGATCGGGCTGCCCAGACTCGAAGAGATCCACGAGCCCCGAGACTGAAAATGAGAGCGTGATGGACGGGGAGAATAAGGATGAGAGGGAAGACGCGGGGGTACACGTGACTGGAGTGGAGGACTTTGGGTCTGGTGCAGAGTCTGAAGACTTTGTCGAGAACAGCGTCGAGAATAGAAGGTAAAAAAAGATATGGAGGCGTCTCGCGAGGGCGACAGGAGGAAGAGGAAGGGCGATTTCGTGTTGACCATGACGTGACCAGGATGGACCAAAAGTGTCAGTTGTTGAAGATAGCTTGTATCGGTCGCTTGTATACTATGTTGCTTGTATATATACCTCCCTCCCGAGCTCGACTTCATATTCAATTTCACTCGCGACAGACTTAATTTCAGCTCGTCGTTGCTCGACTCATGTTTCATTCACGGCTTTCACTCGAAGCGTAGGTGGAATCAGGCATTCATGATATATACTATGAGGTTCATGCAAGTCCAAAGCATCTCTAGAGGGTCGAAAGGCCGCTTGCTCGACCTGGACCATACATATATGCCTGCGGCCCACTGCGGCCTGCCGAGTTCGAGCGGAAGCAATTTTCAGGGCGGCTGCTCTAGTGAACTTTTGGAGGTGGATCCTGGGTGGATCCCGTTCTGCGTATTGCCTTTTCCATCTTGCCAAAACATATAACGCTCGAGGGATAGCTATCACAGGTGAGTGGAGCATCCTACCATTATGCGTAGTCACTGAAGAACTGTGAATAGCGCACCCGATCATAAGTCAAATGCACTAGACGCCTCTGCCACCTATCCTACCTCCACCGAACCCCCTGCCGCCTGCAAAACCCCCACCTCTTCGTCCACAAAGCGCCATCGCGAAGCAGAAGATATGGTCTCTCCCGCGCACACTGGGCCTTGCCCCCCAAGACCAATTGTCCAGCTCTGCGGCGCGCAAGCAACAGAGCCCTCAACCTCATCCAGCTCCACTCCAACCCCACAGCCGACGAGATGCTCGCCCACGAAGTCGAATTTGGCAGGCTATGGGCCTCTGCCAAGCAGGCGGGGAACGAATACACCGAGGCCGACCGCTGCGCAACTTTTGTCTACTCCCTCCCCAAACGCGATCCCGAATTTGCTGTCGAATACATGTTCTACTACAGGCCACGGCTCCGAACCGATGGCAGCGGGCCCACTTGGATCGAGTGTATGCAGATCTACCATGCGATGACCTTGATGCGAGAGTATGACGAGAAAGATAGAGAGCGAAGCTCCAGCGCTCGTCGAGATCAACAAGGCGGCGGTGATAGTGGGACGGATCGGCGAACTTGCTTTGCCTGTCGCCAGAAAGGACACATCTCACGCGACTGTCCCACCCCCAAGAAGTCCGCCAAAGCAAAGTCTGGGGCGGGGACCGTGAAGGGCAAGGACAAAGAAGAGCACACTATCTTGCTCCCGTCGTTCCGCGTGGAGAATGTTGCCCCTGGCGTCGAACCCAGCAGATCAGTCAAGGTCAAGCTTGGGGGTGAATCATCCCATACCGGCAAGACTATTCCCAACAAAAATTCCTTCTTGGTCACCACGGGTGCCCAACACCACATCACACCCAAACGCTCCCTCCTCACCTCCCTCCGACCATGCTCGGGCAACATCATACTCCCCCACTCGGCCCGTCTTCCCATCAGCGCCGTCGGCGTGCTGTCCCTCAGAGACGATAAGGGTGACAAATGGGAAAGCTTGGAGATCAAGGATGTACTGCATGTGCCGGGGGTGGATATGAGCATTCTCTCGATAGGGCAGCTCTGTGAGGAAGGATGGGAAATCGATTTAGGTGGCGACGTGATGAAGAGAGGGCAGACGGTTGTGGGCATGACCCGTGTCGGTCACTTGCACTATGTCTCCGCCTAGTGGGAGCGCCCGCTCGAGTTCTCAAGCTGGCTACATGTCGATCTAGCCGAGGGGACCTGTGTTGTACTAATGCTACATTGAAATGCATCTAACGTGCCGCACACCCTATATGATCTATTTACCCATCTACCCCAACATCTATACCCGCAAACCCCGTCCCGGGCAGCCTTACTCCTTCCCATTCTTCAACCCACTCATAAACCTCCCCAACTCTCCCGCACTCACCGCCCTCCCCTTATCCTGCCTCGCCTCCAAAGTCGCCTCTGCAACCTCTGCCATCTCATCATCCGCAATCCTCCTCCTCGCTTCCTGCCTCTCCCTACGCATCTGGCGCGATCGCTTGACGCCATAGTCGTCTTCAAAGAGGAGGGACGTTTCGTCGATCGACAATTGTTCTACCGCCATGTCAGCAATACTCGAATAGTGGGGGGGGGGAGGAGGAGCTTACTCGTTTCGGGATAACAAAAGACAAGAAAGATGAAGAACAACGCACTAAACCCCAAATAAAGCCCATACGTCCCCGCCGGCGTCAACGTCTCTAGCTCACTCAAATAACTGACCGAAACCACCAAATTCGCCACCCAATTCGCCGTCGTCGCTATCCCGCTCCCCACACTCCTCACCTCCAGCGCCAAGAACTCTGCTTGATACCAAGCGAGGTGCGAGTAGGTGAGGCCGAAGCCGGAGGTGAAGAAGACGATACCGCCGATGACGATACCGACGTTTTTGGTGGGGTAGGTGTAGGAGGTGTCGAGGAAGCCGTTGGTGGGGATGCAGAGGTAGTGGAAGGCGACGATGTTCCAGATGAGGCCGGAGAGCTATACGAGATTTAGTTTTGAGGGGAAGGGGAGGGAGAGAAGGGACGTACTAGAATGGGAACGCCGATCATGAAAAGACCTCTCCTGCCCACTTTGTCTACTACCGTCATACCGCAAAGGACAAAGAAGGCGTTCGTCCCCGACGGTATCAGCGCCCCAAGCGCAGGGTTCGACAGCCCCAACAACGAAAACAACGTCCCAGCATAATACAACAACGTATTAAACCCCGTCAACTGCCCCGCCATCTGCGCCATCGTCACACAAGTGATCGACCTCCTATAACTCCCCTTCCTCCACAACAGCCTCACCCTCTCCCCAAACGTCGTTCCCTCCTGCAAACTCCGCGAGGCTGCCACCTACTCTTGAGCAACGCGAAACTTGTAGTCGATCATCTCTTCAGAAGCGTTGGGGTAGATCCGGCGGAATACGGTACGGGCGGCCGGGAGTTGGTTGCGGAGGATGAGGATGCGCGGGGATTCGGGGAGATAGTGGAAGAGGATGAGTTGGATGAGGGAGGGGGCGGCGCCGAGGGCGACTGGTAGAGGTTAGCTTCTTGGGAAGGAGGGGAGCGGGAGAGAGATTGGTTGGAGGGAGCTTACAGAGGAGACGCCAGCCGTTGGGCATAGTCTGCACACCAGCACCAACAGCATCGGCTACAACTTGCCCAAAAGGGATGAAGAATGCGCTATTCATCATCTCATCAGTCCTCTCCCACCTTTCACCTTTTCGAAGAGAGTAAACTTACTTGACACCAATACATCGACCTCGTACAGAAGTCGGAGCAGTCTCGGTAATAAAGAGAGGCGCTATAGCAGCCGCACCGCCGACTCCTATACCGAGGATGAGACGGCCAGCTATCATCTGGCCGACAGAGTAACTCGAGGCGATGACGACTGCGCCGATCGTGAAGCTTTCCCTCACATCAGTCCAAACCCCTCCATCACTTCCTCTGAAAACTCACAATACATCTGAAATCAGGATGCCCATCTTTCTCCCCAGTCTATCACCCCATCCGCCCAAGATGGCTGACCCAAAGATGGCGCCGATAGTCGTGCCGGCGGTGATGATCTCTTGTTGCGCCGATGTCAACGCTGAGCCTGTGAGGTCGTTTCCGACTAATGGCAGGGCGACACCGACGACACCCGTATCGTACCCATAGAGAAACCCTGCGAATGCAGACTGTTGTTTCGTCAATTACAACCGCGCAGGCCAGAAGATGAGTAGGGGAGGGACGTACGGCAGAGATGAGGAAACACAGATACGGCGTGACTCTATCTTCGCCTTCGATCTTGACCAGATTCTCATCCTCCCACCTTCTGTCAGAATCGTCTCAAAATCCAAGAGTGACGAGCTTACGATGAGATGCCCGCCGAAACCAGAGGGCGGCTTGCTGGCCCCCGTATCTTCGACGACCTGGATCTCATTCATGTTCTTATCCGTAAAAGCATTTTCGAGGTGGGCGACAGTCATCCTCTCGCTGTTCGCAGTGTTAATAAGATAAGCCGTATCTATCGTTGAAGTTGAAGTTGATCGTGAAGGTGGAGGGTGAAAGGTGGAGAGGGGGGCATAGCTGGAAAGAGGATGTCCGTTCATATAAGCAAAGAAATATGTCTTGTGGCAAAAGAGTGGTACCGGTAGCTCTAAGCGCCTTGCCGAATCGGAAATGAGGCATAGAACAACGTCCCAGTCAAATGGGTAATAAGGATTCTGTTAATCTGGCGAGAGGAAGAATAGCTCTGAATGCGGCAGTGGACACCAAAGAAGACCCGTATCGGACAGTCGGACTCGGCATCTCTTTTCGGCAACCCGGCTTCGGACCGTATATGCCTTACGTATACATCCCCCCAAGCCATACGATTGGCTGAAGCGTCGTTGGATGATGGTTTTTGGATGCATGGCTGCCTGGCGATGCTGTCATAGAGAAGGAAGAAGGTGACTGTTAATCTGGGGAACCACATCATCCCTCCAAAGGTCCCACTGGGATGGACGAGTGCCCCGATGTCGCCCCACACCCGGGGGTCGGTGTCCACCTCGGATTCTGGATGCAGATGTTACTGTAATACGGTACATAATAATGTGATGCTTGTTGAGTGGCGTGCATAGTGGATACATACCGTTCGTTGATGACTGTATCTGATGCGATACTCCTTCCGACCAGGTGGGATTGAAGCCAAGTGAAGGTCAGACGCCCGCTATTAGGACAAGTTTTGCTTGGGGACAATCAGTGTCCTGTTTCATATCGGAGACGGGATCACTCAGTCAAAAGGGCTGTTCATACTAATGCCCAAGCAAGGTAACGGCAAGCTCTCTAGCTAGCTCTGAAGCCTGGCCCTGCTGGGAGATCATATGTACCTTCTCCACCATCCACGACCATCAGCATGCAGCATGTTTGCTATGGATACTTCCATGCGATTCTTGGGGGCAGGATTACGTTGCGATGTCAAAGAACGACCAAGCTTGCAGCTTGCAGTGGTATTGAGAGCACGATAGTCATCGCTTGCGACAACGCCACCCCCAATACCAGAATCCGCGGTACGTAGTACACAAACAACCGCCACATCAGCGTAAGTGGGCCGCGCGAATAATTCTGTTGCGACTGCTTTCTGGATGTCAACAAACAATTGCCCATGTCCTCTTGCATCTCTCTTTTCTCATCCCCCTATCGCTGACCCCTATCCACCATGTCCCAGCTCACCCCCGGCAAAAGGGCCCGCGACAGATACATCCCCTTCAACAATGATCCCAAAAACGTCGGCACGTACGTCCCCTCCCTCTCTCTCCACTTGAGGCTTCCCACACCCAGATACTGACTCGGGTCTCTATGATAGTCGGTCAGGCATGGTCATGCCCCAAAACCTTCCCCGCCGCGAAGGCCTAGAAGACCCCGCAGCATACTTCAACTCTCCCGACAGGCCCCCAGGCTCGAATAGGCGCGATACGATGAACTCGACCTATTCGCGCGCGACGTACATGACCACGCCAGGTGCCCGGACCACCTACACCTCTGACGACGATGATGCGGCATCCAGGGGGGATATGGAGACGCCGGGGACGGCGAGGAGGGTGTCGAGGGCGGGGAGAGGGAGGATGAGTGATTTGGATTTTGAAGAAGGGATGCGCGGTGGGGATGATCTGTTGCAGGATGAAGATGACCTCGGTATGTTTTCCCTTACTATAAGCTGATGTCAGGATACTGATATCCCATAGCGATGGCTACACCAGGCTCCTATTTCCCCGGAAGCAGTAAGCCAAACAGCCCCCTCCCAAATACCTAAAGAAGCTGACTGGATCAACAGACCCACCATCCGTCTCCCTCCCCTCCGGCTCCCGCCTAAGCCGCTCATCCCCAGCCACCCACACATCCTACGATGCCCTCCCCTCCCCCTCCAAATCCCGACCCACCAAAGATCCTCGTAAATCGCATCTCGTCCCCCGCTCCGCGCCCAACAGCGCGCATAAGAAGAGTGGGCTGTCGAATGGGAGGACGGCGAGGGCTAGTGAGAGTGAAGAAGAGAGAGCAAGGAGTGGGAGTAGGAGTGATAATGAAGAGCTGGCGCCGACGCCTTCGCCGGAGCCGGAACAGCAGGTAGAGGCGGAGCCACAAGCGGATTATTCGTTCAACGATGAACCTGGGCCTTCCAACTTTGGCGCAGACGACACTGTCGACCTCGGGGACGAAGCTCCATTCGACGACGACCAGCCTATGGCGCCCATGGACGACTATGATGTCCAAGGTGCCGAGGAAGAAGAACGCCGTCAAGCCGAAGCTGGCTCCGCTTCAGAAGAAGATGAAGAAGATAATGGAGGGTATGATGAACCTCTTCCTGAAGTCGAGATGGAGCAAGATGATTCTGAACAAGAACAAGGGTCGGAAGAGGAGGAAGAACGAGCGCCGGTGCAGAAGAAGAAGAGTAAGGGGAAGGACAATGCAAAGACGGCGGCGCAGAAGAAGAAGGAGGCTGCTGCTGCTCGAAGGAAGGATCCCGCACCGAGGAGAGAGCGAAGTCAGTCGGCGCAGCCTAGAAGAGCTAGACTGTCGGAACTCGGTTCGTCCCTCTTTCTTCCCATTGTTGCTAAGAATCAAGAGCTAATGAGATTGTACAGATGCAAACGGAAACGGCGTCACCGGCAACTTCCTCACCCGCCGCTCCGGCCGCCAACACATCAAACCCCTCGAATACTGGCGCGGTGAAAAAGTAGTCTACGCCCCCGGCCCCGGACTCGCCATCGTATCCGAAGTCGTCACCATCCCCGAAGAGTCCGCCATCCCCTTTGCCGCGCGAAACAAGAGGCGCGGGCACAGAGCTGCCAGTGCGTCCAAAGGGAGTGGAGGGGGAGGAGGGAAGAGGAAGAGGAGGGGGGATGATAGTGAGGAGGAGGAGGAGGAGGATGAAGCGGGGTGGGATGATAAGACGGAACCGACGGGGTTGATCCAGGATTTCCCGGGGAAAGCTGAATGTCATCGAAGTGAGTCCTTCTCCTCTTGTCCCTGCTTTGATCACGATGAAGGAGATGCTGATGGGACTGTAGAAATTGCGTGTCCGAAAGCGCTGCTGGTGCCGAAATTGGTCCAAGGCGGGAGTTTCAAGTATCAAAAAGTCTTTGGCGAAGGCGGGTTCATGGCTGCTGGTGTCGTTTACGTCCCTGTCGGGGAAAAGAAGAATACCAAGCCGTCCAAGGACAATGCTTATGTGAGTGCTCATCTACTGAGGGATGGGATGTAGGCTGATAGGTGTGTAGGTCTTTTATGTGATTCAAGGAGCGGTGCAGGTAACAATTTACCGGACGAGTTTCGTCATGGCCCCTGGTTCCCAATTCCTCGTCCCGAGAGGTACGCCCCCCTTTCCATCTCTCCATCCCAACACGCATGCTGACCATGAACAGGCAACGACTACTGCATCGAAAACATTTCCCCAAACAAAGAAGCCCAACTCTTCTTCGCCCAAGCGCGTAAGATCCGCGCAGGAGAGGAAGAAGAAGAAGATATCCCCGAGTCGCAAGGCGGTCCTGCTATGGGGGGTATGTCGCAGGAGATCAGGCCGGGGGGTAGTCAGGGTGCTAAGAAGAAGAAGGGGGGGAAGAAGGTGACGGGGAAGGGTTCTGCGGTGAAGGGGAAGGGGACGGGTAAAGGGAAGGGGAAGAGGTTGCCGGCTGTAAGAGAGGAGAGTGGGAGTGGGAGCGAGAGTGGGAGTGGCAGAGGGAGTGACGAGGAGAATGGAAGTGGGAGCGAGGAAGAAGAGTCGGAACCGGAACCGATCAAGAAGAAGAAGGCAAAAGCGAGGAGATAGACGTCTTGTTGTTCCCTGCGTAACGTAGGATAGGAAGTGGTGTTTCACTGATCGACGTTATGTCGTAATTGATTATATATGTTCGCTTGGGTCTTGTTGGATTGTATGGATTATCTATCATTTGTGTTGCGATGAGCAGGTGTGGAGACCTGAGGCCATGGTCTTTACAAAACTCACGAAAGACACAGGGTTGGCGGACCAAAAAGTGGTGACATGGCCGTTCCGCGCATGACCGCCGTCTTTGCATCTTCATCCTTCACTCACATCCCTCTATACATTATATTCCAACAAACATCCACAATGGCCGACAAACCGAAGGTGTGTATATTTACGCCCGAAGGCACATCCACTAACTCTCATAGACTTCCCGCCCAACATGGGACAAATCCGAATATTCCACCCTCGCCAAAGACAAAGACCGACAATCCTACGAACACGCCAAAGAAGCCGAGTCATCCCTCCAATCAGGCAAAGCCCCCGGCAAGAAATCACAGTATGACGACCTGCCGAAACCGACCGAGCTGTTGAAGGCGAGGGAGCAGGATCTGGGATTGACCAAGAATTTGAACAAGACGATGTTGGTGTCGATGGGGGGTACGGGGCAGAAGGGGCCGAGGGGAGGGGGGTTTTATGTGAGTTTGGATGGCTGAAGGTGGGGGTGCTGGGGATTGGAAGGGGGCGATATTTGGATTTGCCGGCCAAGAGAGCTTGCGAGCTGGACGAGTAAACAGTCTGGGCGGATGGAGGCTCAGCTACCGAAGGAATCTCGCTCTTTCAGTGCATAGGACGACCTGGGACGAGAGGGGGCTAAGATGGCAGAGCAGATGCGATGAGACTGGATGAAAGAGCTGATTTTCTTCCTCAGTGCGAACTATGTAACAGGACGTTCAAAGACTCTCTCTCCTACTTGGACCACGTCAATGGAAAACTCCGTACGCCACTCCTTTCCTCTCTTCTACAAGCCCTCCGCTAATGACAACGTCAACAGACCTCATGAAACTCGGACAAACCACCCTCGTCCACCGCTCAACCCTCTCCGCCGTACGCGCCCGTATAGCAACCCTCCGCGCCGCCTCCCAATCCTCCGTAACCTCCAAGAACTTTGATTTCCAACAACGCCTGAAAGCTGTTCAAGACTACAAGACGTCAGAACGCGAGCGCAAGAAGGCGGAGAGGCAGAAGAAGCGTGAAGCCAAGAAGGAAGAAGAGGAGCGGAGACGGATGGGGATCTTTGATGAGAAGATGGATGTTGACCCGAAAGAAGGTGAGGGGGTGAAGGAGGCAGGCAAGAGAGATAGGAAGAAGGAGCGGGACAACAGACGAGCCAAGGAGGGAGACCAAGAAGTCGAGCGGGCTCTTCAAGAGAATGAGGACATGTCGGCCATGATGGGCTTTGGAGGGTTTGGTACGAGTAAACGAAAGTAGACCTCTTTGACGCCAGTACGATCATGCAGATGTTGTATTTTAGGGCATAGAACTCGAAAGCCACTGGGACAAGATTCTTGCATTCCACGGACACACACGATGTGAGAATTTAAGTATGGTTGTTTTTTTTTGGGGGCAGAGGAAGCCAGCTAAACTACACGTCGTTGGGAAAAGAGACTCGAGAAACAAAAATGAAGGCAAAAGAGCTCTGGTGTATGATGAAACTTGTAAACAGTCGGAGTCGGAGGGCAGGTAAGAATGGCGAGGTCCGAGGGATAACTCGGTTCGCTCAAAAGAGGAAAAGGTAGAGGGGGGTTATTACAAAAATGTCTATAGCAGAAAGGACAACTTGGCGAGAAAGGACGAGAAGGAAGAAAAGATCTGAGAAGAGATGACGATCCCGCGTTTATTCTTGGCCGAAACCAAGCGTTTCCTCGACCCTGCACATCCATCAGCTCCATCCCGATCCAAGCTCACAAGAGTACTCACGCAATAGTCAGCTTCTGCTCCAACGCATCATAACTCTTGTACGCCGGCAAGTCAATCCTGTTGAAACACGTATGACTCTTTGGCAACTGCGTTACTTCTCCAGCTTTTTCTATCGTAAACCTCCTCGGGCCATCAGACCCTTGAAGATCCTTGAAGCCGTTGACGGGGATACGAGAGGTACCGGTGGTGAATTGGAGGAGTCGGGATTTACGCTCGGGCGGCCAGGAGCGGACGCACTTCCAGAACCATTCGACTACTTCGTCCGAGGGGTTGCTACACGTCCATCAGCTTTGCCCGGATTTCGCAATGAGATGACCCACTATCCTCGGTAGTCGGTGTGCTTCTGCCAGTCGTCCACGTCAATCTCCGACATACCACCGATCAACAGCTCCAACTCTCTCTCGTCAAAGACGTTGATGAGCTCCTGAGGGATGAGCTCGTTGAAGCCAGACATGAACGCTTGGAATTGTTCAGACACTCGGCGAGAGATACGGTACTCGGTTACCAGGCTAACAGATATCAGCTCCGAGACACAAAAAAGGATAGAGGGAGACTCACTCGACGTAGTCCTTCTTGTTGTCCTGCGTCACTTCCACATCCCTCCCACCTTCCTTCAAGTCAACCGTAACAACCTCACCAAAGTGCTCCTCCGTAATACTAAACGTATCCTCAATGACACCTGTAATATCATTCTCCAACATCCACGTCAACCCCCTAAACAAGCCAGCATCCACACTCTCCAAATCTGGCAGCGCAATCTTCTTGCCCAAGATCATCTTGTAGAATGAGACGATAAAGTAGGCATCGAGGAAACGACGGTGGAAGATGGCGAGACCGACGACACGGCCGATGAATTTAAAGTAGTTCAGGTGTTCGGGGTTGACGCCAGAGTTGGGGTTGATTTGCAAGGTGTAGTTGTCGTGGGCAGAGTATTCGAAGAGACAATAGAAGGGGTTGAACATTTCGTGAGAGAGCAGGAAGAAGAATTCTCTGCGACATCATTAGTCAAGCTCATATCGGTTCGAGGAAACGCACCTTGAAAGACCTCCGTAATCCAGACCATCTTCACCCTCAAACTTGATCATCAACCTCTTCTTCAAATCACTCGGCGTCTGCCTCATAATCTCCGTATAACTCCCCTCAAAGATGTTTTCTCGCGACACCTTCATATGGCACTGCCCCGTATTGTTCCTCAGCGCAGGCTGCGATCGGAAGTAGATGAGCTTTCGTCGGAAGTCTCGCTTGTACTGCGGCACATTCTGGTCGAGCGAAGACGGCAGTCGGGGGTCGTCCCACGTCGTAGTCTTTGTATTGTGGTCGACAAAGTACACTCGGGCAGTGTTGGTCAACCTCATCTCCCACCCGCTCGGAAGGGGACCGAGCTGGCTGACAGTCTGCGGTTGTGCAGACAGGTTGTTGCCCTGCTGCCCGGGGGCGATGAAGCGCAAGAGCTGCTGTCGGCGCGGGTCGACCCAAGTGGTCGTTCGGGTGTTGTGGTCGACAAAGTAAGGTCGGCCCTCGGGGGTGAATCGCTGCTCCCACCCGCTCGGCAAAGGTCCTTGCCCCGCGGTAGTAGCATTGCTCGTATTGTTGGGAGCTTCTGCGCCTGGTGGGGGGTGAGAAGGAGTAGCAGTACCAGTGTTCCCGCCGCTCTGCTGTACGTCGAGCATCTCATCCGGCAAAGTTCGCTGATTATGCCTGGCCCTCGCCTCGCCCGTCGTAGTCGCCTGCGTCGCAGTATTCGAAACCGAATCGTTGCTCGGCCTGTTCCACGTAGTCGTCCTCGTGTTGTGGTCGACATAGTACTGCCTGCCCAAGTGGTCGATACGGCGTTCCCAGCCGCCGGGGAGAGGACCGTATTGGTCAGAGTGCGAGTCAAACTCGTGGCCTGCCGTGGTGTTGGTGCCGGTCTGGCCAGTACTGGCCGCAGTGGTAGTGGGCGCAACGAGCGGGGCGGATCCGGGGCTAGCAGCGGGAGGAGGGACGGCAGCCGCCACCTCGGCCTCCCTCGCCGGGCTGGCAGGCGCAGCAGCCGGAACGGTCGAAGTGGGCCTAGAGATACCCGCAGCCGCGCTGGAGACGTTCAGAGACGAAGCGTTGGCAGTGGCCGAAGGGGTAGCAATGTTTGATCCAGCGGCGGCGCCGGGGGCAGCTGATTGGGCCGGGCCGGATGTTTGGGTGGAGAGGTAGACGATGAGTTTGCCTTGGACTGCTTGGCCGTCAGAGCCCTTTTTGAGCTCTTTTGTGAGCATTTCTATAAAGATGTTAGCTATGAGCAACGTGTTGAGGGAGGACGCACCCTGCCCGCCGAGCTCGAGGTCGATGACATCGGAAACCTTAATGTTGATGACTCCGAGGAATCCTTGGTCTTGCTGTGGGATCGTCAGCACTGTCTCGCATACCGGGTTGGGCACTCGCCTTTCTCTTGAATTTGCGCTGGTCAAAGATCTGAACAGCCACGATAGAAGAGTCTTTCACTTCGCTGTATCCCGAATTAGCACCGCCTACGTTACTATTGTCTTACGCACATATCAAAGTTCCTACAACCAAGTCAGCAATCTGCTCCATTTCTCTGAAAAAGTCCCACTCACTCATTCCAATACGGGTTCAGGGTCCTCTTGATTACACTGGTAGTATGGATCTGCTCAGAGTCCACCGAGACGATGGCGAACGGATCTGGGAGACGGAGAATGTCCCGCTTGATGAGAGAGTCCGCCGCGACGACTATTATTTTGCGCAATGACAAGTGTTGGTAGGAGGATGTGGGGCGAGGTAGAGGCGAAGTAGAGGTGGTGCATGGTGGTAGGATGATTTACGGGGAGGATAAAGGATGTAGGTGGTTAGCAATCACATCCCGAGACCAGACCCTAGCCCGGGGCGGTCGTTCTAGGCAGTAGCAGGAGAGGCTCACTCGTGACACGGATCTTGCGAGACCTATAGCAGGATAGGATGAGAGAAAAGAAGAACAATAAGCATGGGCTACACGAGGGTGCTGTGGGGCGATGCTTACAGATTCCTGTTTGCGGTTGCCGAGTTGGCCACCATGGTGAGTGGGGGCTAGCTGGATGGGGCGGGTCGGGCGAGGGGGCTGCGAGGAGGGGCAGGCAGGGGCGGGTATGGGGGAATAGTAGATTTACGAAAAAAGTAAGAGGAGATGAGCAGCCCCTGCCCAGCCCGCAAAGAGCCCCAGCCCACCGGAATCAAATTTACGCCACCCTTACAGCCCGCTTTTGCATCGTCATTTCTTCTGCTCGACGAAAAATAGAGCAAAAACAGTCCTCGAGTGTATCTGTAGCCTCATCCTGGCCTGGTATGTACCTGGTATGTACCTCCAATGGACCAAACAATGCATGTCATGTACCATTGTATAAGCATGGAGCATCAACGGGAGGCGAGCTTTGCGAGAGTGCGTCCTGCGCCTTTGCTGCGCCTCTAGTCTATCTATTGTTCATCTTTTGGGCTCTCCTGAGATGTTCAAGGTATGTCAGCCCTCCTGACTGCCAAATGTCTGGGTTTCTGTGGAATCTGTACGGAGAGAGGCTGTCGCTACATATCTATAAGCATCCCTCTTTCTGACGATACGAAAAGATGTCGCACATATCTGATACCTCCAGCGAGCGGACGGTGATTGAGAGGAAGGAAACGTACGCAGCGCGGCGCGAAGCTATACAGCAAGGCAGAGCTCGTCGATCAAGAGCTCAAACCGCTTCGCTGGTATCAAAAACCCCAAGATCACATCCTCGCGCCCACCTCCCCACTCCCCCTCCTCAGCCTGATCAATCTTGAGGCAGGTCGTAAACGGATCCTGACGCAGGATAAAATCGCCAGGGGTGCCATCGAGGTCAGACAGGCGGAGATAGCTCTCCTTCTTGAGACGGTCAGCGAGGTACGTCTCCTCCTTTTGATTTGAGGATGGAAAGAGTCGACGAGAAGAGCTGGGCCGTAGCTTGAGTGCTTGTAGACGCGTATGCAAAAGTGCTGGGGTCGGCGAGGTGAGGCCAGCGTCGAGGAGGTGAAACAATAGCCCCGGGTGTTGGAGTTGGAGTTCAGTAGCTAGAGTGACGTGCGAGGTTATGTAAGGTGACGGAACTATTCTAGACGAAATTGTTGGCAGGCGGTACTTTCTTCCATAGCTGGTGTACAGATCTGCTTCTTCATCTTACCAGGTGTTGAAGTGCTAAAGACTGTATACCAGTCTTCGACAACACCGCGCACCCCGGACCCCAAGCGGGACCCCAAGTAGTCGACGACCTCCTTGCATGGCGTCATTCGTCTATCCAGGGTTTGTATCATTCGACGAGAAATAATTGCTTGTTCAAGCGGGTATATAGAAATCATTAGTGAAGACCATGCTAGACCGGCTGTAAGATTAGGAGGCCAGGCTGTGGGATTCAGTTGTTTATACTTCTGCGTTGGATCTTCGGCGCGCGCTTTTCTATGTATATCTTACAACAGCGGGTAGAGGAGGTCCAGAGTATGATATGCACTGTAGCGGTATCATGGCATTTTTTGCCATCAATGATAGTTTTGCAAAGAGAAATACGAGCCCGAGGAGGAAGCTATACTACTAAGGTTGAGTGACGGTCATAGCTTACGTAAGTGACACGTCAATGATGATGAACGCGCCCCGACTTGGAACGATGACTGCACATCTCTCTCTCTCTCTCTCTCTCCTGTCCTCCTCCGATGGGAAAACCTCGCTCCTCCAGGCCCAACAAATCCCCATCCCCATCGGGCCACGTCCCCAACGACACATCCTCAACGGGCATGCTCCATCGCGAAGCCCCCAAGGCCCGCAGCAAGAACCTCGAAGATATCGCTCAGCTCGAAGAACAGGGTTTGCTGCGGAAGGTTGAAGATAGCGAGGACAGTGGTAGCCCTCCGAGGTCGAGCTCTGTTGGTTCGACGGCGAGAAGACGGCGAGGAAAAGATGAAGATGGCGTTCGGTTAGAGAAAATCGAGATTGATGAGCAAGTGCACAGCACTGGGCTTACAAGTAGGAGGGATAAGGAGGCTTTTGCGTTGCTCGTGCTTCTTTGTGAGTGTGTCTCTGGTGTGGAAGAAGCTCCCCTAACCCTATCTTAGATTTGTGCGTCAAAAGTCCCCTTGACCATGTTCCCGGCTGACCGGTCTCAGATTACAAGGCATCCCCTTAGGTCTCACCTTCGGCACCCTCCCCTTCCTCCTCAAGTCCCACCTCTCATACTCTCAGCTTGCCCTCTTCGCCCTCTCCACCTGGCCCTACTCTCTCAAGCTACTCTGGTCGCCCATCGTCGATGCGTGGTTTGTCAAGCGGTGGGGAAGGAGAAAGAGCTGGATCGTGCCCGTGCAGGGTGTGGTCGGCGTGGGGATGTGGATCATTGGGGGCAGGATCGGAGAGTGGATGGAGGCGGTGAGTCTTCCCGCATGGTGCTGGAACAAAGCTCAAACGCAACTTCAGGAAACCGTCGATGTTAAGCTTCTGACGACCGTGTTCGGCTCTCTCATCTTTGCAGCTGCAACGCAAGACATCGCCGTGGACGGCTGGGCCCTTACTCTCCTATCCCAACCCAACCTATCATATGCCTCTACTGCCCAGACCATTGGTATCGGAATCGGCAACGCCCTATCGTTCACCGTCTTTCTTGCTTTCAACTCTGCCGACTTTGCGTACGCTCCCTCTCCTCCCTCTGATAGATCTGATCTGACGAGCGGATATAGCAACAAGTACTTCCGTGGAGGTAACAAGCTCGATTATGGTCTCATCTCACTTGGTGGCTACTTGCGGTTCTGGGCCGTCGTATTCATCGTTGTCACCATCGGCCTGGCGGTGTTCAAGACGGAAGACCCTGTCAGCGATGATGACCCCGATATGGATGTGAAGAAGGTGTACAAGGTCATGTGGAGCATTGTACAACTGAAGAGTACGCCCCTTCTCGATCTTGATGTGCTGTCATGCTAATCCGGGAACAGACATCCAATCATTCCTCTTTGTCCACCTGATCTGCAAAATCGGCTTCCAAGTCAACGACTCTGTCACATCCCTCAAACTCCTCGAAAAAGGTCTCTCCAAAGAAGACCTCGCCGTCGCCACCCTCCTCGATTTCCCCGCCCAAATGGCCGTCGGCTGGCTCGCCGCCAAATGGTCCCGCCCGCCCCCCGCCTCACCCGTCGCCAACGAGGGCCGCAAATCCGCCGGTGCCGACGCGCACGTCCTCAAACCCTGGCTCTACGCCTTCTGGGCCCGCCTGGCAATGGCCACCATTGCCACCCTCGTCGTCGCCGGTTTCCCCTCCTCCGGCGTCGGGTCCGGCTATTTCAGCTTGATCATCGCTACGATGCTCTTCAGCAGCTTGACCAGTACCGTCCAATTCGTCGGTATCTGCGCTTTCCACACCCAAATCGCCGATCCCCTCATCGGCGGCACATACATGACGCTACTTAATACCGTCTCCAACCTCGGCGGCACGTGGCCCAAACCGCTCATCTTGCACTCTATCGACGTCCTCACCGTCGCGTCCTGCTCCATCCCCACTTTGCATGCCTACTCCCCCGGTGCCTCTGCGGCGAGCCCATTAAGCAAGGTGGGGCTAGAAGCGACGTATGGAGAGTGTGTGAGCGAGGCGGGGAAGCATGCGTGTGCCGATGTGGGGGGAGAGTGTGTAGTGGCGAGGGATGGGTATTATTTGATGAGTGCTGTTTGTGTGACGTTGGGGGCTGGGTTGTTGATTGTGTTCATCTTGCCGATGGTGCGGCGACTCGCATGTAAGTACATTTCTTGTCAGTTGAGATTGATGCTGATCATATTGCTAGCTTTGCCGATGTCTGCTTGGAGGGTCAAGATTCCCAATTAGATTGCGTAAATCTTGGACGTTCCTCATTGTCGAGATACGACTCAGCTTTGTGTATTACGTGTAGTCTTTTCCGAATTGAAACGCCATCTTGTCAGGACTCTTGCATAGAACAGCATGATGCATCACACGACATCGATAGATCATGCCTTCGAGCCATACCGCACATGTGCCGTAGACCTCTTACTCTTCGGCAACTCGCCCGAGGCAGCAGCCTCTCATCATTGACAATCTGCTTAAGAGGCGCGAAAACCGTAAGATACTACAGCTGTTGTGCAACAATCCATAGGCTCATAGTTGCATCGGCATGTGTGAGCGCAACTACAACAACAGCACCAGCCAGTGCTGATTGATACTGATTACATATGTGAGAGAGAGTGCGGCAGTGCGGAAGGCTGGCGGCGGCGACCGTGCGGACAATCAAAATACGCTCTGAGGTATCTCAGGATGTCATGTAGATATAAATACGAAAGGGCACGCCAACAACTCTCTCGCTATGCTCTCATTCTTCTCCCTCCCTCACGCGTGCCCCGTCAGGAGAAGAACTGTCACACTTAGTAAATCCCTGAGGTGGTTGGCGCTGAGTTGTGTGGATGGTTGAAGGATCTACTCTTTCCATGCGATAATACCGAAAAGGTCTTTTCCCCTCTAAAAACCCCCTCTTCCAGTCCCTTCCCTGCTGCGTCCCAGCTAGGTCGTGACAAAATTATCGCATACTGTACAGAACAGCCTATGGCGCCCCCTTTCCCCCTGACCCCGGGGAACTCCCTCGACCGGTCTACCTCCGCCCCTTCAAACAGCACATCGCCTCCTTCACTCTCCCCCACATCTCCAACCTTACCAACGTTACGCCCACACCTCTTCCGCGCACGTCCAGCCCTGTTCCCACGGCTCTCCCGTTCCGCCAACCCCGACCCCACTCTTCCCTCTATCTCCTCTTTCCACTTTGATCCCCTTACCAATCATGACGCTTCCTACCCCGTCACGTCCACGTGCGGCTTCCCACCTCTCCCCTCGCGCCTGGCCCCGCGCCGGTCCACCACTACGCCCAACCGGCTGCTCCCGCCCCCGTTTACTACATCCAGCAGCCAGTCCCCGCTCCTGCCCCTGCCCCCGCCTACATGCACGGTCCCACGCCTTTGGTAGGCGTGTCTTTCGCTGGCATCGAAGGCGAAGACGCGAAGAAGTTCCTGGATCAAGTAGAAACTGCCATCGACGGCAACCCCTATTTCCATCAGCTTCCGAGCGAGTGGACAACCCGTTGGGTGCGCATGCACACCTCGGGCACCGCCAAGAAATGGATGGACAAGCGTTGTCATCTGTCGTGGGAGGAGTTCCGGGTATGCATGGGCACCCAACGGGTCGTCCATTCGCCGGGGAAGTTGGTGGTAATACAGATTGCCGTCAATGGCAGTTTCGACCTGATCCAGAAACTTCTTCGCGTCTTCGCCTTCGATGCCAACGAAAGACACGCCTACTACCAAAGGCGGGGGACCGTGTATGTAGGAGGGGGCTGCGTGCTGTACGTAGTGAATCACAGGCGCCGCTCAATTGTGGACGCTTCTAACGCAGGCGGTAGCAGAGGCACGGCCGTCCGATTCTCCAGAGGCAGATGACTAGATCAGAACCTGTGACAGATACCAGTCGCTGACATGATGGTTGCTCTTATAGTCATGAGCGGGGCTAGCTCGGGACCTGAGCTCGCTGGAGGTGCCAGACATGTGTGTGATCTTTGTGTAGCGGTTGGCAGGAAAGCTACTCACAAAATTGTAGAGGAAGCCTCGCACTCCCGTCTCTGGATCCGAGTCCACACGATAGTGCGTACTCCATTCGGTGATATAAGTCTTGGGTCTTGGTCTTGCGTTTCACAGTGTGTGTTGTGCAGAAAGCGGCGGGTGTTATTCGGTGTGTCTGTCAGACATCTGCAAAGGTCTAGCTATGCGCGGAAGGAAGCAGGGTCTGACCAGGGGCTCGAGCCGTCGGTATCTGCGCTTTTAACGTCAGCATCGCCGATGCCCTCATCGGCCGCCCCAATCCTCATCCTCCTCCTTCATGATCGTCTTCAACATCAAGACTCTCGCTAGGGAAAAAAAACATTCACTTTGTATCACCATATAGCATTGATGGAACAAGTACACATGGTATCTGGTCTGCCACCATCTTGTACAAGTTGAAGCCCCTCATGCCTAACTGATACATGCACTATCACATTTCAACGTCATCATCACCTCCAAGCACCACATCATGCACTTCCCTTCCTTCAGCCTCCAAATCATTCTTGACCAAATTCTCCACCTCCTTCACTCTCCCCTCCAATCCACCTTCTTCAACATACCGCACCAGCACCCCAACTTCCGTTTCATAATCCGCCTCCAGCTCCCTTATGACATCCGGCGGGAAGTTTGGGAAACGGGCTGACAGCTCGGTACTGGTCGGGGGGATGGTAGCGTCGTATGGAGGTATGATGGCGGCTGTAGGAAAGTCGGGGATGGAATGTAGGGATTTGAGGACTTTGTAGATCATTGTTTGGCGCAGGTAGGAGCGTTGGGCTTGTTCGCTACGACCACCGGTGTTGGAGATGTCCATCCAGCTGCAATGCCGTTAGTCTTGATCGACGGAAGGCGATGGAAAAGCTTACTCGTCCCGGATGTATACCCTCCTCCAGATGGAAATCAAAGCGACCTCGGACCTGGCTTTTGGCAGCGTCTGATCGAGGACCACCAGCCGCAAGGCATCCACCGCATCCTCTTCCCTGTCCCCGTTATCCTTCATCACCAGCAAGTCTACCACGTCTTCCAAGCTCAAAGCCTCGCCTTCGATGACCAGCCTGTTGACGAGGTCAATGAAGAGGGCTTGGAAGCTTTCACGTGCAGTGTCGGCAGGGGTAGATATGAGAGTGAGTATGGGAGCGAGATGTTTGGAGAGATGTTTGGGGTTTGGGGGGCGAGGGTGTGAAGGGAGAAGATCGAGAAAGTAGGCGAGGAGGGATGCCTGGTTGTCGATCAACGAAAGATGCTGGCCGATCTCTGTGATAACTGTCAGCCTCTGTCCCCGTTCAGTTGACTATACGTACGTTGGAAAGTATGGTCTTTCTCCTCATCCGCACCTCTCATGCTGATATCCGTCATCTCCGCCAATTTCGCAATACTGCCCACAATCTTCCTATACTCCAACTCTCCCACTTGTGTCGTTTCCCCAGCCTCCTGGCCGCCCTCCAATACATCCACCAAAGCTCCTGCAGCATGACTATACCGCTTGCACGCCACATCATGTATCCACGCCAACTCTGGATGGTGGTGCGTCTCAAAGAACCGCGTGATCAGGCTGCCGTAAATCTCGTCTTGCGTCAAGAGCTGGTACGCCTGGCCTTGAGCGATATACCAGCGGTACAGCTCAAAGGCAAATTCTTCGCCGAAACGTTCAATGTAGATCTGGATTCGGGCTTCGCCTCTGCCTTGAGCAGCTTGGGGGTCGTTGGACAGGACCACGAGTGTCGGGAAGTCGCGATGGTGTTCGGCCAGCTCGAACGCTTCGGCGATCCTATCAATCGTCACTGTATACAAATCAGCTTTCTTTCTCGCTACATTTCCACTTGAGCATACCAAGCGGTCGAATCACTCTCGGCTTCATAGCATCCCACTTTTCTTTGATAGCAATCCCCTCTTCCTCACTTGCCCCGTCATTCATCTGCCGCCGCACCACAACCCGGCACTTGTCTTCCATATTCGTACACAGTGCCGCTGCGAGCCAGCCCATCTGTCTCTTGAGCATCCCTTGCAGAATCTGCTCTTTTCTCAAATCTTCTCCGCCTCTACCCGACGACGGCGGTTCGTCAATAGCCGAACCGAGGACTCTTGTCCGCTCCTTGATGGCCGATTCCGTGCTGGCGTACAAGAACTCGAGCGCATCCAGCAACTCGTCCGAGGCAGTCCACATCTCCACGGCAGGCTTCTCCCTGTCAATGACATACAAATCCGCCTCCTCTTCTCTATACTGCGCCGCCGCTCGTTCGAGGGCGATGAAGATTTGGTTCACCTCGCCCAACCAAGCGCTCTTCTCTTGCACATCGTCGGAGCCTAAGTGGGAGACAGCGCTTTGGTATTGCGAGAAGGTGACAGAAAGCAAAGTCGAAAGGTGTGGGATGTTGTGGCGGAAGAAGAAGCGGACGGGGTCGGATGTGAATTCAGAGTAGGACAGAGACGAGGGAAGGATGGCCGGAGGGAGGGTGGTAAAGTATGTTTGGATGGAGGATGTTAACAATGCTTTGGAAGGTTGAGAGTTGATTTGGCTGTGATGCGGGTGAGCTCATACCTCAGTCTAAGATAGATATCACCCACTCCAAGAGTCTGTCCTGGTAATCCCAGAGTTCCAAAGCACCCTTCACCTTCTCCGCATCTCCCGACAGCTTTCTCCTCGTCGTCTGCGGCAACTCGCTCAACAAGTTGTTGACATGAACAAACTTTAAAAGCTCCTTCAGTCTCGACAGCTTGTCTTGCAGATTCAGCCTCAGCTCAGAGATCACCGGCGCATAACGCGAGCCTGAAACCATGTCAGCCAAATCCCCTGAATCGGGTACGGTAACTTACTAGACGAGAGCACCTCTGCGCTAACACTTTCCGCCGCCTCAGCCACATCCCCAGCCCCCAACCCCCTTGCATCTTCCACCAGCCCGAAATCCAACGGATTATCACCCCTCCCTCCAAACCATACCGCTCCCTGCATCTTGCTCTCCAACCTGGCCGTCGCTCCCGACTTTTGCCCCAACATCTCCGGGCTTGCTCGGGGTTCCAACGCGGTGAGTGACATGAGGCCGCCAGAGGCTGGTAGTAGTACCGCCGTGGGATTGGGGGCAAAAACGGCGTCGACGGCGAGAAAGGCGTTGGAAGGGTCTTTGAGGTGGATAGTCTCTTCGTACGTCGTCTCGTAATCCAAAGCCTTCATCACCACCGCCCCTCCAAACCTCACAAACGCCACCGAACTGTCTTGCGGCACGATCAACCGCGGGATATCCAGCGCCCTAGATTCGGGGGTCGGAAAGTATGCGAGCGGGAGGGTACGGTCGATAGCCGGGATGGAGGCGCGTTGAAGAGAGAAGGTGAGTATGGCGTGGGTGGGCCGGGAGTGCGGTTCGGCGTATGTGACGAGGGCAGCTAGGGATTCGGGGCCTATGGCGACAATGTCGTCTAGCTCGAGGGCGACAGTGCCGGAGATGTAGATGTCGGACACAGCGTTCCCTGCCGCGTCGTACAAGTCGTATTCTTGTACGAACTGCCCTTCATCAGTCATGATTGCCCCTCAAGCTAAAGAAGACATACCTTTTGGCTATCACTCGTGAACGTCCATTTCTGAACACTCCTGGACGCCAGGATATAGACCTCCGATCCGAGCGAAGCCACACTCCTCACTCCCTCTCTATCGTACCTCGTCCCAAACAAGACCTGGCTTGCCCTCCCAAACATCCCAGACGGCCTCGAAAGGGGTACCACCACCGGTGTTGCCCTTCCTCCGGACGTCGTAATGTTCAGTCTGTAAGCTTGTGAGGTCACCGTCGTGAGCACAAACGTGCTCCCATCAATCTTCCAAATCCTTTCCACCCAGTCTCCCTCGGGCAGCTCTACAAAGACCTCTTGGTACCGATCCACATTGCTCAGCGCTAGACTGAGGCTGTCCCAGAACCGGATTTCGCCCGAGCTGGAGACGAGAATCATACCAGGCTCGGCGGTGGAGGTGTACAGTGCTGCAAGAATGGGTGGGACAAATCCTGCTAGGGAAGAGGTTGTAGGGGGTGGGGCTGGGAAAGAGTATGTTGTGGCTGTTGAATTTGTACGCTAGGGAAAGAATCAGTTGGTGACTCTCTTCCAAAACTTCATCCGAACAAACCTTGGCATAGTTCCAAGCCACACATGTCCGGGAGGTGGAAACGACAGCGTATCCACTCTTGGAGTCTACATGTGCTATTATCGGATCGTTCACGAGGTCTCCATTCCTGTCAGCTGTGTACTCTTCGAGATATGGTCGACCTACCAGACGCCTTGACCAACGCAGCCACCTCTTTTGGCAGCTTGCCCAAAGCAGCTATATCATGCCTCTCATCTCTGCTCCAATAGACCTTGTCCTTCTCTTCCCCCTGAGGTCTCTCTGTGCGGATAGTCTCGGCGACAGAAGGAGTGGGCGAGTTGTTTTGGACGCGCAGAGTTTGGAGCCGGGAGCGAGCTGGCGTGGGAGCTGTGGAGTAGCGTGGAGTGTTGAGGCGAGAGCGGGTGGATGGGGAGTTGAACATCCTGCCTCGATTTTAGGATTGTGACGAGGGGAGAGAGTTGTTAGAGACGAAGGAGCGAACGCGCGAAAATGACAAGCTCACCACTGCAGGAAGCATCCGAGCGGGATCAAAAAGCAGCCGTCATTCGGTCAATGTTTGGTTCAACTTTCAGACAATCGTTATGTGTACAGGGCGTGCGTTATGGGCAAAGATTGCAAGGCCGGGGTACTTTAGACTCTATGTATGTAGCAGTCTAACAGCCGTTTCTCCAAGTACGAGTAATGTCTCTGGACAGACGCTTGATGGTCAAAGAAGTTGCTTGCACAGCTGCACAGTGCCGACAAGACCTACCACGCACTTCCAAGTGTCTTTTACATATGCCCATTGCCTCCATACCATAGTGTGAGAGAACCACCAATAGTATCAGAAAGGACGTTTCGCGGGCCGGTGTGCTGGGTCTGCTGTCTCTTTCAGCTGAAAGGTCGAATCGGAAAGAGTGGAAGGATGCTGCCCATCCCCTCTGGTGTTGGAGCGTGGGAACCCGTCCACATGTCAGGTACTGTGAATGCGTTCACACACTGAGGGTATATGCCCAGCCATAAATTGTGTGATACTTTAGCAATGTATCATAATACCGAGCTCCATACTTCTTCCGCCTCCTAAATCAGAAAAAAAAAAAAAAAAACATGTCGTACATCTCCTCCCTGCCCTCCCTGGATGATATCATCGCCTGCCATTCTGGTGGTACGTGGCCCGAAGCTTCTTCTGCTTCCAGCTTTATTACCAGCCAAGGACCACACAGGCACACAGCCCCTCGGCGCACCTCTGGTGATCCAAACAGTTCTCCTAGCCCAACGGCATCGACAACAAGCGAAACAAATGGGCCAACTGCTAATGAAAGAAAAGCTCTATTAGCTAGGTCCCGAAACCGAGAGACTGGGGAAAAGATCTCAAGGGTCATGAGTCGATTTTCATCGTTGCAAGAATTGTTGGAGAAACCGGACAAGACTAAGGAAGAGAAGCAAGTCCGCCGGATCCTTGGTAGTGAGTCTTACGATTGGCGTATACCTGTTGAATCTTTTGAATGTGACACTGATATGTTGGCATAGATCGAAAATCAGCTCTGGACTCGCGTGCTCGCACGATGAACGCATCAAACAACTTGGAGCAATCCAACAAAGACATGAAGTCCCGAATAACCTATACTGCAAAAACTATCGAAGCTCTCAAAAAGTATAGAGAAGTGCAAGATCGTCGAGAACTGGAGGGAGAAGAGCATATCGCCTCCTTGGAATCGAGGATCAGCATAATGGAAAATCTGTTCCAAGAAGCGAACGTCGCGAATATGGCGTCAGCATTCAGTGGAAGCCACCTGCAACAGTCGGGGTTGTTTTCCACAATGCCTTTACAAGAATGTGACGACACTATCTGGACGGACCCATCGCAGTTCGCAGAAGAAAGCTACATCAGCCCCGACCTGCTGACCCTTGAAGGTATACAAATCATGATTCCACAGCCAGTGTACTACTGTAGATGAGCTAGAGATTGGACTATAAGATAGAGGGTCATAGAGGGAGGCATTTTCGGCTGGCATAACGTCATATCGAGGCTATAGCCTAGCTATGCATACAGTATCTTCACACTTCTTGCGGCATAGTTGCTGCCCAGCGGTGGCTTGGTTCAGCGTGTGACCCGGCTTGGTGATATCTGAAAGGAATCCACTAGACTATGCTGCTATGATGACACGGAACCATTCGAGCTGAAAGGTTGCCGTCTACCATCAGCGGGCCTTGGAATCATGCCGGTGGTAATCAAGGCCGTGAGAAAGTGGGCCTTATGTGAAGATGTGGGAAGAACGTTTGTTGTTTGTTGGGGTGTTGTGTATCTCGTTCACATGATGAGCGAATATATATATCCACATATCTCATGGGGTGCGGTATTACAATCAGATCCATCTTCAAATCTACCATCTGCCCCCGCTCCCCTCTCTCCACAACAAAGACCAAAATGTCCGACCGCGACGACCCCAATGACATCTCCCTCTTCTACGGCCACGACGACGACAATACCCAACAAGATGCCGATGTCGATACCGGTGAACCCTCTTCATCCTCGCACGGCCCCCTCCTCCCTCGCCCCTCCGACTCGGAAGAAGACCTCAATCACCGCGCTCTCGCCGCTAGCTCCCGAAACCAGAGCACCGCCGACAAGATTAACAGAGTTATGAGCCGGTATACGTGGGAAGAGTTGGCGGGGAAGGAGAACAAGACGGATGAAGAGAAGGATGTTCGTCGTATCCTGAGTAGTGAGTCTATCGTGATCATGTACTGCCTGTTGTGTTCTGCTCGATTGACATACTCATGTTGGTTGTAGATAGAAGGGCGGCGCTGAACTCTCGCAACAATAAGAAAAAGAATCAAAATTCCCTAGTAACCATCAACGACGACCTAGCTTCCCAGCTCTTCGAGAGCCACAAAACTATTGACGAGCTCACGAACGCCAGAGACGAGAAAGACCAGCAGGCGCTGACTAGGGACCAGTATATCCTTTCGCTGGAAACCAGGCTGACCGCAATGGAGAATCTGTTCATCGAGACTGGCGGAGTTTTGCCCTCGAGTTTTAGTCAACAGCAGTCATGGTTCCCTTCAGAAGTGGCTCTTCCAGAAGGAGAAGGCGGTGATAATCTTTGGACCGACGGCCAACATGTACAGTTTGGTGATGGGAGTTTTCTGGGGCCCGACATGACTCAGCAAGATAGTACCCAAATGGATCACGAGCAATGAGTTTGATAGTCAATCAGCTTATCATATCATCCATGGAACAAATATGCATGCATGCAGGGACCAAGAAGCGGTGTTTTATCATAGAAGCATAATACCTTCACCATAGTTATGATCTGATCAGCACCAATCTGTTGCTGGTGTGTAATGTAACAACGTGGAGGAAGAAGACCTGGCATCATTGCATCAGATGACGAGAATAAGTCCGGGGCTGACTGGCTACATTATACCATACCTCGAAGGCCGCTCATCGTCGGTGGCGATAGCACTCTTGTCAAGAGGATTTTGATACCGTCGTCGTGTATGCTGCGGTGCTTGATGATGTCGGACTGTGAATATAGATTGTCGTGGGAAACGTTATAAGTCATTATTGTGTGAGCAGGCTGCAATGTGAAAAAAAAAATGGAAGAAGGTCAGACCGTATGTCCTCTGTGTATTTCGTTCCCATAAATCGAGAAGTATATAGCCTCACTTGCTTCATATCACCCATCTCGCTCGCACAGGTACCCCACCAGACTATTCACAACCTTCTGCAGAGACAGTTCCCTGTAACAAAACCCCAAGGCACGATGCCTCCTGAAGAAGCCAACCTCTCGTCTTATTACGACAATAGTGGAAGAAGCAGCCACATGGACAATGTCGGTTCCGCCTCCCGACCCATACACCCAGTGGAAGAGACTGGTAATACGACAGGGAATACGAGGAGCCAGATTACCGCTACCCACGAGACGATCACTCGCGTCATGAGCCAGTACACCCTGAAAGAGTTGGTGGCGAAGGAAGACAAGACGGAGGAAGAGAAGGCGGTGCGTCGCATTGTGGTGAGTAAGTCCATCAACGTCCTGCATCCTGCCATATATGCTCTGACTGTTATATACTCGTATTTGTTGGGTGATAGATAGACAAGCCTCTTCGAACATTCGCAACAGACAGAAAAATGTCCAGCAGTCCCTACTGTCTACCAAAAACAACCTGACCAGGCAGTTGAACGACAGCCGAAAAACGATCGAAGGGCTCACAAGAGTAAGAGAGGAGCAAGACCGACAGACACTGGCGCGGGATCAGTATATCCTTTCGCTGGAATCGAGGTTGGCGGCAGTGGAGAGTCTCTTTATGGAGACTGGCGCAATCTTGCCGGAAGGTTTTGGCGGGGGTGATCCGCAACAGTCGTGGTCCTCTTCACAAGGGGGCGATGACCTTTGGACGGGTGATGGGAGCTATGCCAACCCTGATCTCACCAACCAAGATCACACGCAAATGGATTACGAGCGATCATAAAGCTATGCCTACCGTCGTGTATCTCGTAGTATGAGGAATGTATAGTACTCCTCGTATCCGCGGCAATCTCGGATAACACCACCCACCACCACCATTATGTTCATGAACCCGTATCATGCAATAACGCCATAACTATGATACATATGCACTACAAATCTCACAAAGTCCTAGCTGGGCTCTATAGGCATGCTTGCTGCTCGTTTGACTGCGCCCCGGCGGGTCGATGAGGAGCTCGCTTTGCCCAAAACCCCCTGTTCTCCTCTTCTTTCTCTTCCCTCTTCTCCAGTGCTTCACGGTTGTCATCCCTATATTTGGGATCATATAGACCCCCCCCCCCCCCCCGGATTCTGAACTGCCTTTCCACCTCCCCTGGTGGCCTTGTCTAGCCCCATTGCCGCTCTAGCTTCCTCCAACTCCTTTCTCAGAAGCACGCTCTCTGACTTTGCCACCTCTGCGGCCGTCTTGGCGTGCGCAACAGCCACAACTGGGTCCAGCTCCCCGTTTCGAAGTGCAGTGTTGATCCTTCGGGGACCGAGAGGGGTTCTAGGGGAGGGTGGTGCAGGTTGGGAGGCCTGGGGGGGATGAGTAAGAGGATCATTGACTTTGCCGAGGATGATTCCAGCGCTGAGAGGCCAGAGACCCGCCTTTGCCCATGCGGACCTGATCTGCCTATCGGTGGCAGTCTTCGCCCATGCCTCTTGATGCCAGGCCCAAAACATACCCTTAGCCACCCGCCTTGCTTGGGAACCTGGCAAGTACTCGTCCATCTGCTGGTGATATCTCAACTTCAGTTGATTGCAGAAGTCTACGTCCAATGGCTGGAACTTGCCACTGAGTACTGGCTTAGCTAGATGATTGTTGGAGTACGCTGTGTATCTCCTTCCCATAAATGAGTACGTATATATCCTCTTTATTTTACGATAACCTTCCTCCATCTCAAGATTCAAGAACACGACCACGACGACAATGTCTGAAGAAGCCGACACTGTCAACAACAACCCCCACGACCCTTCCTCCTCATACTACTTGTACACTGGTAATGAGAGCCGCATAGAAGACATCAATTCAGCTTACCAGCCCTACACCCTGTAATACGGCCACCCAGACGACCGTCACCACTCACCAGGCTCGGAGTTGTTTCGCCAAAATCTCGCTTCCTCTCCCTCGCGGCAGCCGGGGATCAGGGTGTGTTTTAGCGGATTTGGTTGAAAGGTTTCGCGTTGTGTATACGATTATTACGGGGTTCTAATTGGGGGACGGAAGCAGATTGCAGGCACGGTAAGAATTTAAGAAAAGACAGTTAACAATGGTGTCATGCTGTGGCGGTCGTGTGTCAGTGGCAGATGCACTGCGCAGAGGGGGATGGGGATGGGGGATGGGGCGGCTAGTGGGTAGCAGGTAGACCAGCAGGGTATGCATCAGCATGGGCACAGCAACGGCGGGCAAATAAGAGGAGGAGGAAAGGCGGAACCAAATGCGGCGGTTGTTTACGCATTGGACCCTTTTTCCTGGAAGTATCCCCCATCTCTCCACCACATTTCTGTGGATGACTTTCCCATCTGCCTCTTCATCCCGCCACCCCTACCAGCCCTACCCGTCCTACTCCCCCGGCCCCCGCCGCCGCACCTCCCTCTCCATCTCCCTCGCGACCACCCGACCCTACAACCCCTACAACGCCCCCACCCGCCGCCGAGCGCGCACCATGCCCCAGTATGCCCGCTCAAGGGACCACTCCCACCCCATCTCCTCCAAGCCCTCCACACGCACCAAAAAGGTCGTCATCAGCCTCCTCATCCTCCTTTTCCTCTTCCTCATAGGCACCGTTGTCGTCCTTTCCACCGTCTCGTACTATCTCGCCATCCCGACGTGGGCCTATCTCACAGAGAGCGAAGTCGCCTGGCGGCCTCAGGACGCCATTCGCCCCCTGAGGGATGTACCGAAGAGCAGCAGACGGCATAAGAGGGCGGAATGGACAGAGGTGGGGGTGGGTAGTGAGGGGTCGAGCGCTAGTGCGGACGCTTGGACTGCATCGGCTGTGGGCGATGTCGCCTTTACTCTCAGTGCTGCCCCTTCATCCTCTGCCGCCGCATCCTGGGACGAGCTCGAGGAAGAGATGGAAGCGCTCGACGCGAGCGAGGAGGACAGCGTTGCTGAAGCGGAAACAGACGCGTCAGACGCGCTAGCCGTATCCGTGGAGACCACCCCGTCCCCCACCTCTTCCACCCCCTGGGGCATCGACGGTGCGGGCTCGGGAGGGTATTGGATGGAGAAGGACTGGGATGGGTATGTTAGAGATACGGATTCTTGGGAACGGTTGTACAATGTGTCCAACAGGTGCGTTTTTCGGATCTTGTGATGGACAGGCTGCTGATACAATGTGTGTAGGGCTGGAGAACGTATCCCCCGACTGATCCACCAAACTTGGAAAGACGACCAACTGCCCGAGAAATGGAGGAAAGCCTGGAAAGAATGCAGAGAAGGCATGCCCGACTAGTACGTCCCAATCATCCCTGCCCTGAACACCAACTGATAAAGCGTAGCGAGTACATGCTCTGGACAGACGACACCTCCCGAGAATTCATCGCCACGCACTACCCCGCCCACCTCCACATGTACGACTCATACCAGTACCCCATCCAGCGCGCCGACTCTATCCGGTACTTTATCTTGCACCACTTTGGCGGTGTGTACATGGACTTGGATATCGGGTGTAGGCGGAGGTTGGACCCGCTTTTGCAGGGTGATTGGGATGTGATCTTGCCGCTTACCAAGCCTGTAAGTGCTTCGATTCCAAAGCAGAGTGGAAGCTGATGGGTGTAGGTTGGGATTTCGAACGACTTGATCTTTTCGGCCAAGGGCTCTGCGTTCATGGATGACACTGTCCACGGTCTTTCCGCTTTCAACCACCGCTACCTCTCCAACTATCCCACCGTCATGTTCTCCACCGGGTACGTCCCCCATCCTCACAATCGACCCATACTGACAAGAAACAGACCCATGTTCCTCTCCGCCCAATACGCAATCTTCTCCTCCTCCCACCCGCTCACAACCCAACACCCCCGCGCCGAAGTCCGCGTCCTCCCCAAATCCCTCTACGGCAAAAACGCTCCCATCTCCGACGTCCCCCACTCCTTCTTCTCCCACTTTTACGGCTCCTCATGGCACGCCGACGATGCGGGCTTCATCACCTTCCTCGGTGTCTGGGGTAAAGGCCTCATGTGGGTCGGCGGGGCGGTGATTCTGTTTGGGTGTGCGAGGCTGGTTTGGTTGAAGAGGGTTGCGGCGAAAGGGCAGCAGTATCAGTTATTGTCGATCTTGCCGACGACGAGGTCAAACTCGCCGACGGGGTATGATACACCCACATCAACATCTTCCGCGCCGCTCTCACCCACTTCGCTCGATAGGTCTCTGCATCAAGCACTCCCAGCCGAGATCGCCTCGTATTTCAAACGCGCAGGCAACCTTATACTGGCGGCTCCTGCCATGCTCCAAGGCGACCGGCCCCACGCCCGCGCTCACGCTCACGAGCGGGACGCAAACAGGAGGGGCAGGCGGAGGCAGGGTCTCCTCTACTTTGTGCCAGCGCTCTTTCAGCCAGTACCGGCACGGCGGTCACGGACAGCTTCTGAAGCGAGCCAGTTACCCATGAGACGTACCCGGCGGGAGAGGGAGAGGGAGAGGGAGCGCGACCTTCAGCGCGCGAGGGAATCGACGCATAAATCGGATGGCCTCGCGCCGCCGCCTTATGAAACCCTGCACGAAGATCCCACCTTCTCCGACTCCCGTGCTGGGCCTTCACGGCCTTCCGCTTCCACCTCCCGTTTCGCCCAGGCTGGCGTGCCAGAAGGAGAGCGGTATGAGAGTTTCGAGAAGGAGGTGAATATGGATGAGGTGGATGCTTTTTTGAATGAAGCGGATAACGAAGGGTCGATGAGCGGGAGTGGGAGTGGGAGTGGGGGGGAGGAAGAGTGGAGGGATCGGGCGAGGGAGAGGCGGTGGAGATAGCATCCCCTTCTTTTCTCTTTCCTTTTCCGGTTTCCTTTTCTCGTACTGTAGTAGGAGGAGGGATGAGCTTTGGTTGTCTTGGTGAGGGGTCGATCTTTGGGATAAACATGGAAGAGCTCTCTCCAAAAAGTGTATACTGTTTTTTACTGGTTACTGGTTACTGGTGTGGGGGTTTCAACTTTAATGTCCGTGTTACGAACTACGAATATCTCTTCTGTCATGCCCGTATCTTCCTTCCTTCCTTCCTCTTCTTTTGGTGTGCTTTTGGGCTACTCGATAGTTGGTTAAAACTACCTTTTTTTGGAGACAACTTCGCTTTTTCAAACCTCACCCACGTTCTTTACAAGTTGATCTACAACATTCTTTTGAAAGCGACGATCGGCATTCCTTCTTTCATCTAATCATGTGTATAGTTTGTTTCAAAAAACAGAAAAGCGGAGTTCATATTCCTATGTAAAAGGTAGTTTCTCCATTCTTTACAAGAAGATCATCAGTAGTAGCTTTCTTGCCATCATGAAAAGGGTACTCTCTCTTTGGGCGCCCTGACAAGGGCTCTTCTTTTTTGACTTGTGATTGAGCTTAGTTATTCATGTAGCCATTATTTATAAGAATGAATGGATCGACTCTTCAAGACCTTCAAGAGAGACCATTGTTCCATATTCCATTGCGATATGGAGAGAAGTGAGGAGACGGTCTGGTCGATCATTCACCTGCGATGGAAAGAGAAGCATGGTAAGTGGGGGGCGTGAATGATTCTGGACGCGACTGGTGACTACACGCAGATCCAACGCAGATCGCATTCCCGCGGCATCTTATTCTCCTATCTCATCTACAACCATCCCCCATCCACCATGTCCACCGCCCCCACCGCCCCCAACGCCCCCCAGCCCGCCTCCGCCACCATCTTTCCCCCCGGCGTCACCCCCTTCGCAAACCGCAAATTCCCCAAGACCATCTGCATGTTTGACGTCGACGGCACCCTCTCCCTCGCCCGCCAGCTCGCCTCTCCCTCCATGTTTGCCACCCTCAAAGAGCTCCGCAAGTACACCGCCGTCGCCTTTGTCGGTGGGTCCGACTTGAGCAAGATCTTGGAGCAGGTCGGCAGTTTGGACAACTTTGATTATGGGTTTGCGGAGAATGGGCTGGTGGGGTACAAGTTTGGACAGCACATGTCTAGTGCTAGCTTTATTGAGCATGTGGGGGAGAAGGAGTACCAGAAGCTTGTCAACTGGGTGCTGAGGTACTTGAGTGACATTGAGCTGCCTATTAAGCGGTATGTCGGCCGTAATTCAGCGAAGGGTGCGTGGGCTGATGGTCGGGTGTAGAGGTACTTTTATCGAGTTTAGGAATGGTATGATCAACATCTCTCCTATCGGTAGGAACGCCTCGTGAGTCTTGCCATCGTTTCCCGCTCTTCGCCCGCAGCTGACAACCACCTCACAGTATCCAGGAGCGTATCGACTTTGAAAAGTACGACAAGGTAAGCTTCCTCCTCTTCACCCCTCAGTCTGCACAGTGCTGACAGTTTACGTAGGAGCACGGTATCCGAGCTACCATGGTTACCAAGATGGAGCAAGAATTTGTCCACCTCGGATTGACCTTTTCCATCGGTGGTCAAATCAGCTTTGACGTCTTCCCTCAGGGTACGCTCCATCACTCCATATCCATAGCTCTACAGTCGCTGACCGCGCGGTTTCAGGCTGGGACAAGACCTACTCTCTCCAGCACATTGAGCCCGAAGGTTTCACCGACATTCACTTCTTCGGTGACAAGGTGCGCCTTCCCTGGAAATCACTCGAGTTATGCTGATGATAGATGGGGATAGACTTACAAGGGCGGTAACGACTACGAGATCTACTCTGACCCCCGAACTATCGGCCATGCCGTGGAGAACCCCGAGCACACGCAACGTCTTCTTGACGAGTTGTTCTTGACTGTTGCCTAAGTTTGTAGTCTGTGATTTCTTGTTTGGGGGGTGTACCGGGGCGATTGTAGGAGCGGGATAGTGAGAGAAGGTGAGGCGGTGTTCGAAAGCAAAAAGTATATCTAGAAACATTTACCATATGAATTGGGTCTTTCGCCATACTCTGTCATCTCTGCTATGGCGCCAGTAAAATGGACATCATCAGGGTTCCAAGCCTCGAGACGATCGCATATACATGTAGCAGACAAAGGAAGATACAGCATTAAGAGTCTCTCCGGGTACGGGAGGGTCGAATGAGACGCCATTGACCATTGTCCACCGGCCCTCCTGTACGGATTTGTCATTCGTCGAAGGTTAGGGCCCATTCTTCGACCTTGCAGGCTAGGTCCACGTGCGGGAAGACGAGGCGATGGCTAGTGGGATAACTGCATTCTACATACATCTATGAGAGCTCGGCCATCGAGATAGATTACAGCGCGGAACGTGACCCCGGGGGCCTTTGCGTCGGTACTGTGTTCTTGCTCAGCGTCTTGGAGTCAGCTGCAAGGATATACTTATGGTGGTGAAGGATTGCCGAGAGAGGGGAAACGCTTACTCGCATGGGATCCGGTACTATTGCAGCCGCCACTGATCCACGCTCACGCGCCCACAAACGCCCACATACAGGTCTCTGATCTTCCAATCAGCAGTATCAATGCGAGCAGTGGGCGAAAGGAGGGGTGAACGAGCAGTAAATAGCATGGTGACAGAATGCCCCGTTGTTGCGCACGCCGTGATCTGTGGGATGCGATCTGAGACAGCATCGGCTCCGTCTTGTTCGCTACCGCTGCGTACATACATATATGTCGGCGGGTCATGTGAATACTGCTATAAGGTACTCGTAGGGAACTGCTGGGATCAGGTTAATCAGAAGGGGACGCGAGTCTTTGTGTTGTCTCAACGATCGACAACTTTGTACGTGAGTGTGGCGGACACACCGGACGCACCGCTTACGGTTTGCATTTGTCCCTACATACTCACTGTGGCCCATCGTTGAAACCCAGGATGACCCTAACTAGATCGAGAGCCCCTTCTCTTCGGCTCACAGACCATCACCTCGCTTCAGGAGGAAGAAGCGGAATTGGGGCACGCGCAGAGACCCCCGGCTAGCCCTGCCCGGTTGACTCAACCACCCCCGAAGTACATATAAAAAGCCCCCATATCCCAATTCTCCTCTTCCTCTTCATCCACTCATTTCTATCCATTCATTTCCATACCACCTTATAACTCAACCCCACCCCGACACCACCAACAATGCGCTTCACCTCCATCCTCGTCGCCGCCCTCCCCATCCTTGGCGCCGTCTTTGCTGCCCCCTTCAATACCGAGGCCAAGAAGGATCTCTCCCTTGCCCCTGCTTCTTCCGAGCTTGTCGAGCGAGATGGGCTCTTGCTCGGTGTTCTCGCCGACCTCAAGGCTGATGTCGTGAGTACTTTCCATCTCTACCCCTGCACAATGTTGGCTGACCCTACCACCAGACCGCCGCTGGCTCTCTCACCAGCTTGAGCGCTGAGGCCGATATCAACGCGTGCATCCAGGTTGTAATTGATGCCTTCAACAAGTGCGGCTCGGCCCTTGGTATCGACCTTTCTTTGGGCGTGGACGCACGAGTCGGTTTGGACATTGGCCTTCTCAAGCGCGAGTTGGAAGAGTGAGTCGAGTCTTCCTTCGTACTCTTCTGTCCAAGCTAACAAATTGATAGGCGATCTGTCAACAAGCAAGCTGTTGCCCAGGCTCTCGTTGACATTATTGCCGTCATCAACGTCAACATTTTGATTCCCGTCAAGCCCAAACTTTTGACCTGTACCTGCTCCCAAACCCACTCTCTTGTCACCGAACTCGACTTGCTCCTCACCGGTCTTCTCTGCGCGTTGGAAGCTATTCTCGGTGGCCTCCTCGTCATCGTCAAGGGCCTCTTGATCACCGTGCTGGGACTGGTCTCTGTCCTTCTTGGAGGCTTGCTCCCCAGCTGCCTTGCCGTTTGCGGCTTCTAAGACTATTCTACATAGCAGACTTGTTTGGCGGGGGACTTGCCCTCTATCTTGAACGTCTCTTCCCATAGCTGGCAATATCGATCTTCATTCGGGTAGCGTTTGTCTATAATTCATTGGCCGGTTCCTCTTCATCTCATCTATCTCGAAATCGTGCTTTTGGCATGATCCCCTGCTCCTATGAATCCTTGTGATATCCTCAAGTTCCGGTTGATTCCTTGCTGCAGTACAACGGATCGCATGCGTCCGGTTAGGAAGTCGAGGGACAAAAGAGAAAGAGAGGGTATCAAAGACAGGATGGTCGGCGAGTTGACTGATGGTAGCCACGTGGCCGTGGCGGACGCTGTGGTCCGTGTTGTTCGTTGTTGTTACTCTTTCCTTCTTCACAACCTCGTCGCCACTATGAAACCCCTGAAGACCCGCCAACACCTCACCCGTCCATCAGCCCTCAGTCATGGTGAACGAAGATCACCCGCCCCAGCAATCCCAGAGTCCCTCGCAGAAGCCTAAACCTCTCGACGATGCTATACTTGAAGAGTTCTACAAATACGTCAATGCCCTTGTGCCGACAGAAATTCCCAAAGACAAACGACTCGAGAAATGGACCAAGGTCAGAGTCGGAGATCTCTTGGAAGTCGGATTCCTGGATGAATTTGTCTTCCAAGGGCAACGTACTCCCTACCGGGAACTGATGGAGAGTGCGCATTCAGAGAGAATCGACGAAGAATGTGCACATGAGACAGAGTTCAGCAAGGTGCTGTTTCCCGAATTGCGCCGTCCGGAAACCTTTTCGCGCACAGATCTGCCGAAGAGGAATCAGGTAGACTTGGCTCGCGGTCGCATGAACACGTACTGTTTTCAGCACCAGCACTGGAAGCTCGATCGCACCCTTGATCGTTTCCTTATTTCCATGAGTCCTTGGAAGTCTTCGAAACATAGATGGGAGAGGACGGGGTCGGACCGAGGATAGAGACCAGGAGGTGACCAGTTGCTGAGTGAGGATGGAACGATGCGTAGACGGCCTAGGCACCAGGCTTGAACAAGTCAGCAAAGGCTAACGATCCAGAAGAAAACGAAGCTTACCATTGATGAAGGCCAGCTCACGGGCTTCCGAGCCTTTTGAGACGGCTGGTCCTTCCTGCAACTTGAGGACGCCGATCAAGTCAAAAGCGGGAGCTGGATGTGTCGGAGTCCAGCCGAAGAATAGGTACAGACGTAGGAATCGGCGTTAAGGGACTCAGAGAGATTTAGAATAAGAGGAATTGCGTAAACTACTGGTGACGCTCTATGCTCCCTGCCATGCTGTATAGAGATTAGCTACCCTGTCTGGAGTCTCCTCATCGTCTCAAGCTGCTGTACAAGCACTGACAAGGAGTTCTCCAGTTCTGACAGGATGATCACCATCCATAGGACAAGAAGTCATTATAGTAGCTTGTAGAGCTGTAATATCTATCAGCATGGATCATAAATGACAGATGGCACTCACCCGTGGCGGCCAGACAACTGCACTCTCTTTTGGTGTCCGTCCCAGAAGTTGCACCACTTCGGCTCCTGCCCTTGAAGCTACATCATTTCAGGCATACCCAACCGCGTGTGGGCAATTCGCCTGCAAAAATCGTCCAGAAGCTATACGCGTAGTGTCAGCACCTATAGACCCTTGTAATTCTGGCACAGCTGTACGTAGGTCGGCCAATGGATCACAAGCACGCGAAGCTGCATATACTACCTGGCAGATACAATCAGCGCTTGACTTCAAGCAAGCTGGTCGCCGATACACGCACAGGCACTT